CCTCACCCCGCCCCACCGCATGCTCTCGGGGGCTTGCATGGCCCTAAGCCCCCTTCAGGGGTACATACGAAAGAATGGCAAGCTCCTGGATTCCTTTAATGGAATTCCCTTGCAGCAGCAGTATTGGAGGGGCAGGCACTGCCAATACTTATCCCTCCACCAACCAATTTTTAAACCAATGCCTAACTGCAACCTTACAAGTTGTGACGATTTGCTACACAGTAAGCAAAAACCAAATGGCACCAGCCAATCAGCCAATTGGACAAAATCCCTACCAGGCCCCTGCCCCAAAAGCAGGCGACCCCATGACAGGCATAGCAAGGTCAACCAAGAGCCCTAAATTAGGAAGGGTGGGCGGGTGATCCGCAGCAAAAGAGCCCAGTCAGTGGTACGTGACTTCATTTTATAACCTTTGGTCCAACCCCCTAAATGGCAACACCAAAATTTGCCCTTCAACCCAACTGCCCAATCACTGCGGATGGTCATCCAAACTAACGCGCCCATCAACGGAGGGGTGGCCTGCCAGACCCCACCACAACACGTGCTCTCTATGAATGAGAACACGCTTTATCTGAAGGGGGCAGAGGGAGTGGGAGAAAACATGGTGACATTTCCAATCTTCTCAAACAGTGATGGCTAGAAACAGACTTGAAGCAGAATAACTGCAGTCAGCATAGCAGTGCTTATTAAATTCTCCCCATCTGAATTACTTTCTGTTTGCAGAAGAGGACTGATATGTTAATGGCTTGCTGGTCTTCTGTTATTGAATTCTGAACTTCTGTTTTGATCACTACACGTGTGCAAGTTTGTTGCACATTGTACTCAGTGACCTAGTCCTAAACCAAACCATGGCTTAGTGTGAAAGGAGCAAACGATATGCAGGCCTCTCAACAAAATTTGTCAGAATGGCCCCCCTGCTTTGCAGCCCTTGGGTAGGATGAAAATTCAGCTCATGGCGGGGATTTTCTTGATGTTCCTCCTGTGCTATTCCTCATTCCTGTTCTCCTTTTATTTCTCTCTCAGCTGCTGCAAGAGGCCACCATGAGTTCCCTATGGTGCTCAGGCAGTGGGGACGTCATCGAGGACTGGTGCCGGTGTGACTCAAGTGCCTTCGGTGCTGATGGGCTTCCGGCCTGTGCCCCTCTCCCACGCCCTATGTAGGTGTCCCCACCGTCAGTTTGCAGAATTGAGATTTTGCTAAATGTCTTTTGGGAAACGTGGCCTCATGTGATACTGTTCGTTGTAGCAAATATTCTTCTAGCACCAGAAATAAAGAGAGAAATGATGGCTGAAAACTGAGGATCTCGTCTTTCCAAACAGAGTTACCTCTCTTGAGTCTCTTTCACAGAATCATGGTGGTGGATTTGATCAGACTGTTCCTTTTTGAATCTGGTGTGGGAGAGAAGGCACCCATGGCTTGATCTCCATGCCTGCAGCTCCTGACAGTCCCCATAATGCTGTTAGGAGCCCAGACGCAAGCAGGGTCTACATCAAAAAGTGTATATCAAAAAGGGCAGGAAGGCATTGCCTTTCTGCTCCATTGCTTCCAAAGGAAAGTGCATTTTACTGGTGTCTGTTTTTTATTGGGTCTTAAGAGTATTTCGCGTGTATGTTTTATTGCTGTTTTTAGGATACTCTGTTTATGTCATGAATTTTCATGGCAGGAAAAAGGCAGGATGCAAAAAGTAAATATTAAATCAATATTGTAGTAAGCCTACAAAGAAGGCTGCAGGTGCAAAGGCAAGCTTTTACTGTCCACCAGGGTAAAAAAAACCAGCAGCAACAACAACTGTTGGGAGTTCAAGGTTTCATAGCTTACTCAGCGTAACGAGTTTGATGCTGCTCGTTTCTATATTTCATTTTGGCCTTCTCCCGAGGCGTGCAGGGCAGTGGTCATTGTCCCATTATGCCCTCACCGTGAGAAGGTAGGTTGAGCTGAGGTATCGTAATGGAATGGAATCTGAATCTGCCTGCTGGATTTAGAGTGTCCATTTAATTGTCCCATTTTGGGTTCTGTGCGAGGTGTGTGTCTGAAAGATCTCTAGTTGGGCCCTCCCCTGCCCACCCCCTTTGCGTTGTGCACCAAAGACAGGGCATGGCAAAGTGTGCCCTGTTCATCTCATTAATGTTACCCCCCCACCCTTGTGGGGGCTTGAAGGTACTTGAATAAGCAGAACACATTATTAATTGAGCATCGTTGCTTAAGCACCATCAGATGCTCTGTTGAATGCAGTATAGTGAAATGAAGGCAGAAGGGGGGGGTACTCTGTTGTCAGAATTTTGTTGAATTTGAGTTGGCATTCCCATTGACATCGTCAGGAGACGCTTGCCAAGGGTTAGCCATAGCCTGACCTCTGTTTTTGCTCTCCCCTCTGCAGGCTAAGGTTGTCCACTGTTCATGAACCTAGTAGCTCCCTGGTAGTTCTGGAGTGGGAGCATTCGGAACCCCCAATTGGAGTACAGATCGTTGATTACCTCATCCGCCAGGAGAAGGTGACTGACCGCTTGGACCATTCCAAAGTGGAAACTGGTGAGTGCAGTTTATTCTTTTGTAAATGCGTTTACACAATTATTTTTGAAAATTTCTAAACAGTGTCTTTCATCCAAAACATGGATTCCAGGGTAGTGTGCATAAGAATTAAATATCAATGCAATATAACACCGTATTCTTAAAGGTAAAGGTACTCCTGACTGTTAGGTCCAGCCGTGAACGACTCTGGGGTTGCGTGCTCCTCTCTCTCTATAGGCCTAGGGAGCCGGCGTTTGTCCGCAGTTTTTCTGGGTCATGTGGCCAGCATGACTAAGCCGCTTCTGGCAAAACCAGAGCAGCGCACGGAAACGCCGTTTACCTTCCCGCTGGAGTGGTACCTATTTATCTACTTGCACTTTGACATGCTTTCGAACTGCTAGGTTGGCAGGAGCTTGGACGGAACAACGGGAGCTCACCCTGTCGCGGGGATTCGAACCGCCGAACTTCTGATCGGCAAGCCCAAGAGGCTCTGTGGTTTAAAGAAGGGCTAATACTAAATCACAGTCTTGCCAGAATAGTTTGTTCCAGTTTAGATGACAAAATAGAGCTCTCTCCATAACAGCATAAGAAGAGCTCTGCTGGATGAGACCCAAGGCACTTTCAGGTGCAGCTTTCACAGTCTCCAGCCAGAGAGGGGGACCCAAGCACAATAAAACTCTCCCAGTTGGGTTGTCCAGCGACTGGTTTTCAGAAGCATACTGTGTCTGGCAGTGGAGGGAGAACATTGACATCATGGCTAGCAGCCATTGACTGTTAATATCACCCACTAATTTGTCCAACCCTGTTTTAAAGTCATCCAGGTTCCAACCCAAATCCAAAATCCAGTTTTAAAAACCATCATTATGATCATAAGAATCTCCATCGTTTCTCAACCGTTTGAGCTAGGAATGAGCCAGAAGGCTCCCTCCACATTCAGCAGAGCTTGGTCCCCACAAAGAGGTCCAGAGTGGGTAGATGGGAATAAACAGGAGGGTTTGCAATAATTTCTGAAGACTTTAAAAAGTTTCCTTCCCCTTTATGTTTAAATGGCAAGCTTTGGTTTCATTGTGCCTCAGTATCAGCCTGTGTCTGACTTAAAAATGAAGCCCCAAAACGCCTGGGGATGATGCCACAATCATTTGCAAAGAGTCAGGACATTTTATGAAGGGAAATGGATGCCCCCATATTAGTCACCCTATTCTGTGCTCTACATCATGATCACACTCATTTGGATATTTCCTACATTGTCTTTTTGTGCAAACAATTATACAGGACTCACTTTTAGAGTTGCCATCAAAATCCGGTTTAAAGCAAAATTCAGGGTTTGAGTTTGAAGTTCGTTCTCATGTAGGGCACCTGAAGAATCTCAAAGGAAACAAACATTGGATAAAAAGTTCCAGATTTCTCAGGGCAAATGCAGGAGGGGAATGTCCAGCACTTCCGTACAGTGGTACCTCGCAAGACGAATGCCTCGCAAGACGAAAAACTCGCAGAACGAATTAATTTCGTCTTGCGAGGCACCACTGTACGTTGCCATCGGATTTGAAATGAATTTGGAAGTTCATCCTCTCGTGGAATATTTGGTGAAATGTCAAGGCTCATGATTTGTTTGTTTGCTCAGTTCACAGTACTGGTTGTGTCATTTAAAGCCTCAAGCAATTTGGGACTGGGTTATCTAAAGGGCAGCCTCCTCCCATTGGAGCCTGTCTACATTCTTCAATCACCACAGGAGGTTTGGGCTCTCTGCCCTTTAAGGTGTGATGGATAGGAGCTTCTTGGTGGTAGCACCCAGGATGTGAAATCTGCTGCCCTGTGAAATTTTTCTGACCTCTTCTCTCCCTGCCTTACAGAGCCAGTAAAAAAATCAGTGCTTATTTGGCACACTCTTGCATAAATGAACCATGAATGTTGCTGCCAACTCTTCTGTTACTTTTCCACGTTTATTTCTGCTGGTTGCTGCTGGATGGCTTTGATTCTTATTGCTTTGCTTGTTTAAGCAATTGCTTCTATTTGGGGGTTGCAGCCACCCTGAAGGGTCAGGAAGGTGGGGTGCAAATACCTTAAGAATTAATTGTCAGTCAGAAGCAGAGTAAAATGGCTTTGGTTGCCAAACTCCTCTCCAGCTTCAATTTATTATTATTAATGTAGTTATGACTATTACTATCTATATACTTATTTTTATACCACCCTTTTCCTCTGACAGGGACTGAAGGTGTCTTACAGATAAAAATGAGAACAGCTAAACACATAGAAAACCCCAATAATTAAAAAGCAACTAAGCATTAATACACACTCACATATAATACAATTTATTAAAAACATAAAAATTAATATGATTTATTAAAAACATGCAGACATTTCCTATGCTCCTCTGTCTTCCTTGCTCCTTGTCCATCTGCATTATCAGATAATGGCTGGGTTGCCTGTTTCCCTAGAGACGGTGCTGAGTTTTGTGGATGACATCATCTCTGGGGCCAAGTCGCCCTGCGCCATGCCAGCGCAGGTGCCTGACAAGCTGTCCGCCACCATCTCCTTGATCATCCGCTGCCTGGAACCTGACACCACCTACATGTGAGTAGCAATACCAGCTGCTGACTTGTCTCGAGCCCACATGTGGTAGGCAGCAAAGGGGAATAGACATCTTTTGAATTAAGATGGAGATGCAAGGCACATTTGCTCATGCAGCCCAAACATATATGCTGCATGTATCTGGTGATATTTTCTGTTCCGTCATCAGGTTCACTCTCTGGGGTGTGGATAACACAGGGAGACGTTCAAGGTCAAGTGATGTGACTGTGAAGACTCCTTGCCCGGTGGTGGACGATGTGAAGGCCCAAGGTAACAGTGCTGCCGCAGAGACCTGCCCGTTGGCAAAAGAAGCATCTGCGTACAGCGCTTGAGGATTTTATTTTTAATCATTTTGTGTGTGTGTGTGCGAAACCTATTCCTGCAACTATAAATTTTAGGGTTTCGGTTTGAAAAATGATGCTTTGAAAAGGCACAATATATTATCTGGCATGTACATCTGTGTTGCAAGTTGCAAAGCTAGGTTGCTGGTAAAGAGCCTTCGGGAGCTCATCTTTGAAATCCTTGTTCCATCTTCACTGTTGCATTGAAACACAAAATGCCTGTCTTCCCTTGCCCTGCTTGCCCAGGGTGGCTGTTTCCCCAGCAATCTCCCTTCGCCCTTCCCAAAAATGCTGTGTTGAGGAGGGCAGCTGTGATGGGGAAACACTTTTTTCCAAGAGGTGCTGTTTAAACTCCAAACTACCCTTCACTATGTCGATCAACATTTCACCTTCCCTTTTTGTTTAAAACCAGAAATAGCAGACAAGATCTACAACCTCTTCAATGGCTACACTAGCGGGAAGGAGCAGCAAACGGCCTACAACACCCTGCTGGACTTGGGCTCACCAAGCCTTCACCGGGTCCTGTACCATTACAACCAGCACTACGAGAGCTTTGGGGAGTTCACCTGGCGATGCGAGGATGAACTGGGCCCCCGGTAAGATGAGACCTTCTGTGCCATGCCGGTTGTTTCAGAATACTGTATCTGCCAAAGTTATTGTCACTAGACATCTTTAAGCCACAACATGTAAAATGGAAAAGATACTGGGAGTGTGTCTATGCCACAGCATGGCTTAACTGGTTTAATAGTAATTATCTTTCCCCGTAGCAGTTCGAAAGCACATCAAGTGGAAGTAGATAAATAGGTACCACTCCAGTGGGAAGGTAAATGGCATTTCCGTACGCTGCTCTGGTTCGCCAGAAGCGGCTTAGTCATGCTGTCCACATGATCCGGAAGCTGTACGCCAGCTCCCTCAGCCAGTAAAGTGAGATGAGCGCCGCAACCCCAGAGTCGTCTGCGACTGGACTTAACGGTCAGGGGTCCCTTTACCTTTTTTGCCTTTCCCCAAGGAGTGTTGGGAACTATGGCTTTGTGAGGAAATAAGAATTTCCAACATAGTTACCCATATCATCACCAAACTGGGATCCACAGGATTCTTTGAGGGGAGCCATAACGATTAAACTGATATAAAAGGGGCACACATGTTTAGCATTGTTCTGTCCTTTAGTTCAGGGTAGTGACACATATTAGATGCCAGAGGGCTGAAAAAAAATAAAGAATGCTTGATTAATTTGCACACCCAACCAACTCTTTCAATAGGCCTCAGAGCAGATTACCCTATAGCAAGAGTTGGGGTGGGGGTGTCTACCTTACTATTTTCCTGGCTATGGATGAGCTTTATTCTTACTTACTAGTAAGGGATGTTTTAAAAATGATTCAAGAGAGATGTAAGAGTTAATTCCCTTTAAAAAAAATAAACTCTGAAATTAGAGGAGTCAGGTGGTGTCAAGTTATTATCACCCAGCAGCATTTGATGGAGATCATTTCATCATAAGGATGATGATAAAACTTAGGGATCCAACTTGCTGCTTGGATCAGCTGCCTGCAGACAGATCAAATGCACCTGTGACTGACAGGGCAAGCGACTTGCAGATTCCACCTTAACTAAGAGACTGGCTGCTCTGTTACAGCATTTTGTCCTCAATGCACTTGTCATCTTGCATACCAACAATGTCCCTCCTGCTTTGAGGGCTGGAGGGGACAGAGTAATAGGGCTTTTTCACCCTGGAAACACTTTGGAAGAGGCACCACAGCTCCTTGTAGTATTTATCCTGTTTTTGCCCTTGGTCAAACACATTTGGCAAGTGTTTGTATTGCTTCAAAAATCTACACAACCTGCATGATTCTGAGCAATAGTGGAATCAAAGAAATGGGGGTGTACATTGCAGGAAGTGAAGCCGAAATCCCCCTTTAACTCTCTTGGAGTCAAACTCAATAAGAAGACAGAGATCTGTAGCTGGAGTTCACTAGTTGTTGTTTCAAGTCTGTTTTTTTGCCAAAAGCAACCATAGTCTCAATGGGTTCAAGTCCCTTGGCACGTCATGATACATGTTTGGCCCCTCCCCTCACTCCACAAATACTGTTTTCCTAATGAAAATCCCTTTCTAACATGCTGTTTACTCCATTAGGGAAAATCTATGTGTTGCAGCTTCAGAGGATGGGTTTCACTGAGAAAATGTTGGGTGGGGTGGGGTGAGCTCCACTGTAGACTCAATCCAGATTAGAGACCTTTTCTTTTTTTGCCAAAATGTAAAGCGATCACTGTTCCCCATCATCTCACGTGGTTTGGCCCTAGAAAGACTCTGAGGGGGAGGACTCTTCATGGCTTCTTATGCTTTGCCATCCTTGAGCACTTCTTCAGCAACCACTTGGCTTTCAAGTAATTTCCTAGCAACAGTAGTTGCCATGACAAAGAACAAGCACCCAACAAAAAGCTGGGTTGTTGGTAACTCTGACATCTGGAAGCTGAAAGGCTGCAGGCTTTGCGATGCTGACACTTAAGCCAAACATCTGGCTTATATGACAGTGAGAGGTTAGTGGCAGTCTGTCAAAGAGGAATCTTGGAGAGTACAGTCTAGCTTGAACCCACTTACATCTTGTGTCCCTAGTCTTTCTCTCAGGAGCTCAGGGTGGTATCCATGAAGCCTTCTGCCATTTTGCTCTTGCAACAACCCTGCATGGTACATTAAACTAAAAGACAGTTGCTGTCCAAAGCCCTTCCAATGAGCTTTGCTGGCCCAGGTGATGCAATCAGACCACTATGCCACACTGGTTCTGATATCCTGGAGAGCTCAGCTGATGAAGTTCTAATCCAGGGATGGGGAACGTGTGGCTCTCCAGATGTTGTGCTCCCATCAGCCCCAGCCAGCAGGGTCAATGGTCAGGGGTGATGGGTGCTGTAGCCGAACAACATCTGGATATTGTTTCATGCACTTTCTCTCAGTAACTCATACAGCAATCATAGTGGCAGTTAAACTCGGTTCACCTGCATACTGACCTCCACGGCCTCTTTTTGAGGTCAGTGTGGCACACATGTGAACTGGGACTGAGCAAAGGTTCCTGCTGACTCCATTGCACCTTTCGCTGACCTCCAGGAGGGGGACAGAAGCACAGCTTTAATTAGGGGCTGGTTCAAGGGCTTCTTAATTTCTCCACCTCCCCCCCCCGCCATTTAAAAGTTCAGCCATGGTTCTTTTTTTCTTTTTTTTAAATGATATTTATTAAAATTTCAAAAGAAAAAGATCACATTGATAAGAAAAATAACAATAAAAAAAAGAAAAATACAAAGTACCAAAAAAAACAATTAAAAACAATTCCATCTTTTCATCACTTCTCTTACATTTACTTATTTCCCAGACCTCCTCATACCTCCCTTTTTTGTATTCCAATTCAATTTGTTAGTCCAGCAATTCCTTTCCCTCCTTTTAATCCTGATCTTTAATCTTACTATATTATAGCATTAAATTTTTACATATTGAAAGCCAATTTTTCCATATTCTTTTATACCATTACAGCTAGAAACCACTTAACTTCAATCCGACATCATTCTAACATTCATTAATTTTACAATATTTCTGTAAGTAATCTTTAAATTTCTTCCAGTCTTCTTCCACCGACTCTTCTCCCTGGTCTTGGATTCTGCCAGTCATTTCCGCCAATTCCATGTAGTCCATCATTTTCATCTGCCATTCCTCCAGTGTGGGTAGATCTTGTGTCTTCCAATGCTTTGCAATAAGTATTCTTGCTGCTGTTGTAGCATACATAAAGAAAGTTCTGTCCTTTTTTAACACCGATTGGCTGACTAAAAGTTCAGCCATGGTTCAACTGAACCAGCAACACATCAGACTTTGGAAATGAGGTCTCAAACGTCTTTGGGGAAGATGCTGAATAATATTAGTTGCCATCTCCCCCCAATCCAACCCCATACATTGCCATTGTCACAATGTAGCATGAAATGTATTTCCCCCAGAACATCTGTCTTGAGCCATAGCAACAGTGCTTTTTTCTGGGAAGGGGGGACACAGGGGTACGCATACCCCTAAACATTTTGTGAATCTTTGTACTTTGGTCCATTTACTGTATTTATTTTCCCCCGAATTGAACTATAAAATGGTGATTTTCTTGAGTCAAAATGAGAATACCCCTAAACATTTTTTAAAGAAAAAAAGCACTGCATAGCAACATATGTTCTATAAGAAAGTCAGCAGGAGGATTTTGCCATGTTTTAATCTTGAAACAGAGAACTGTACCCTGAACATGTATCCCAAATACAAACAAACGTTACGATCCAGCAAACAGAGGATGCTAAATTAATGACTTGGTGCAAAGGCCTCACTTCTTGTGCTTTAGGACAAGCTGCCCAAGGAGGGTAATGCAAATAAAATCTCCTCATGTGAAGGCTTTCATGAGAAATCTAGGTAAAGGTGGTCCCCACACACCCCCGGCCGTGATCTAAGTTCCAGCGTGGTTGATGTCTCATCTTTCTCACCACAATTTCTATTCTGCCATCTCTCTGGGGAAGAGCCATAGCTCACTGGTAAAGCTTCACATGCAGAAGGCTCAGATGCAACCCCTGGCGTTTCCAGATGGGACTGGAGGAGAAACTGCCTTAAACCCTGGAGAGTGGCTGCCATTTTGAGCAAGCCACACCCACCATCCCTCCCCTGACATCATACATGGCGTTGGGTGTGAAGTGGCCTTTCAGATTGAACAACTGGAAGCCGAAAGTGGCTCCCAGTTGGTTGGTTACTGCAGCAAGGCCAGTTCCCAACCACCCAGCGGTTTATGGGCAATAGGGGCACGCAAAGGAAAAGTGCAGGAAGAATCACAAAGCCCTTTCCCACATTCCCCATTTCAACCTCCAATGCCATGTGTTGAAAGGGGGAGTGTGAGGTGGGCTTTGCACTACCAGCATGGTTCAGGGGTCAATTCTCGGTTCCTCCTGTGTCCCCACCACCACCTCCCTGCCAGTGCTGTGAGACGCAAGAGAAAGAAATCTGAATGTTAAAATGCAGGCTTCATTCTGGCTCCCCTCCTTGGCAGCAGGAGCTTGCGAAACCCACAAAGCATTTTGACAAGTGAGCAGGACAACCCACCTGTCAGTCATGTGACCTAATGACACCAGGTGATCGACAGTTGTTTGACCATGCCCACTTGTCCAACTTGGCTGCTAAGGTTAATCTTGATAAGCATCTGAAAAAGTCCCCCACTGCTGGTGTAGATGGTGGATTGATTCCGTATAAGATTGCTTCCTGTGTTTCTGCTTAGGCCCATTTCTACTTCCCTTCCCTTGTCTCTTTCTGTCCTCTCTAGAAAAGCCGGTCTCATTCTCTCCCAGCTTGGGGACCTCAGCACCTGGTGCCATGGCCTCTTGCAGGAGCCCAAGATTGGTCTTCAGCGCATGTCGCTCAAATTCCTTGCCTGCCGTTACAGTGAGATCAAGCCATACGGATTCAGCTGGATGGAGCTGAGTCGGGACCTCAAGAAAACCTGTGAGGAGCAGATGTTGAGTGTCCTCTACAATGACTACGGGGACAGAGACAACTGAGAGGAATCAAGGAAAGAAGACAAAGGACTTCCTCAGAGTCGGGAGGAAGACAGGGAGTTTGGAGGTGCAGGATGGGTGGGTTTTGTACATGGATCTTCAGGGCATCAGATAGATCTCTAGGACAATGTTTAGCCAAGGAGAGGAGAACTCACTCGCTGCATTGGTTAGCCTGGCTTGACATGGTCAACAAACTTCTGACATTTTCAAGCTATGTGGGACCCAGTGGGTGGTGTTTGGTATTTTGGGTGGGGGTGGGGATTGCTCTGCTAAGTTTGCCAAGAGGTTCCTCGGAGTGGTGTGGGGAGACAAAGGGGGGTGTTTTGGGGAGAGAAATCCTCCTTCACACTGGGGTACAAAAGTGGCAGCCTGCTCTCTTCCCACACCCAGTATAATTTCAACCGAACAGGCAAGGCCAAGAAAATAGGGGATTCGCTTTTTGGGACTGAAAAATAGAGGAAGAAAAAAATGGAGACAGGTTCAAAGGAAGGTATAAAATGCTTGGAATGAGATGGATTAATATCCTAACTTTTACAGAGAAAGGTTTGTGCCTTCTTATGGTTTCAGCTGCTCTCTGCCATGTCTCCATTGAAGCAGGTGCCTCCTCTTATCCATGCCGCTGTAGAGAACTTTTTCTAGGATGTAGCTAGAGTTTCTCTCTCTGTGGCCCCCATGGCTGCCTTTATGGCCTGTGACTTGAATGTACTTCGTTGGGATTCATCAGGATCAGCTCAGACACCGCAAAGTTGCAGAGTGGCAGGGTCTGCAATATAGCACAGAAGCTTCCTTAGCTTAATATGCTGAGGACAAGACCAGAATCAGAGACTACAGCATATAACGAAACTGGATTCTACCACCAGGAAATGAAAGTAGAATAAATTATGCAAGTATATTTTGTTTATTTGGTTTTTTAAAAAACCCTGGATAGCTCAGTTGGTTAGAGCATGGTGCTGATAATGGCAAGGTTGGAAGTTCAGTCCCCGTATAAGACAGCTGCATATTCCTGCATTGCAGGGGGTTGGACTAAATGATCCCCAGGGTCCCTTCCAACTCTATAGTTCTGTGATTCTGTAATTCTATACTTGACTTATGAGATAGAAACTTGGAAGCAGAGCTTCAAATGATTTGTCCCACGACACTGCCATCCAGCCTATGTCAGCAGGTGGTATGACTATATGGCGAACTGTGAGACAAGGAAGGGCTTGCAGTGATCAGCGTATCAAGATGGGGTGAGGGTCACAGGGGGCTATGAAGAGGGAGGGTCTTCATTTGTTCAGGGAAGCCTCTTCCCACACGTCTCTCTTAAGTCCTTGTGTGCACAGCCAATGCAGATGGAGATGAGATTCTGGACATACAGCACTGTAGGTACTAAGAATCCAGAGATATGTAGTTTCCCAGCAGATGCCGAGTACTCAGTGGGGAAGTACATGTCTTGGTGTAACTGTGACATTGCTGAGTGGTGAAGAATTGATTTGCTGAAGAGTTTTGTCTGCCGTCTACTCTCTCTTCCCCTTGGTTGTCTTCAGCCTGCTCTAGAGGGTGGGGATTGTGGCTGCTGCTAAGCAAATATCCCAGGTGCAAGGAGCCCTGAGACTTACTTAGTGCCCAGGCTGCCTAAGGCCTCTGCTGAGCACTCAAGTGCCCTCAAAGCCGGCTTGTCCCAGGATTCCTTAACGGCTTAGAGGTGTGCACAAATTCGGCCAGCATCCTGGAGCCAGAGAGGAACTTCTCAGGGAAATTATGGGCAGGAGAAATTTGAATTCTAAATCAGGTAATAATAAAACGCAGTGACATGACTAGAACCAATAAAATTGGGAAGGGCTCATATTAGCTTTAATTTGCTGGTGGTGGCATGAGCCCAGCTGACATAAGCTGTTGGAAGGAGGCAAAGCTGCCCCCAACACTTTTGATCTTTGAGTGGGAGCACAGGTGGAGGTCTCATGGCACAACTTTAGCATCTCCCCCCCCCCCCACGCCCACACTCAACAAGTCAGAAGCTAATGATTCTTTTTCAGGTATTTTGGCAGCAGGTAGTTTATTGGAATTAGGTATCACCAACGTACCAGGCAACAATGGTTGTCTGGTGCTGCGGGTGTCATTTCATATTTCACGCCAGAGTCAAGCAAGTTAGTTCTTGGATCCATTCAAAGTCAAACATTGAAGGGGGGGAAAGTGTTTCTTGTTACTGCACCTGTATCTTTTCCCTGCAGGTGGCAGAAACAGCTAGGGAATAGTTTTGGACAGAAAAACAGCTGGAGGAGGAAGGATGAAGCACCTTTCACAATTGCAGTCTTTGGCAGAAGCTTTTTACCTTAAATCAAAAAATTGTTGGGAGACTGTTGCCTGCATCCAGATATGCAGCTTTGCCTTCAGTGTGCAAGGACCAGTGAGTCAGTGCAGAGAAGCACCTTCCCACTTTGCCTCAAGTGGCAAAACAGGGCAGCCCATGCCTGTAAAAGGGTCCATCTCAGTGGCACCAAGATCAGGGAAGCTCTGGGTTGGCGGTGGTACCACCACTGCCCCTCCCCCTCCCCAAATGGGCCACCACTGGTCCATCCTGTCTTGCATCCTGTTTTCAGCAGTTGCCAGCCAAATCTTTGGGACAGCTCCCCCATTGTTTGTTTCCCAGCAACTGTTGTTTCAGGAGTATGCTTGATCTAAATTTGGATTTTCCTTTTTTCCTATCGTAGCTAATAACTACAAATAAAACCATCTTCTGTGTGTAGAGTGAGTAGAGTTGCCCAGATCCTACTCAGTACTACCAATATCTAAAAGTAGTGCTAGATGTAGCAGGTAGAGATGTTCCTTCCAAGAGACAAGAGGCTGCTATTTTTACAAGTTGTTGTATACAAGGGGTGACTGACAAGAGAGGAAAATGTTAAGGTGACTTCCTCACATTCAAGGCATGCTATGATGCTAGCTGCCAGATATCTCCAGCAGAGTGTCATCCCTAGAGATGGCCTCATAAGTGGTCTCTTTGTTCCTTCTTTTGTCTCACCAAAATGTGATGAAGAAGCATATAGTCACTGCCCTCTTGAATTTAACCTGAGTACCCTCAGTCAATTTTGAATTATGGTGCTAGAGGAGACTCTTGAGAGTCCCATGGACTGCAAGAAGATCAAACCTCTCCATTCTGAAGGAAATCAGCCCTGAGTGCTCACTGGAAGGACAGATCCTGAAGCTGAGACTCCAATACTTTGGCCACCTCATGAGAAGAGAAGACTCCCTGGAAAAGACCCTGACGCTGGGAAAGATGGACGGCACAAGGAGAAGGGGACGACAGAGGACGAGCTACAAACATGAGCCTGACCAAACTGCGGGAGGCAGTGGAAGACAGGAGTGCCTGGCGTGCTCTGGTCCATGGGGTCACAAAGAGTCGGACACGACTAAACGACTAAACAACAACACCCTCAGTCAAGTTGCCTGTAGTCTGTTCAACTATAGACTGTAGGCTGCCTATTATCTGTTAGATAATAGAAAATGGTACATGATAGTCTTTCTGAGTCCATCATATTTCTCAATGGTATAAATTAAAAATATAGACAAGAAGTCGCATGGAAGAAAGGGACTTTAGCTCAGCAGGAATTTGGTTGTAACATGACAAATTCACTGGTAATGACACAATGACAGAGTCCCGAGTCCATCCCTTGTTGAGTGCTCTGAGGAGGGCAAGCAACTGCTTCTCCTTGCCCCTGATGGGAGAATATCTAGCAGAGCTGTTACTCACTAGAAGCCCTACAGCACAATGCTATGTCTACTTAGAAGTAAGCCCTATTGAATTCAGTGGGGCTTACACCCAGGTGGATGAGGTTAAGATGGCAGACCTAGGTCAAGGCACTGTGTATTTTAATTGAAATATTCCAGAAGGGAAAATATGTGCTTGTTCTTAGATGATGCACACCCTTTTTGCAGCCAGGCACCACCTTAGAAGATGAATTCTCTACCATTTGGGAAAGGAGAAGGAACGTCTGTTCTAAGATGATGGTGCTGCCACAATTTTTGTAGCTACTTGTACTAAAAATAATGAACAGGTTTGAAAAACTGCTGCCAAATTGATTGGGACACCTTCTAAATAGATTCACAAATTAATTGACTAAACGAGATGCCTCTAATTTCTCAAATCGTTTCCGTTCACATCCATGCTTAGTCTCTCATAGTATCTTTCTCTTGCCCCCACCCAACACTTTATTTTGCCTGGGCTCATCTAATGCTCAAGTCCTGCTCCCAAAATTAGTGACAATTTTTTGCTTGAAGTAGTTTGGGAGTTCCTTGTTGCAGAATTCTGAACTCCCACCCTGAACGATGCAGGTTCCCTCTCTGAATTGCTGAAATAGTTCCCTTACAGTCTTGTGTTTTTTGTTACTAATTTTGCAGGTATTGTTCACTGGATTTTTATAGCTTTGGAGCAAAAAACTGACATTATAGCATTGTGGGACCACAATAGGACCCAATATCCCATGCCCATTGCCACTCACAAGTAGGCCCAAGAACGCTAACATGGGATAATTATTGAAAACTTCCTGTTAATGTAAATCAAAAGAGCGAGCTTACTGTTAGCATTTGGGGGCCTCTTTGACACCAGATTCTGCCATTTGTTTTAAATTGCAGTGCTTTATTCTGCCAGTTGCCCAAGGCAGACTTAGCTTACGATCCTAAGGTTTAAGAACAGCACATGAAAAAGGGACGCCTGAACCAGGTTGTAGCATTTCCTAAGGCAACTTCTGCATCCTTAGGTACATCTCTAATCCTCACCGCAGCTTACTCCCAATTCAGGTCACTCATCCAACTCCTGCTTCCTTTCCACAGACCAGCCTGCAATTCCACCGCCAAACACACAAACACACAATCTTCTGCTTCTACACTTCTCTGCCCTTAAATTCCCCACCCCCTGCTCCATTATATGGCTGGGGGAGGTCAGGGTCAGGCCTTCATTTTAAACCACCCATGTAAAACTGGCAAACCGGAGTTCCACCATCTTGGATATGGTTGCTGCCATACAGGGTTTGTTTGCAGACACTTGGGTTGGGCCATTGAGCTTGCACCGTGGAATTCATACAGGGATATTGGTTCTTTTTTAAAAGAAAGAAGAAATGCCCCTGTCCGCAATCTGACTTCTCATTTATCATGGAAAGATACAACTGAAGTGGTTCCCCCGCCTCTTTACTATTATTTCTTCAAGATCTTGTATTGCTGTATTTGCATGGTTACCTTTTGCTTGTTGTGAGATTATTTTGGTTATCGATATGATTGGGTCAGTTGATTTTTCCCTCAAATGTCTTATTTACTACAATTCTCATTTCTTGGTGTTCTCTTAAAAATATCAAGCAAAGTTTTGCTACTGTAGATGGATGGTGGCTGGGGCTGGCGGCAATGTCAGGAAAGTCAGTATTATTATTGTTATTCTTTTTAAAAACGTTTCAAAGTAATAATTGTAACACTCTGTAAAATCCAGATTACCATCTAACTGAATATTAAATGGCGCTGTTAGTAATTTGTGGGGTTAGGAAATTGCAGTGTCTCTTTATATTTTCAAACCAGCTGACATCTATTTTCCTCCCTTTTTTGGTGTTGGATGAAATGTTTAGGCTATACTTCCTTTGCTTTCAAACTTAATTTCCTCATTAGTTTGCCAAGAAAACCCTGCACATTTTTGTCGAAGCTAGTAATGGGGGTATATTTTCAGTCTGAGGAGTTTTAAATGCAAAATCCCCCCATTCAAAAGTGTCCCTCAACCCCTTTTGAGTGGGGCTCAGACCCCTTGAAATCCAGGTCTGGTTTGAAATGGGGTTTGGCCCTTGCTGATAGCCTGCTCTCCTTAGCCAGCTTCTCCGTACTGTTCCCAAGTAACACCACCTTTATGCTTCAGAAGAGCACAGCAGAAATGGATTTATCATTTTCCCTGCCTCCCAAATTGAATCAGGAGACAGACGAAACTACAAACCCTGTGCTCCACTGCCGTCATTTCATCCCAGGGAGCATGGGATTAAATCTTTTTTTGCCTCCGGATTCAATTTGGGAGCCAGAGGAAATGATACATTATTGTTTTTGAGAAAATGACACTCCACTTAAGGGAAGTCCAGAAACGACAGCTCTAGCAAGTTTTCCTTCTCGTTGCTTGAAAAGGTGTTTCGGAGGGTTTGCATGGCAAGGGGAGGCAGGCTTCATCTATCCTGCCCCCCACCCCCCAAAAAAAACATTCTTGGAAAATCTCCAAAAATAAACCCAGCTTTTGTGGGAGCATTTTCTAGGAAAGCTTAAAATGACAGAAAGGAAAAGGGTTTTGAGGCAAATGGGGTGAGGGTCACACAGAGACCAGGATATAGTTCTCATCCATTGAGGGCCCCTGCTTTCCACATACACATGCTTAATAGGATGTAGGATACAATTAGATGTATTAGAACGTGTGTGCGTGTGTGTGTGTGTGTGTGTGTGTGTGTGAGAGAGAGAGAGAGAGAGAGAGAGAGAGACTTTTCTCCTGATCCAGAGCTGAAATCTCTTCCCACCTGTCAGCATCCTCCCTTTTCCTGACCTTGCACCGTTCCAGTTTTCTTCTAGTGACATAGCAAAAGAACTTGCTTACTTCAGTAAATGAAAATCGGCATTACGTTATAACAGGTGAGTCAATGGCAAACGAAAACTTGCAGGTTTGTGTTTATTTCCTTGGTTAAATCTGCTCAAACGATGTCGCTGTCCATTTTGTCGGGCTGATCTTGCCTTTCTTTGCAGACAATACTTTCGCTTTCAAGTCACAGGCAGCAAAATGGGGAAAGACACGAGGATAGGTAGATTATTTATTTCCATAGATTTTTATAAAAAATAATTATCAAATACAAATAAAATAAAATAAAATAGCAGCAGCCTCAATTGTGAATAAAACCCTCCCTCCAAAAGGGGACAAGATGCTCCAAGTTGCTAAAGGAAGTCCCATATCCCCTGAACCGTAAAAAGAAGCAATTCACCCCAATTAATTTTCCCACTGGCCTGCCATCAGCTTCTCCGGCTGAATGTGGCTTCTTCATCCTAAACCTTCAGCCCTGTCCTTGGGGGAGTTAACAATTTATTAAACACTGGAAGTTATTAATACTGGAATGCCTGTTTTAGACAAACTAGAAAGCTGTCTGGTAGCCAGGTGACCAACCAGGCATGTACCTTTTTGAAGTCTGGAATCTCTGCTGAAGGAGTTGTATATGAAGCAACTGGCTAAGGTGTCAAAAGACACGGCTGCTGCGAATGTAGGGTCACGTTTCTCCAATACATCAGAAAATAAAGCCCCAACTCAGCCTCCGTGATGAACCCTTATTATAATGGGACCATTTCTATGAAGATAATGTCCCAAATCCAGAGCTGGTTTTGTGCTTTGAAGCACCTGCACGTGCCATTGGATGTGTTTGATTGGACCAATTTTTGCTGTCAAACCCTTTTTAATGATGATGATGATAATGATGATATTAAAACACGTCTACAGTCCACACGTAGAGGTTCTTTGTTAAGTGCAGCAGCTCTAGGCAATAATCAAAACTAACTTTTGTATAAACCTCTGACGAGAAGAAGCCTTTGCCTGGCTCAGAAATTAGACATTATTTCAAAAGGAATATGGTCTGCCAAAGCTGTTCTCTTAGTGTCTCGCAGCAGCTTCAAATGGTACCTTGCTGCAGAGGAATAGGAGAAGCTTCCTGTTCTTCCACAAAAAAAAATATGTCTTACTCAAAACATTCATTGCCTCCCACCTGGGAGACACGTTCGATATCTCTGTGCCAACGGCTTACATGGCTCTCATCATGGAAACGATCTGGAGTCTGAATTTTGGTAGTGATGCTGGTGTAGAGGAACAGGAAGCACACTGGACTTGTGCAACCTGTGCTTGTGCAGCAAAATAGCATCCAAAGCAACTCTACGCAACTTGTTCTTTTGTACCCAGACGAGAAGCAGCTTCCTGGCATTTTGTCTTCCCTTTACAGGCAGTGAAATGGTGCGCCTAAACAAATTGGAAGTGCTGGTGACAGGAATTGTCATCTCTCTCAGGAACTCATGCTGAGTTTGTAAAATGAGCTATGCTGCTTCAAATGCCACCCTCCTATTCAGCCAAGTTCCTTCCTGACCATCAGCCTCTCTGATGGGCTGAATGCCAGCCCTCACTCTCTGGTGAGTCATACATGTGTTTCCAGACATGTTACTGTCTCACCCATATGTTACATGTTCAGGTGTATGGGGGGAGCCAACAACCCTGTATGCACATCTAAATGTAATCATAGAACTATAGTTCTGAGGGTCACCTACTCCTAAGCAGCCCTACAAATCACTTTTGTGGTTCTGTTTAGTTTTGTTTTTTTAAGCTACTTTCGGTCTACATGGTTGCAGGAAGGCTCCACCAACAAGTTCCTCCCCTTGCCTGACTCTCCCATGCAACTCCTCTCGCCAACCATTTCATCTCAGCTACCTCCAAAACTTGAAACAAGCCTGGCCTGCAAGGGATGTGTGGGGCTTTCTTGAAAAAAACTGATGGGGAAGGGGAATGCTATGTGCATCGTCCCTCCACTCCTGCTATTGCTATTGATTGGCAAACACACGTTTTCCAGTTTAGCATGCAGTTTTGCCCTTATTAGCATTTAGGTCATGAGTATTTGTTATATTCCAGACTGTGCTATTCTGAGGCATCACATAGCATTAGGCAATTCCAGTCCAAATCATATAGAACATCCTACAGTGAGGTCCAGAACCTTCTGAGCCAGAGTCTTCCAAAAGAGTGCCTGGCAGCAATTGCTTAATTTCAGAGTATTTTACAGCAAGGTTGTGACAACCACCAAATAGTACGTAGGTGCTAGTTTTAGGCAGAAATTAGGAGGAGAAGGATGAATAAGCTATATGCCCTTTGGGGCACACATCATGGTGTGTCTCAGAAGTGGCATCTGGCTTTTGGTGTGGGCAGTGCCCAGGCCACCTGCAGCTTGTGACATTTCAGAGGTTTATTTTATGCAGGATACAGCAACTGCTTGGTGGTTAGATGCAATGCATGCATCTCTGGGCAAAATGTATTATATATATAAAAAAGAGCAGCTGCAGGTTAGCCTACATTGCCTTAGGAACAGGTTGGGTGGGAAGTTTAACTCCTTCGCTCCCTGCCCCTGGCCCAACAAAAATCTCTGAAGCCGCCAGTTGCTTTTCAAGGGAAGCTTTAGCTCCTGCCATTTGGAGCTTCCCTTGAAATGCTAATGTTGGGCTTCACCACTGCCCTGTGAAACTAGAGTGCAACCTATCCCACCTTGCATTCCTGCAGCTGTGCCTGGTAGTGAGCCAGCTCTCTTGCGTGGTTGTGTGTGTCTTGCTCTGCCAGGACTGATCTTCTCACTGTGAGAACGCAGTGGTAACACTCCACAGAATAAAACTTGAGAACCACTTGTCCGGAGAAAACATATACCACATGGTGTTCTGGAGCAGTAAAGTATCACAGTGCTGTGTGCATTCTAGAGCAGGGATCACAACAAAAACGGATTTCTTTTTGAGGGGGTGGACAGGCCGTTCCTTCATCTGTGGAGGGTTTTTCTTTTCCTTTTTGAATGTGTGTGGGGTGCTTAGGCATACTGTGTGTGTTTGTGATTGAGAAATACATTTGAGCAGAGAAAGGAAGAGTTGCATGTGTGGTCTGCAGGTGGCTGTGGCAGAAAAGGAGAGGTAATTGTGTGTAATCTGTGAGAGATGTATATGGTATATGTTTGAGCACGGCACCAGTATGTGTGTGTCAATATTGTGTTGTTTCCGGAATCAGCAGCAGCAGAATGTACATGACTCCCCGTTGGAACGACTATACTCCCATGGCAGCCATTTTTGTGACTGGTGCCCACAGCACTAACTTGGATTTTGAAATGTGCCTGCAAGTCCAAAAATGTTGGTGACCCCTGTAGTTCAGCAGTAAAAGCCCACAAAAGTTGCCCATTAGACTATGTGAAGCATCTCTGGGTCCCCTGTTGCAGGATTGGAAGAATCTCCCACCTGTGTCCAAACAGGAAAGCTTTTTAGAAAGCTGTGTCTTTCTGGACACAACATGGGAAACACACTCCTGGATGGGAAGGCTAGGATAGCAAAACTGAAGACAAGTTACTTGTAGACTTGTTTGCAAGTCTGCCCTGATGTATGGACCCAGTACAGTAATGTTAAGTTACTTTAAAAACAGTGTTCTTTTTAATGTTCAAATGTGCAGATTTTCTGTTGTAGCCTTTGGCCTTTATAGGTACCAATTATCTGAGACTGGTGGGGATCTCCTGTTACACTGAAGTACCCATCTTGTGGCCAGTTTATGCAGTGGGCAGAATCAAATGGTAAAGCTTTTCCTGGACTGCACCACCAATATTCTCTGCCCATAAGGAAAAACAAATAGAATGTCAAGAAGAAGGGGGGGCTGTGTGGGGCTGGAGGGGGCCTTCAAACATGCAATCTTACACCAGAAAAACAACAACAACAACATTACTACTTGACTCTGCCGTTCGCATAAACCAGAAATCCTTCTGCGTCTGGAAATCCCTCTGCATCTGACACCAAGTTTTCTGATGTCCCATACTTCACAGCAGCACGTTTTAGCTTAATGATCAGCAAATAAAAATATAATATAGATTTGTAATAAAATTATGCTTAAATATTTGCAGACAAATCACTTTCCCCTCTCTTCCCACCCCCCACCCCCTGCATTTGCAAAAAATCAAGCCCTAGACAGTGAATGAGGGTAGCTGGGCAGACTGACAAAATTCAGAGCAAAGACAGTTGTAGGTGGCAAACCATTTATACAGTAATGCACTGAAGGCAGCCTCGGGGGCCTGATCCAGAGCCAGCTTGCCGGCAGAGCTGACAAGGCTGTGGAACAGGCCCTTGGCCGGCACCTTGATTCCGATGGGAAAGAAGCTGAATGGGTGTTGTAAGGCTGTTTGCTTCCTCCCTGGCGCTCCTTCCCCTCGCTTGCTCTCTGCCTCCTTGTCATTGCTTGCTTTCTTCCATACGTGCTTATGCCTCCCATAGCACCAGGTCTCTGTGCCCCTGCGTTCCACTGGAGTCCTTCCCATCAGCCCTGCGTCCCGCTCCTCCTCAAGCCTGTGTCGTATCCTCCACTCGCTTCCCAGACGGCACAAGCGGCCCTGGCTGCTGTCACTGGTTCTCTTCTGCGGCTGGGTCTCGACAGGTGCACTCGTCCCGGTCACAGCCGATAGGAAATACGACCACCTGGGGAGAGGGGGCAAGAAGCTTGCTTAGGGAGCAGAGTCCATCCACCTGAAAGCAGGTCCCGCACTTGGTATTAACAGCCAGAATGAAAAAAGCAGGCAAAATTAGTGGAGATCTGGCATGCCATCTCTGGCCTAGAGCCTTACACAAACCAGATTCAGTGCACTAAGTGTTTGCTGTTCTCTTGAAAGCTTTTCAGATTTTGTCATTCTGACCTGATGAAAGGGCTATTTGAGCTATTTGACCTTTGAGACCAAACTCTTTGCCTGACCTGAATCAGTTCAAATAAAACAAAAAAAGCAGGATTGACTGGGTATTTTGCAGTGATGCCCAATGTCTCACTCCAGCTCTACAGAGTCAACCCTTCTCAGCTGTTTTGTTTGGCTGCTGCTCAGAGGAAGCTTCACCAGCACTGTGTTTCCTCAAGCCATTGACCTCTGCCATCCAGCAAAACTCTTCCCTCCATCACCAAGATGTCAAGAGGGGAATGGGCTCTGCTCTGGGCACAAGATCCCAAGAGCTATACTCCCAAACCCTTCTCTTCTTCCTGAGTGATGGAACGAAAAATGATTCAAGATGCACAACAAAAAAGGATGGAAGAGAAGAACCAGACTTGGACATATCTGGAGCGAGGATGACTCAAGATCTTTTGTACAGATAACATGCAGGTGGCAAGAGAATATGATCAAGAAGAAGGAACTAAGCGGAGTCCCAACCCAAAGGAGGATGGCCATATATGATTTACAGGACTGCAGAATAACAAAAGATCCCGGCCAACATTTAAGACCGACCTGGTGTTAAACGCCAACAGGCTGGGGTTCCCATTAGAACTCCTATAATTCCTCTTTTAAAATAGCTGCATGGGTTGCCAGTTTGTTTCTCGGTCCAATTTAAGGTACTCACACCAATGTTTAAAGCCCTAAATGTATTGGGTACCAATATCTTCTCTACAGACTTTGGTGTTAAGATCAGCAGAGGAGGCCCTCTTGGTAGCACCTTCAGATGCATTTGTGGGGCAGGGGGAGACCTGGGAGAGGTCATTTTCTGTGGCAGCTCCTAAGATGTGGAATTCCCTTCCCCACCGAGATGCATCCAGCATGTTCATTGTATAGCTTTTTTTACAGTGGCCTTTGACACTTACAAGATATATTTTTAGAACACAATCTAGCTGCAATTGTAATTTGTTTTAAACTGTTTATAATGCTGTTGTTTTATATTGCTGTAGCCCACTCTTGAGACCTTCTGGTGAATCTAACAGCAAATGTTTTGGGTCTGTAACTCCCATCATCCCTGACCACTGGCCCTGTTAGCTAGGGATGATGGTAGTTGTAGTCCCAAAACATCTGGAGGGCCAAGTTTGCCTATGCCTGATCTAACAGCAACAACAGCCACTTAAGAAGCTAAGCAAGCAAGATGACAACCTTTCAATGGATCAACCGTTTGACACCAAATATAGGGCTTTCATCCTCCTATACCAGCTATTTCCTCCTATACCAGAGATTTGTACCTTTTTGGAGCAATTTCCAAACTGACCTGTCTATCCTGCAATGCCTGCACATCTGCCACAGACTCTGAACACAGCAAAATGGGTCTGGCGCGCACACACATGCTCCACACTGGCTATGCTAAAGGTGCTTACATAGTCAAGAACCAGGCAGGTCAAGGCTTTAAAAGTCCACATTCACAAATGCCAGGTAGATGTCTGGTCCGTCTCATATTTGCACCTGGTTGTTTTTTTTTTAAACCACATGGAAATTCACATCTATGCATTTCTAACATATTTGCTCTCAAATGACACATTTTAAAGCACAGCTTACTATTTTTAAAGCAGGGAAATGAATCACAACTTTCAGGGAGTTGGTAAATGAGCTGTGATCAGGGAACTGTGGGTCAGGTCAGTTCATATCAGAATATACAGAGATCAAGCAGTTCAAGCATCACTTGCAAAAGCTCCATTCATTCATGGAAAAGGCACTAGCAGAACTGTTAACAGGAAAGATATGCAAACCACTGGAACTGGTTCACATATGAATGCCTATCCATAATTTGCACATGTGGATGGACCATGAAAGTCACAGCAGCACAACCAGAAGTTGTTATACCATTTCAGATACAATGCTTTTCAGTACAGTCAGTTCAACCATTAAATGGCCAGTCATCAACTATAATTAAATGTAGGAGGGAAAACAATGTACTTGTATGTGTGAATCAGCACTAAGCAAGGTCCTTTTTAAATGCTAATAAGGCACCCAGCTATATAGCTAAGCTATTTCACTGGAGGAGGACTTGCCTCCCTTTATTTTTTGCAATAGCCCACTTAACACTGTTTTAGGCTACAGGAGTGACGTGATTTGGCTTAAATTGGGGGAAGCTGGGGGTGGGGCTTGTGGATTCTATTACCTGCACCTTTAACCTCATAATCTAAGCCACGGATCAGCAAACTAAGGCCCAACCACCTTCTGAATTTGGCCCACGGATGGTCTGGGAATCAGCGTGTTTTTACATGAGTAGAATGTGTTCTTTTATTTAAAATGCATCTCTGGGTTATTTGTGGGGCATAGGAATTTGTTCATATTTTTTTTTCCAAAATATAGTCCAGCCCCCCTCAAGGTCTGAGGGACAGTGGACCAGCCCCCTGCTGAAAAAGTTTGCTGACCCCTGATCTAAGCAGTGTCTGAAGCTAATTGCTTTTTGGTAAGTAGCTAAGGGGGAAACTACATACCGCCAGTGGAGGCCATGAGAACAGGGTGAAGGACTAGATTGGCCTGATCCAGCATGCTTTTCTTATGTTCTCACTGGGGCAGATGTGGTGCTGCCCCACCAACATCTGCCTGCTGTTTAAGTTGCAACCAGTCTGCCTGTCAGTTTCCTCCTCCTTGGTCTCCATGTTGCCCTTGTAGGGAGCAGGACGGGCACAAAACCAGAATGGGTTGGCTCTCCTTGCCATTGGCTTTGGTTCCCCCTACTACTGGATCTAACGGCTTCCTACTTCCACCTCACCAGTCCCAACAGGCCCCAGCCGCCACTGCATGTAATGCGGCAACAGCAGACAACTTGGAGCCCCTTCTTCATTGCAAGGTGCCCTTGGGAGGTGGGCATTTTGCATTGGAATGAGAATGCGGAGTGCTTACCCCTCCACTACCAGTCAATTTCCCCCTAAAACTCTCCCCACACTGAATGCCTTTACTCGTGTGGCTACTCTTACCCTAACCAATGTTCTGGGCTGGTGCTTACCTTGCAATTCTCGCTTGCGGGGGTAACAGCAGCTTAGGGAGGTGACTGGGAGAATACAGACTGGCAGGGCAAGGATTAAGCACTCTCCTAAACTAATGGACCCCCAACATCCCACCTACCTTCCTGGAGGAGACAGTGGAGGAGCAACAGTCCCCTCCATCGTACTGGCAGTAGGCCCGGTTGTTGGCAGTGTCGCACCAGCCATCAGCTTCAAAAGGCTGGAAAAAAGAAAAGGGCATTGAGTGAGCAGGAAGACAGAAGAGGAGACTGCTCTGGGGTCAAAAACAATGAAAATACTACTGACAATGAGAATAACTAGATATAATAATATATGAACATACTGCATTAATTTGACTACAAATTACATCTGACACCTCCCAGAGTCACAAAGTTTCTTGTGACTTAAGTGAATAAGCTGAGCAGTAGTCTAAGACAGACTTCTTCAACCTGATGTCACCCAAACGTTTTGGACCAAGTCGCATCATCCCTCACCACTGGACCATGCTGGCCAGGGCTGATGAGAATTGCCGCAAGGAAGGTCATTTCAATAGAAAGATTAAAGAAGCTCCAAGGTCCACCTGGCAATTCCTTGAAACATTGTACAATGGCATTTGCAACCTTTACGGTCCCAAATAATCCTGGGAGTCCAAGTTAGTGCAAACATGCCAGGATTTTATGCAAACAGAAAAGGAAACTGAACACAAAATTCAGTTTCCCAAGAGTCTTGGCAGTATTGCTTTTTAAGCTGTTGGCACTTACGGCTGCAAATACCGAATTTTTCACTCCATAGGGCGCACCGGACCATAGGGCGCACCTAGTTTTTAGGGGGGGAAATAAAGAAAAAAAATTATTTCCCCCCCCCCAAAACCCCAAAGAGCAAAGAAGCCAAGACAGCCAGCGGGATCCATTCTGCTGGCTGTCTTGGCTTCCTCTTTAGCCACGCACAACCTCTCCAACCGGGAGCGGCTGCGCGCGGCTTCGTTTTTAGGCGCGGGGCTGGGGCGGGGGAAGCCCGAGCTTCCCCCGATCCCAGCCCCCAGAACAGGTCCGGACGTGGAGGCAAGCTTGTGCAGCCTTGCTGCCGCTCCCAGAGCTTGCGGGCTGGGGGAGCGCTCCAAAGGTTTGCGAATAGCTGCCTGAAGCCCGGGGAGCGCAGTGGGAGTTGGCACTGCTCTCCCCAGGCTGCAGGCTGCTATCCACAAGCCTTCAGAGCCCGGCAGGAACTCCCGCCGCGCTCCGAAGGCATGCGGATAGCTGCCCGAGGCCCGGGGTGCAGGCTGCAGGCTGCTATGCGCAAGCCTTCGGAGCCTGGCGGGAACTCCCGCCACGCTCCGAAGGCTTGCGGATATCTTCCTGAAGCCTGGAGAGCACCGACCCCTCTCGCTCTCCAGGCTTCAGCGAAAGCCTGCATTCACTCCATAGAATGCACACACATTTCCCCTTAATTTTTGGAGGGGAAAAAGTGTGTCCTACAGAGCGAAAAATATGGTATATGTTTGTAATGCATGGGCAACTAAGCAGAATAAACTATGTTGTAAAATATGCTGAATCTTCAAAGTACTGCATGTTGTAGTATTCAGTTTCGCTTGGCACAGAATTTTTGTTTGTTATATTTTTCTTTAACCACAGACTAGCCCCCAGAGACCTCTTAGCACTTTTGTCAAAACGTATTGGGTGATTGCTTTAGATTGATGGCGCAGGTTTAAGGTAATAGCTTTAGGGCCAATGCTAAGAAAAGAGCGGTTCTCATATAAGTTTACACGCTTTTTAGTTAAAAGGAAAGCCAGAGTGACACACAGATAGACAGACAGATAACAATCTACATTTTACACACATTACTGAAGTAATCCTCACAAAAGTCCTGTAAGGTGACTACTATCCCTGTGCTGCAAGCATTGAGGGTGAAGGGATCTAACACTAAGTGACTGTGGTTTGTCCAAGGCTACCTCATACGCTCATAGCACAGACGAGATTTAAACCATCAACCTCCCAGGAAACTCTCTCACAGAGCAATCCTACACTTGCCTACTCAGAAGTAAGCCCTTTTGATGAGGCTTCCTACCAGGGCTGCAACCTCATTATTACACCAGCTGGGCAGGATTCTGCCTCCAACAGCAGCTGATCAGCTTCCAAGGAGAAGTATGAGACAAAGAAAACCCCCTGTGTTACAACACAAAACAATCTGATCAACAAAAGGCAACACGTGGGCCAATAATGCATTGGCAATATTTATGAAACACTATCAATTGTTTCTTAATTCATAAACAAAAGCCATATAATACGTGCAAGAAGTCACGGACTAATAGAAGTCAAATGAATATTCCATCAACAGGAATGCTTAGAATGGTGTGTAACCACAAAGAAACACTGAAGTTGAGGCAGAAAGCCTTTCCACAGTTGATATCTATATCAAAGTTTGCTTGAGAATGAACTGGAGCCGGGTGGTGCTGTAAGCACAGCAGCAACAAACAGCAAACAGAACAGTTCTTCCAGGATAATGAACTGCTTCAACGATATTTCTTCATCAGCAAGTTAATAGTCCTCAAAGGTACATAAAGTGATCATGGATCAGCTCTCACGCAAAAGTTGCTGTTTGTTGCTGCTTTGCTTGCAGCACCACCCAGCTCCAGTTCATTCTCAACCAAACTTTGATATAGATATCAACTGTGGAAAGGCTTTCTGGTTACATAAACATTGCCAATACATTATTAGCCCACCTGTTGCCTTTTGTTGATCAGGCAGCTTGCATTTGCAGCAAGATTAAGACAGCTGGCTGCCTCTGCCGCTTGCCCTCCAGGTAAATGTGGCCTCTAGTAAGTGTCATAAATGTTTGCAGTTAAGCTGTCCTGACTACCACTGATGTGAGTTTGCTGAATCCTTTTTAACAGTCATATAAGCAGGAGGCCAGGCTTGTCCTAATGGAGACCATATGTTAAAAGTGTGTATTGTGTGTAGTACTTTCTTTTGTGAAGAAGACTTCAAAAAGTCAAGACTCAACACAGGTAAATACCATCAAACAAAGAAAGAAATGTTAATAAATCTTACAATTAAGAGTGTGTCCCTTCGAATCTACCCTATGATCTTGGATATCTGTAGAGCATCGTATACCTGTGCATACATTCAATGTACATTAGGAGGAAGAGCCAAACGCAGATGCTGTCTAGCTCCTCACATTTCTTTCTAGGAATACACGATTAGATGGTCACTGAAATAAACATTCCAAAAGGATTATTCAACTCCCAACAGCTTGTACAAAATATCTGGCACCCAGGCACTATTTCCCCTTTCCAGCTAGCCCTTGCAAGAATTCCTGACAATGCTTGTCTCCCGCTTATTGAAAATGACAGAACCAGGCACACAGAGTGCTTGGGATAATTGTCAGCACCAGGACAGCAGGCAAAGAAGAAAACAGCATAACTAGAGAGAGGGATAATCTGGGGACCATCTCCATATTCCCCCCCACACACACTTTTTTGCAGAGTTCAACGTGGCAAGGATTTTTCCTCTATCCGTATCATGACTCATTGGCAAAAACCAAAAATGCACTTTTTATCAAGTTTCCATATAATTATTGCAAACAATTGCCTGTTGCCCCGGATGCTAGTCCAAAATGATTTCCAGATTAACATCTGTGGAGAGGAGGTGCTGGGTTGGGGCGAAGATGGTTTGTCCTCATAGTATATACATATGACCACTAATTGCTCCCCTCCCAACCACTTCAAGCCACCAAAAACATGTCCAAGCTGGAACAAACACGGACTCATAAGACAGCTCTGGAGAAATATGACAAGTCATGTTAAAAATTATTTGGGGTGGGGGTGGTTGGTAAAATATGAGAGAGGCTGGCAATTTGGGTTGAAGCATCCTGAGAGAGAATGGATTCCAGTCAGTTTGCAGTGCAAGATGTCTGCCTTCTTGGGAGGTTCCTCCCCCTCCAATTGCAGCCCCATAGAAAAACAGCCCACAATATTCAGTAGGTCCAGACTAAAACTCTCTGGAGAGGCTTTTTGTGCTTTTCGTGTACAGCAGGAGTGTGCTGGTGGAGGGTAGGGGAATGATCCATTGCAGGAGATGGCCTTCAGCTCACATAAGATTTGGTAAAAGTTATTGTGCTCTTTCATTATTTCACTGCTGGAAGATCTAGGGAGAGTTTTAGTATAGCATCCTAGCTGGATAGGTATGAATTCAGAGAGCATTTTTTTTTTCTATTTTCTCCTCTCCCTTCTATACATGCACCATCTTCTGAAACTACTAATCCCAACCTTCGCCAGAAGACCTCATAACCAACAGCCACGCATCTTGCTACCATATGTGAGAACCTGTTGCTCAGTGCAGACAGATGGAACAAATTGTTCTAGAATAAGGACCAGTTTCTTCTCTCACCCTTCACCTCCCGTGTCTTGCTTTAAAAACAGGACCTACTTCTTCCACCAAGTGCTTGCAGAGTTCCGATTCAGAACTGCAGAGAAAAAGAGGACCTCCAAGCTTCCAGCAGAAGCGAATCCCAGCTTTCATGCCCAATCCCACATCAAGCAGAGGAAGTCCTGAATTGTCTTTACCAAACACAGCAGCCTGCCAGACCTCCTGCATGTATCCTTCAAGACTTCCTTCATGCCATGGTCACCTGCTCATCTGTAGGTTGAAGCAGGTAATGAAACTCTTGGAAACTGTACAGGAATTAGATTCCTGGTTTTCATGCTGTCGGTGTGCCACATGGTATTTGTGAACTTTTTTGTGGGCTACCAACTTTTGTGGACTTATCTGAATGGCTATAATTATTTCCAACCTGTAGTATGAAAAAGGGAGAAACGGTTCAAGTGGTCTGCAAAATATTCTGAAGTCTCATTATTACAAGTCACTAAGAAGTTATGGTTTTTTTGTTTTGGAGCCAGGCCTAGCACAGTCTGGCAAGTGTGAATGACTGAGCACCAGCAGAAGGAAATCTATCTGGCTCAAATACCCTGGAATAAAGTTCTGATAAGCACAGACTGGGAACATCTAGATTTCAACTCCTGGCACTTCGTAGATGAGACAGGCCCTCAGAAAGAAGCAAACATATGCTCTCTTGTAGTGAGTACCACATGGTGGTACTTTCAAGCAATGCACTGGCAGCACCAAACTGATGTGGCAAAAACTACAGATGGCTTTAGCAACAAGATCTCGCTTCTGTTTCATGCTGAGATATGATAATGCAAACCCAATAACTGGATTTCCATATTTGAGTTCACACTACAAAAAGAAACACAAGTGGCCTATGAATGGCAGGAGGCCCGGGGGGGGGGCGGAGCAAGAAATCATGCAACCTTTCATGACCAAATGCACATAGAGCAGCTCACCAGCTGACACACATTGGAAGTTTGGAGGTGCCTGAGGCCCATGGCATAAAACAGCAGAGGCAAGTTTGTGGCTATGGGCTTCCAGCCTTACATCATTTCACTAGGCCTCTATGTGTACACCATTCTCTTTCTTACTCGGACAAACACATACATACACACACACATTTGCCCATGCAAGTTGATGAGGCAATGAGCCCAAGATTTCTTGGCTGCTTCTGACTCCCCACTGGAAGATGACTAGGGAATGCAGCCTGTGAGACAAAATTGCCATGTTCATTGTTTGGATTCAGTATTTTTCTTGGCCATCTGATGGCTGCAGAATTCCTTTCATTTTATCCTCTGCTTTTCACCTCCCTGCTGTCTTTTTTCACTCTTCTGTGTTGAGATGCACAGGAGAAAAGTAAACTCGGGGACAACACAGAAGAAAATGAGAAGATAAGATTACTAGGTGTTGCACCAAGGCTGCTGCACTGGGCACACAACTTGGGAGGCAACTGGAGATGGTGGAAGCACCTCTATAAATCTGTGTATCAAGATTAACACCAGGCTTATAGTAACAATCTGCAAGAAGCCTGTTCAGTGCCTGTTATGCAGTGGGACAACATTTCAAAATAGCCCCATCAGTAGATGTCTTCCCAATACCACACACTTTGAGAAACACTGAGGGCCTCAGAGCAGGAAGCATTATCCAGGCATGGCCTCATCGTGAGGCACCTGTCATTAAGGCTGGCAAACTGCAAGAGAGGCTCAAGTGGCTTCATTCACCAGTAGAATATGTTCTCTGCACAAACCACATTGAAATGAATGGGTCTACTTCACCAGGGTTTGTGCAAGGGAACTTCCCAGTGTTACTGCTAACTACCGTATTTTTCGCCCTATAGGACGCACTTCTCCCCCTCCAAAAACGAAGGGGAAATGTGTGTGCGTCCTATGGGGCAAATGCAAGCTTTCGCTGGAGCCTGGAGAGCGAGAGGCATCGGTGCGCACCGACCCCTCTTGCTCTCCAGGCTTCAGGAAGCTATCCGCAAGCCTTGCAAGCCCGGCGGGAGTTCCCACAGGCTCTCCAGGCTTGCGGGCAGCAGCCCGAAGCATGGGGCGCCCTCTGGAGGACGCCCCATGCTTCAGGCAGGTGTCCGCAAGCCTTGCGCACCCAGGGGGAGTTCCCGCGGGCTCACAAGGCTTGCGGGTAGCAGCCTGCTCTGTGGGCTGGGAATATATTTTTTTAATCCATTTCCCCCCCCCCCAAAAAACGAGGTGCGTCCTATGGGCCAGTGCGCCCTATAGGGCGAAAAATACGGTATGTAAGATGGTGGTGGACTTCACGCCTTTGGAAACCAGAATGCCTTGGGCAGGCAGTACCCACCGGGTCAAGTTTCCCTAAGAAGCAATTTGTCAAAATTCAAATGCCAATATGAGAATGTAAGGGCTTGTCCACACTTGAGCTTGCCCCGTGTCTAGGAAGCATGGGTCCAAGTGGTTTTCCGCTTGCCCCATTCCTTTCCCAGGGAAAACCTGCTCTTTAGCTCTAAATTGGAACAGACAGCAATCTGCGGGAAACCTGAACTGCCCTTTGCTCTGATTGAGCACTAAAGCAGCGAGAGAAGAGGAAGCGTGGCTAAACCCTGACAGTATCCCTGTACTGGGTCCAGACCACAGGCCCACTTAATGACTCTGGGAGACTCACCAGTGTGGCATGAAGGCAACAGCTCTCTCTCCATATGCCCCATATGCCTTCCTAAGATATTCAGAGGTATTTTGCATCTGGACATGGAAGTTCCACTTCACTATCATGGCTGATAACGTTTTTTAAAAAACAACAACAATTAAACCATTTCATCGAAGATCTGCCTGTCAACAGCTATCTAACCAAGCGGTTTTCCTTCCATGCAATAGTTAATAATGTGCAATGTGAAAAAAGTATCTTGCTTTTCTTGAACTTAGTGCCAATCCAGTTCATTGGGATAACCCTGAGTTCTGCTCAGTACCATCCATATTTCTATTCACTTGCACTATTTTTTAATTGGAAGGCACAGGCTCTCTCCCTACAGACTGTAGGACAACTACTACTCTGGATCCAGGACCTTCCTAGCTGGCCTCTAATCCAGGGATGACACTTTCAGCAACTGCATTAAGTCAACAGCAGCCAATCGGCTCATATTTTTTGATGCAGCTCTCATTTGGTGAACAAATTGCCAGCCGAGTTGCCGATAATTTAACTTCATCTGTGACACTAAGACACAAGATTTCAGCCCTGTGCTGCTTTTAAGAGAAAGCTTTCCTCCTCCTCAACCTGCCTTTTGCTCAAAAATGTCAAAAGTAGACGCACTTTCATGCAAGGAAACAGCCTCTGCCATAAGCCAGGCAAACTCACAAAACTATCCGTAATCTTTTATGCCATTTTTACTTTGAAGAAGCTTAGAGCAATTTTTTAAACACTCCCCCTCCCCGAATTAATCTGCAGTGAAAAGAGTTATTAAAACACCGATTTAAAACACTTTCCTGGTTATTTATTTTGAAGGTAGCATAGATGAAGCTGCAACACTGAACCAGGCTGAACAACCTAGAGCCAGCAGAGAGCAGCACTGGCAAAGCTTTTCGAAAAAGCGCCAGTCCTTTCCTAATAGGGTTTTCACACAATTAGACTTAAATCACCCATGAACCTCTCTTGAAGTATTTGTATGGCTTTGTGATTCTCACTAACAGAGAACAGAGAACCAAGTGGAAGCATTTGTAATTAAAATGTGCTTTCCGGTCGATGCAGTCCTAAAGTAAGGTAGTTTTATTGCAAGTGGAAAAGTAGAGGGAAGGGCCTCCACCTTCATGGTAGAGATATGATTCTGACTAGAGCCAGCCTGGTATAATGGTCAGAGTGTTGGACCAGGACCTGGGAGAACAGGGTTCGAATCTCCACTCAGCCATGAGGCTCCCTGGGTGACCTTGGGCCAGTCACCATCTCTTAGAGACTGAGTCTAACCTTCCTCACAAGCTTGTTGTGATGATGACATGGGGAGGGGGAGAACCATGTCTGCCACCTTGAGATCCCTGTGAGATAAAGGTGGTATATAAATGTGATTAATAATAAAATAAATAAATAAAAACCAGCGATGTTTTGAGTCTTAGGCAATAGGCTGCTATTCTACCTCAGTTCTCTTTGGAAATTATTAGGTAGCCACAGTGGGGACCAGCCATCATTTATACCTTTACAAGACCTCTGTGGGACGAGTGAGTTCCAGTAGCTCAGGAATTTGAAACTGAATCACCAACATTCAAACACAAATGTCATCAAGGAAGGAAGGAAGGAAGGAAGGAAGGAAGGAAGGAAGGAAGGAAGGAAGGAAGGGGTGCTTTCTCATGGATTACTTCTGCAGATTTCTTTTCCTTCTCATTCTGCTTTTATCAGAATATGCAATAACACAGCCCAGCCCACACCTTTGCGAATGTTCACATCCTTAGTATCCCATCCATACCAGTGAGCAGTGCATGCTAAGTACCTATTGTGTTCATGCTCCTCACCACACGCTACCTGTCATACCTCACTGAGCATGCGCACAAAGTAACAAGCAGGGTGTGGTTTTTGCAGTTGTCCAGCCACAGGAAGTATCTGATGGGACACTTGTTGTGCATTTGTTGTGCATCACACTTGCTGCATCTGCACTTGGATTGTTTGTTTGTTTGTGTGTGCGCATGCAAAATTTTTATTAGCTCATTAACGAATATACCAGAACATCATACAGAATATAAAGGAAAAGGAAAACAAAGTTAAAGCTATACTTAAAAAAAACCATTAGAATTAGTTTATAACTCTTGTACCTTGTTGCACCATTTTTCAACCAAAAAGATCACCAGGTTGTTTCCCCCCACTAATTCTCACAATATTTGTCCATTTTACATCTTTACAACATCCCACCTATCCTTTCTTCCAAGGTGTTCTGATCAGTGGCAGAGCTTCATGCTCCGGTACGGCACAGGGTGGTGGAGAGCAGGCGGGGGCACAGGGTTGGCACATGTCCTGGGGGCATGGCATGCTGCCTGCGGGGGTGTGACACCCAGCACGGGTGGGGGGGCAGCCGCGATGGCACCACACTGGGATCCTGCTGCCGGGGGCGGTGTGCTCCCCCCCCCCACTTCTCTTCCTTCGCCAGTGCTTCTGATTCCCCCCCCCCCATTAAAATAAACAGTTCCCTAGTAGCTAGCTGTCAGGAACTGCTGAACTAATGACCTGTCTTCTAATAATATTTGATCCTTTATTAGCCCAAACAAAACGTTAAAAGATCCATTGGCACTATATATCCTGCTATTATTTCAACATTTTTCCCCCACTATATCAATCCAATTTTAATTTTTATTCTGAGACATGCGTAGAATCCCAGCGTCAGACGCCTTGCACCTCCAGCATAAATCACTCACTAAGCTGCAATGGTGTTCAACACCAACGGAAGAAGAAGAAGAAGAAGAAGAAGAAGAAGAAGAAGAAGAAGAGGAGTTGTTTGGATTTGATATCCCACCTTTCACTCCCTTTAAGGAGTCTCAAAGCGGCTAACATTCTCCTTTCCCTTCCTCCCCCACAACAAACACTCTGTGAGGTGAGTGGGGCTGAGAGACTTCAGAGAAGTGTGACTGGCCCAAGGTCACCCAGCAGCTGCAGGTGGAGGAGCGGAGACGCAAACCCGGTTCCCCAGATTACGAGACTACCGCTCTTAACCACTACACCACACTGGCTCTCAGTGTGGCTCTCAGAGCATATTTGTTCCATGCTCTTCGTGTGTAGACTCACAGGGAGGAGTGAACGGGAAATCTCTTGTCAAGCCATACAAAGGCCCCCCCTCCTTCCCACAGCTTGATAATGGGAAGCTTTCTTTGAGACTCAAACTACCCAGGCTTTCTGATGGTGAGCAAGCCCCACACTAGTACTAAGATTAAAAATAAACAAACCCTATGCATAGTAAGATAGGCACCCCTCTTTTCATGAAAACAAAAGCAACACCCTCCCCATATTTCCTGGAAATGAAACGACTCAGGCAGTAAAGGATCCTTGGACAGTTAAGTCCAGTCGAAGTCGACTTTGGGGTGCTGCGCTCATCTCCGCTTTCAGGCCGAGGGAGCGGCATTTGTCCGCAGACAGCTTTTCCAAGTCGTGTGGCCAGCAGGACTAAACTGCTAATGGCTCAGGCATCCCCAGATGAGTCAAACTGAAACTGAGGAGGCCTGGAAACAGCTCATCCCCACTCCCCACCAAAAAAATACCACATGTTGCATCACAAACAAACAAACGAAACATAAATGGTTCTGCTTTGACACAGCTACACCTTTAGAGTTTTCACATTTTTACAGGACTAAATGGATTTTTTTTTCCTGGCAAGGAAAAATCTGCATTAACCGGGGAGGTGGGTTGGGTGCATTGAATGCAGAGTTCAAGCATGGTGCCATATGGGTTCCCATCCTCCTGCCCTCAAATGAGTGCCTGGGACACAGCAAATAGAAGGAAGGAAGGAAGGAAGGAAGGAAGGAAGGAAGGAAGAAAGAAAGAATGAATCCGTCTTGGTCTTTGTAATATTAAATGAATCAGAGTGCAAACAAGAGAGGAAACCAGAATGGGGAAGTTTTGGCCAGTTTCCTTTTGCCAAGGCTATTGTGAATGCAATGGCTGGTACTGCTGACTCCCTAAAATAAACTCCATCTGCCTCCAGTCAAGTGGTTTTGTTTTTTTACATGTGTGTGTTCGTCCGTGTAAGGAAACACCAAAGCTTTCTATCTGGATAACAAAACAAAGCTGTAATTTGGCCTCTGATGAAGGATTTCTGGAAACAGGTCCAATGACCAGGAATGTTGTGGACTTCCAGATATAGCCATTATATGGCAGCGTATCAGATTAACCAGGGAATTTCATTTGGGTATTTTGTAACTTTGCAATGCCGTTGTTTGTTTAAAACCAGCTAACCAACCAACCTTGTGTAGTTGGGACGTTAGGAACATTGATTGCTCCATTTTCGTACCTCGCTTGAGTAATCCCTTACATTGGTTGTTGTCTCTGGTGTTTTTCACCTTTGGGGTAATGGTTTCATCTTGACAACACCAGCCTGGGTTGCTACCCACAGCAGTCGGCCTTTTTAAACCTCTGCCCAAGCCAACACTTGCTTAAATATGCGACAGGATAGAATGGGTTATGGAAAACAAGCCTCAAAGCCACAGGGGCCTCCTGGCCCATTCCGCATCTGGTTTCTGCCAAGTTTATATTGCAGGACTTAAAAAGGGAGGAAAAACCATGCTGGATGGTAGATGGTGGAGGGCCTACGGCGCTTCTGACTGCTCCCTTCAGCTGAGGGGCTTATTTCAGCAGGAGGCAACCACTCCTTGGCTCCCATTCAGAACAAAGCTTTAAAAAATGTCTACCTGTTTCTTCTGCCTACTTGATATTTGTCAGGAGAAGACACAAAAGGCTGCACAAATGCAACGCAGCTAATGTAAATACAGGGGGAGTCAGAAGAAGCACTGCAGCAAAGAGTAAGAAAGAGGAGGGGCCCTCAAGCTAAGCAAACACACTGAATGACTTTGGGCTCCTCCACTCTTCCACTTACTGGATAGGTTTTCTGTTCGCCCTGATGCTTCCCCCGGGAATCCTGGTCTTTCGTGCCAAAACCAGAGCAAACATCAATCTGCATAAAACCCAGTTGACGTTTGCTCCGATTCAGCAGTAGAGATCTGGTTTTCCTGGGGGGAAGCAGCAGGGCAAGTGCAAGCCCAGACGATCCCTCAGACAGCAGTTAGTACTGTGACTCTGTGAGCTTGTTGCTGATCTCCACTGGTGGATGATTTGCAGGAGAAGAGGACCAAGTGGCAGGTTTGTAACTCGTCCTCTGCAACCCCTCTCCCCAAAGCAGTTTCATGCTTGGTGGTGTCTAAGAAGTGCAGGGGTGGGGGTGGTTGAATTGTGGAAAGTGGCCGGCTGAGAGAAGATGAAGGAATTCCCTCCCACTGCTTCTGCACTGAAGATCTGCGCTGCAGCAGAAAGGCATCAACCCAATTCCCCCCAGGGCCATGTTTGCCACTGTCAGTGTGATGACCAGTGCCGGATTTACATATAAGCTAAACAAGCTATAGCTTAGGGACCCACTCTCTTGGGGCCCCCAAAAAATTCACTATTAATATCTTCTTCTTAATTGTATTTCAGTTCAACAATTGCTTTGATAAAATACATACTTTGTTATGTGAAAATGGCTTTAGATACCTATTAGGTCCATAAATTACCCTCTAGCATATATTCAACACAAAAACAGCGACAATTTGTTGTTGACAAAGGACAGCTGGATGTATAAAGGGCTCCATTACCTTCAGTAGCTGAGGGCCTCATCAAACCTAAATCAAGCCCTGGTGATGGCACCTCCTGCCCTCTGTAGCTCTTTATTTCCTTTTAGCAGAAGCGTTATTCTACCACTCACAGAATCATAGAGTCATAGAACTGTAGAGTTGGACCCCAAGAGTCATTTAGTCCAACCCCCTGCAATGCAGGAATCTCAACTAAAGCATCCATGACAGATGGCCATCCAGCTTCTGATATTCACCTCCAAGGAAGGAGAGTCCCAAAAGAGATGCTATTGTGCTTGTGTCCCGCTTGCTGTTTTCCCACAGGCATCTAGTTGGCCACTGACAGAACAGGATGCTGGACTAGATGGGCCCTTGGCTTGATCCAGAAGACTCTTATGACAGATGCTTGGCTTTAAAGCTCTCCAAAAGCCCGATGCCAAACCCACATACTGTCTGAAACCTCTATCTTCCCATTGCCAGCCCCTTGCTAGCCTGCCCACAATTATAATCCAAAAGCCTCTTCCCTGTGAGTAGCTGGCTTCAACTGTCTATGCTGCACTCAGGGTTGCTTCAGGTTTCCCATAGAGTTTGGTAAGAATTTGGAGCATTTGGGCAAGAAATGGAGATGGCCAGTGAAAGGGGAAGGTCTATGGTCCAGTGGCACAAGCTTTGCATGCAAAAGGTCTCAGAACCGTAGAATTGTAGAGCTGGAAGATACCCCAAAGGCCATGGAGTCCAACCCCCTGCAATGCAGGAATCTCAACTAGTCCAGGCTTCCTCAACCTCGGCCCCTCCAGATGTTTTGAGACTACAATTCCCAGCATCCCTGACCACTAGTCCTGCTAGCTAGGGATCATGGGAGTTGTAGGCCGTAAGAAAACCCAGAGGGCCGAGGTTGAGGAAGCCTGAACTAGTCTCAGGTTCAATTCCCGGCATCTCCTGGTAGGGCTGGGCCTGTCCCCTGCCTGAAACCCTCAAGAGCCTCTGCCAGCGTAGGTAATACTGAGCAAGGTCAGGCTGAGGGCCCATCAAGTTCAGCATCCTGTTTTCACAGTGACCAACTAGATGCCCACAGACAGGACCCGAGAACAAGAGCTCTCTCCCCTCCTCTGGTTTCCAGCAACTGGTATTCAGAAGCATTGCTGCCTCTGGCGATGGAAACACAGCGCAGTCATTATGGCTAGGATTCATCAATAGCCCTCACCTCCATTAATTTGTCCAATCCTTCTCCATTAATCCTTTCTGGAAGCGAGTTCCAGGGTTTAACTATGTGCTGTGGGAATTAAGTCCTTTCTTTTACTTGTCTTTTTATCACCAGTCCACCATATGTCCCCAAGAATCCTGGGAAGCATAAATTAATGCTCACAAAGCTACAATTCCCAGCATCCTTAGCAAATTACAGTTCCCAGGATTCATTGTGGGAAATCATGGGGTCTAAATGTGTTTTAAACGTATGGTGTGTATACAGCCTTGATCTATTCCGGCAGTTGTAAACATTTATGTCACCCATTCAGTTGTGCTTATGTATCCCCCTCTTAAGGGATGCGGGTGGTGCTGTGGTCTAAACCACAGAGCCTCTTGGGCTTGCCAATCAAAAGGTCGGCGGTTCGAATCCCCATGACAGAGTAAGCTCCCGTTGCTCTGTCCCAGCTCCTGCCAACCTAGCAGTTCAAAAGCACACCAGAGCAAGTAGATAAATAGGTACCGCTCCAGCGGGAAGGTAAACGGCATTTCTGTGCACTGCTCTGGTTCACCAGAAGTGGCTTAGTCATGCTGGCCATATGACCCGGAAGCTGTACACAGGCTCCCTTGGCCTATAGAGCGAGATGAGCACCACAACCCCAGAGCCATCCACGACTTGGCCTAACGGTCAGGGGTCCCTTTACTTTTATCCCCCTCTTAAAGAAAATCCACAATGATCTGTATCATCTGCCTAATAATGAACTATAACCATAGAGAGTATACGGATTGTTCCAAGGGATCCACACAATTGTCAGTTACTCAAGTGACAGAACTGAGCTATGCCAACTCGTTTCATGAAAACTTAATGAAAACCGGCCTCCTCTTGAGCTGTGACAGTTGATGCAAGCAGAGTATTATCACTTCTGGGTGTGCATCTTTCAGAATAATCTGCCTGAACTTAATTGTTAAAGGAAGATGGTGCTGCTGCTGCTGCTGCATCCTAGACAACTTTGTATTTTGAGGATGACATTTGTGTAACAAATATGGCAAGGCATTTGAAATGTATTTGTTAATCACTAACTTTATTCCTTCATTAATCTTTTCTGCCTCGAGACCTTCACTGTCTATTGCTATCCTCATCCTTCACTTAGTTGCTGTATGCCAGTTTCTTCTCCACCTGCTGCTTTCCCACATAGATATCACTACTCGAGTGTAGAAATGTCACCACACATGGAGCAGCCCTCAGGCCTCTTGACTGCAAAGAGAGGCTGCTGCCACAGAAAGGAAGAGCCAGTTGGAAGACCACCAGCTGTCAAATTCTGTCATAAACCCAGAGCCAAAGACAGCGTCAACCGCAGTGGGATTAAAAGGAGACACCACCATGCTCTGAAACAACTGGTACCAACCACCGCTGGAGACCAGAGCATGGGGAAAGATCAACCACAGGATCCTGATGTGGCCTGGCAATTGCTCTCCTGTTAAGCTTCCAGGCATGAGGAAGGGAGTCTTCTGTGTGGCATCATTCTCCCCCATTCCCAGCTCTGGTCATTTTATTGAGAATCTCATCCTTGCTTTTGAATGACAACGCCAGAGCAACTCACTTTACATGTGCTCTTCATAAACAGAACGCACTGAAGTTGCCAGTAAAGGAAGCTTACATTCTGAAAGCACAGACCCGTGCCTTTGGGCACTAGTGAAAGCCTTCCAAGGGCTGATTCAAGCGTGACGGCTGAAGGGCGAATGGAATTCCCACAACCCAACCAAGAGCACATTCACATCACGTATTTGCAGCATCATGAATACCACTTTAAACAGCCATGGGAGCTGCATTTTGCTAAGGGTGCTGAGCATTGCGACGAAACCCCTATTCCCCTCACAAAGCTACAATTCCCAGAGTGCTTCATCAGTCTATCCCTTTTTCCAGGGACATCTGTGAATTGCAGCTGGGGCTGCTACTAATTCTGAATCCACATGCTATAACATCAAATGCAGCCCTATACAAGTTGCACGTTTTGAGTTTCTTTGGAAACAAGCCTTCATATCTGACAAGACCAGTGTCCTCCCCAAGAATCTAACCTACATTTTGGCCACGAAAGAAAACAGAGCAGGGGATGACAATGACGCAGTGTGTGATCTCTTCAAGGTAAGTGGCAGGGCAGGGGCAGGAAACTTTGTTTGTTTTGCAGTAGAGAAAGAAGAAAAGACTGGGGAAAGATACATTCGAAAGCTTGGGGAGGAAAGAAGCACAGCAGTTGACAGGAAAATGCAGAGGATCAAAAAGGAGGCATGAACAGAACTGGAAGTGTATAGAGGAGCGGAAGAAGTGATGATAAAGTTTCCTGGGCAAAGTGGAAGGGGACGATTAATCCACGGTAGGCTGCCTCGCATTCTGCCAGGAAAACAGCAGTTGGGTCCAGTTGCATTAAAGGCCTGCAGTGTGTAGAAGTGAAACAAAAGCTCTCAAATGCAAAAGCAATTTTTCAAAATAGAGATTTCAAGGCCGAGGCTTTGTATGTGGAGATATGGAATGTGAATACCTTAGGACTAACTGTGATACCACTGCTCTCCCCTAAATTAATCATCCTCATTAGGACCTTGGCACACCCTTTTTTGTGTTAAAAATCTTTTAATGCATCTGTGACACCTTCAGCAGCAGCAGAAATTCAAATTGAAGCGGCACCTGTTTACCATTAACATTGGGGTGGACAACTCTTGTATTCTTAGAGGGCTTTATTCTTGCATAATACAGCCCTTCAAAGGCAAGCTCTATAAGAAGACTGGTATCACCAGGGACTGAAGGCTTCATCATTATACAGAGTGTACAGCTCCATGAATACAAAAGCCCAAACAGAGACAGCAACTTGAATAGCTCTGCAATTTCCTTTCTTTTTTTTTTAAAAAAAATATTTTATTAAGGATTTTCTTGTTTTACAGAAGTGTAGTGCCTCATATTTTTTTTTCATGTAACATTTTTACAAATCCGTTTCATTTGTTGAGGCATTAGGGGGAGAAGAAAAAAGAAAGAAAAAAGAAAGGGGGGGTGGAGAGAGGGAAGATGGATGGGGGTGGGGTCAGGTGGCGGTGTTTCTATTATGTTTAATGTATGTAGAGTTTGGTGTCAGCGTTGCTTGTGTTGTTTACTTGTGTTCCTTTCTGTACAAGTAAAACACTGCAATGTTTGTACTTAAGTGATGCAGTGGATAGTGGATCCAAGTGTGCAATAGCAGACTGAGAAGACATGGACATGAATGCCATCCTGAGTGACTTGGAGGATGGGTGAGATAGCAATGTAAATAACAATAAAGAATACTCTCGTGCTTGGAGGGACCCTGGGGAGGGGCAAATAAAATGCATTTTTAAGCTGGCTTTTGCTCATGCCAGTTGACTACCCTTTGTCTAGTTGCCAGGCCCAAGAGCAGGCCACAAATCTCTCCATTCAGCCAATCAATAGCTATCCAGGCAAAATCCAGGGACTCAAGCTACTAGACTATATCAGGAACTGTCAACAGCTCTAAAATTGATCACTGGTTTCACCTCATCCTTCCCCAGCAGATTGCTTCCAAGTCACTCTGTGCTCTGGCTATCCGTCCCTCATCCAGCCATTTTAGCATTTTTGTCATCTGTTTTTCTCATGATGGTACTAGGATGAACTTTGTGGGTAGCTTCAGTAATTCACAGTCCATTCCACCACCAGCTGACATCCCTGATGAGCTTTCCAAATGCCTTTCCCTTTCCCCACTTTTTTCACCCTTCTTTCTGGGTTTCCAAATGCCTCATCCCTCACTACCCCCAACTCCTGGCAAAAAGGGACTGAAACGGACAGAAGATTGATAGGCCAAGGACAAGAGGGAAGCTGGGAAGTTAAGCTGTTCAAGCACCAGACACAGGAGAGAGAGAGAAAGAAATCTAGATGACATAACTAAATAGCCTGAGGTATATGTTTCCCCACCCCCTTTACAGCCCAGGGTCTTCTGTGGAACACAACTCAAACTGTCATGGCCACCCCTCCCTCCAAAGAATTCTCAAAATGGTAGCTGGGTAACAATTCACAGCCTTGGTCAGACCACACCTGTGTCCATTTCTGGGCACTACAATTTAAGAAGGATATTGACAAGCTAGGACATGTGCAGAAGAAGGCTGCAAGATGACCAAGGGTCTGAAAACCAAGCCTTATGAGGAATGGTTGGGGGAGCTGGGTATGTTTAGCCTGGGAAAGAGGAGACTAGGAGATCAGAGAATTTTAGAGTTGGGAGGGACCCTAAGGGTCATCTAGTCTAACCCCCTGCAATGCAGGAATCTCAGCTAAAGCATCCAGGACAGATGGCCATCCAACCTCTGCTTAAAAACCTCCAAGGAAGGAGAGCCCACCACCTTCCAAGGGAAACCGTTCCACTGTCAAACAGCTCCTCCTGTCAGAGATATGATAGCCTTCTTCAAATATCTAATGGGCTGTCACATGGAAGAACGAGGAAGCTTGTTTTCCACAGCTCTGGAAGGTAGGACTCAATCCAATGGATTCAGGTTACAAGAAGGGAGATTCCGACTCAACATCAGAAAGACCTTCCTGACAGTAAGAGTTGTTTGACAGTGGAATGGACTCTCCCAGGAGATGATGGATGCTCCTTCCTTGGAGGTTTTTAAGCAGAGATTGGACGGCCATCTGTCATGGATGCTTTAGCTGAGACAGTGTGGTGTAGTGATTAAGAGTGGTGGACTCGTAATCTGGTGAACCGGGTTCGTGTCCCCACTCCTCCACATGCAGCTGCTGGGTGACCTTGGGCCAGTCACACTTCTCTGAAGTCTCTCAGCCTCACTCACCTCACAGAGGGTTTGTTGTGGGGGAGGAAGGGAAAGGAGATTGTTAGCTGCTTTGAGACTCCTTCGGGTAGTGATAAAGCGGGATATCAAATCCAAACTCCTCCTCCTCTTCTTCTGTCAAGGATGCTTTCAACTAAAGCATGCATTGCAGGGGGTATGACTAGATGAATTTTTGGTGGTGGTCTCTACTTTGCAAAAACATAAACATTCAAACCTCTGCATTTCAGAAAATGTGATCTTCAATTTTGTCAGCCCGGTGTGTCACAAGAGAAGAAGCAAAGACACTAGAATCTGGCACCATTTATCCATTCTGCATAAACACACACCCCTTACCTCGCATGAAGAAATACAATGAATGGCTTTCGGATCTGGATGCCACTCCAGTCTTCCAGTGCACACGATACTCTGAAGAAAGGAAAAAGCAGAAAGTTTCATGTGGTGCAGGAAGTAAGGTGTGCCTCTCTACAGTATCACTGAATGTCACAAATTAGGAACTGTTGGCCTTTCAGATATTGTTGAATTTGCAGCTCCTTGGCTGGTGGTCAGGAAAATGGGAGATATAGTCTGGAGGGCTGCAGGTTCTTCATTCCTGCTTTAAGTATTAAAGATTAAGCACTACCAGAATGACCAATGATCTGTAATGTTTGCATTCAAAGATTCCACCTGTGAAGTGCTACAGATTTCATATGCAATCTTGCACTTGGGACAAAGCTTTGCAGACAGTCAAGTCCAGGAGGAAGAGAAGTGAATCAGAAATGTACAAAGCGTTCAATGAATTGAGAAAATAAACAAAGGATATGTGTCTTAGCAACTGGTGTTGGAGAATTCCAACTCAAGGCCTTCTTTCCAGTTCAGATTGACAGACCCTGCAGAGCAGGGCCACAAAACAACCCCCTCTCCTGCTGCAACATATCCCATATGGCTGATTCAACCTAACACACAGCAGTGTCCAAATGAATGAAACCCTGAGCGTTCCCACACTTCCTGAAAATTCTTCGGAGGAACAGGGTAATCTTGGTTTGAAACTCTGGCTCTTGATAGTACTCTCTGCTTTTATTTTCCCTTCCACTGTGCTTTCAGTATGCTTCAGTTTTATTTTCAGAAATATCATTCTTGATAGACCCAATTAAGGGAAAACAAAGAAGTTATAATATCTGAGGCATTTTAGCCATTCCATGGAGGGGAAACAGGGCAATATTTCCTAAGTCAGCCATTAGCAAGAAGTTGGAAATCCTAGCCAAATATTCAGACCAAAACCAGGTTGGATCAAGACAGCTTGGAATGGAACCACAGCTGAAGAGAAAAGAGGGAATCTGCAGTTGTTTTCAGACTAATGCTCTTGCCACGTTTAATTTACCCCTTCCTGCTAGAGTACTCATGTCCATCTTTTCTGTACATCCTCTTCCCAGAAACACGTGAACTTTGGAGGATGTCAGAGAGTTCCAGCATCTGTACCACCTGTTAAGCTTCATTCAAGTGAAACCACTGTGGAATACTCTTCACATTCATTCAATCCCCTCCTTCAAAACAGTGGTTCTGGGAGGACAGAATGAGAAGTCATTAATCCCTTATTTTTTTGTGATTGTTTGCAGCCAATAATACCCCAGTGCTGACACTCTTTGTTGCTACTTTAGTGGTCATTTCTCTGTGCTCTTGTAACTTTTTGACTGATGTTGCCTATTCAGGGACCATGTACTAGAAGTGATGACATCAAAATGGTATGGAGTCGGTGATGTTTAGGTACGTGCTGACATTACTATGAGCAAATGAAGCTAATTCAAGTAAAGTGAATGGCTTCCTGACCAAACATATGGATGACCCTAAGTGTAGCCAGCCAAGGATCACTCAATGTATGACCTGAATTTTCAAAAATCATCCAAGGTGGGAGGGGGGGGTTAGAGAATTAGAGCCTGGCAGAGCTTTTTAACAAAAATCTCTCCCATTTTGGTTCTGCATAGCAACTACCCAGATCACCAGGGAAGCTTCTTGCATAGCAACAAGCCAGAACACATAAGGTGGGAATGGCTGGTGGTTAATACTTCTAGCACAGGTTTACTTTACTTTACTTTTGATAATTTATATACTGCCTTCCACATCACCTGGGCCACTTTACCTGGACTCTAGCAGGCTTCAGTCTGTGGTCCATGGTATCTGCAGTGACATTTTCAGGCAGTGTTACAGGATCTTTTGGGAGAATTAGACAGGAAGGTGTGCACACAGCACCTGGAGGGTAAAAGAGCAGGTAATTACCTTTTGCACCTGAAGCCACTGAGATCTCTTGGGCACTGTGAAGCTCTACCTAAGCTCTTCATGTTGCTCCCACTTGAGACTCTAAGAGGCTACAACACCAACCTTGCATTCATGATACCTGTGATCCAAAAGCCACAGGAAGTCATGTGCAAAGATATGAATTGTTCTAAAGTTTGAACTGTTCTGCATTTAAGATACACAGCCCAAACTTCTAGGCTGTTCAATAGCCTTTGAATGAAGGCTGTGAGGTCCAAAATTCTTCTCCAGCTCAGATGAAAACCCAAATCCAATAAAATTTGCTGGCTTCCATGCCCTGCTTCTCTCTGGGCTCATCCACAATGGAGTTTAATGTGAAGCTGCTTCCATCAGTATTTGATTTATGTATTTATTTTTGCAGCATCCAGATGATGTCCTCCTCATTGAAAAGGCACTTACCTCCCCCCATCTCCAGATAATTTTGGATTTCTCCAATCCTCCAATAATCAGATAAATCAATTAGAATTAAAATAACATTGCTGAATTAATCCATAGACTATTATAACAGCAATTAATCTTAAATGTACCATCAATTAAATCACTGCTGACTCATGAACTCTTTCCTAATTCTTGAAGAAAGTGAGAGACTTGGCTTTTTGGAGGGAAGGGGGGAAGCTTTCTTCCAAGAACCTGAAAAAAGGAGGTTGCAGAAGATAAGGGAAGAAGTTCTTACCAATTCCATAGCCTTCCTCACACTTGTACTCCACTGAGTTCAGCTCTTCAGGTGGTGAACATTCCCCCTGCAGATCTTCACACAATTTAAATTCCTCTGTCCACAAGCCATCTTTAGTGCAAAGGATTGGGACCTGAAGTACACAGGATGCAGAACTCATCATGAAATTCTAGTCTGCTCTTGTGGACAGATTCACTAAAAGCAAACACCTTCGCTGAATCAACACCCCAAGTATGCCTTTCACTAAACTGGCACAAATTTGGAGGTTGCCAGTATTGTTACTGCTGTCACTTTAAAGGGATGGTGTGTGAGACTTTTGATGTCAAAACTAGTCTGTGCTAGTTTTAAAGGCACACCTGCTTTTATAAAGGTAAAGGGACCCCTGACCATTACGTCCAGTTGTGGCCGACTCTAGGGTTGCGGTTCTCATCTTGCTTTACTGGCCGAGGAAGCCGGTGTACAGCTTCCGGGTCATGTGGCCAGCATGACTAAGCTGCTTCTGGCGAACCAGAGCAGTGCATGTAAATGCCGTTTACTTTCCCGCCGGAGTGGTACCTATTTATCTACTTGCACTTTGACGTGCTTTGGAACTGCTAGGTTGGCAGGAGCAGGGACCGAACAACGGGAGCTCACCCCGTCATGGGGATTTGAACTGCTGACCTTCTGATCGGCAAGCCCAAGAGGCTCTGTGGTTTAACCCACAGTGCCACCCGCGTCCCACCTGTTTTTATAACTGCTACTAAACCAGTTTCTAACTACAAAGTACTTGAGGCTTCATGGTCTCGAAGGCAACCGTGATGCTGACTCCAGGGGTCATCAGCCAGACACAAAGAGCAGGACATACCTTTGATCTGGTCTTTGACCCAGATGACGAGGGGTGTGGTTTGAAGTTTTGAGTATTTGACCCTGTTGTCATAATCAGGCCATTTTCTGGTTAGTTTTCATGTCTACCTCTGCGAAGATGGGCCCCCCATTCGCTTAGGCTGCCTCTAGATGCATGAAATCCAAGAGATTTCTGAATGTTTGGGGGGATTTTCTAGTGGATGGAGCTGGAAGTCAAGCCAAGGCTCTGGCCTCTGAGGGGAATGGTGAGAGGAGGGTGGCCATTGACATTATTGTTCCCAAGTGCCTTCTCTGACACTATGCAGTCCATTTTGCTCCTGAGGATTCCCAGGAGCATCAGATGTTAGAATCATAGAATCATAGAGTTGGAAGAGACCACAAGGGCCATCGAGTCCAACCCCCTGCCAAGCAGGAAACTGAAGGACGGCTGGAGTGCAAGTGGTGGAGGTCTTACTGCAAAGCTCATTGAACATGTGTCAGAGGATATAATTGTGTGGTGGTGTAAGCAGAAAAGTAGGTCTATTTCATTGTCTCCACTACACTTTAGAATAGCCACCCAGCAGACCTTCTTAGGTTTGTCTGTGGGTTGTTAACAACAAACAACAACAACAATTTTATTATTTATATGCTGCCCATCTGACTGGGTCGGCCCAGTTAACACCTATGGGCTTGCTTCGCAAGACGAAAAACAAAAACGTCGTGCAAGTTTGTTTCCTTTTTCTTAACACCGTTAACACAGTTGCGACTTGACTTCGAGGAGCAACTCATAGAACGTGGTGTGGTAGCCTTTTCTGAGGTTTTTGAAGACTTTGGTGATTTTTGAAGCTTTTCCAAAACTTCTTTTAAACTTTTAAAACTTTTTTTGGGGGGTTTTGGATTTTGGGTTGGGGTGTTTGGAATTCAAGGACTTGGTGTTGAGGAGGGGTTTGCAAGAATCTGGAAGCTTGTGTGTTTTTTTTTCTGCATTTTTATGATTTTCTGTGACCATTGGGCCACTCTGCTGTTTTTTAAAAAAATTCTGGATTTGAATTTCTGTGTGGTGGGTGGCTGGGGGAACAGTTGAGGAGGGGTTTGCAAGAATCTGGAAGCTTGTGTGTTTTTTCCTGCATTTTTATGATTTTCTGTGACCATTGGGCCACTCTGCTGTTTTTTTAAAAAAAATTCTGGATTTGAATTTCTGTGTGGTGGGTGGCTGGGGGAACAGATGAGGAGGGGGTTCTTCAGCAAGAAGCAAAGAGTGGAAGAGGAACCTTCTTCGAGTTGTCCCCCAGAGTCTTAGAAAATGTACAGTACTGTACACTTTGTTGATTTTTAAATGTTTTTCTGTCATGTTTAGAAACTTAATTTATTGTTCCTTCAATTTTTGAAATGCTCTTTACAGTATGTGTGACTTTAAAGAGCACTTAATAAACTCTTGTTGTACCAAATTTGGCTTTGTTTGGACTTTTTTTGACCATGGGGACGCATTAATTGAATTTCAATGCATTCCTATGGGATTTCGTGCTTCGCAAGACGAAAAATTCGCTAGACGAAAAAACTCACGGAACGAATTAATTTCATCTTGCGAGGCACCACTGTACCCCATTTCCCATCTTGCAGAGCCATTCCAGGAGCATGCATTCTCTGAAGGAATTTTTTGTATTTTTCTTTTTTCTTTTTCTATTTTGTAATATTTTGAAAATCCTAATAAATATCTTATATATAAAAAAAGGAACAGGTAGCTCAGTGTTCCAGATACACCCATTTCCAGGCAGGGATAGCCTGCCTACAGCGGCTCATGCAATGGTAACCCTACAGCCAAATTACTGAAATGAACTCTGTATGAGGACGGCCTCACATTTGGTCTGGAAGTTGTGGTTAGTGCAGAATGAAGTGGTCATGGTTGCCGTCTGACAGCACCTAGCACCAGCGCTGAGAAAACTGTACAGGCTGCCAATGTAAGGCTTAAGGTCTTATTGTTAATGTAAGAGCCCTAAACAACTTGGGACCAGAGGAAGATCACCTGACCCCCTTATATATCTCCCCATTCACTGCAGCCATCCATGGAGCCCCTTTCTGTGGTGCCAAATGCATTGTAAGTCCTATCTGTAGCCTCTCAGACTTGCTCCAGTGGCACCTTCCTTGTGGAACAAACGCTGCCCATTGGACTTAGCCAAGCTCCAACATAATATACTTTTATTTTTTCTTTTTAAAATGCTTTATTAGTTTTAAAGCATTTATATAGATAGATAGATAACTGCTTTTTATCCATTTATATTTTTTTTGTAATGTTTTTCACCACTATGATGTTTAGTTACGCTAAGCTGCCTACAAATATTTCAAGTAAGCAAACACACACACACACACACACACAGAGAGAGAGAGAGAGAGAGAGAGACACCTCGATCTTACCCAGATTCCTTATCAGTGATTATGAGCATAAAACTAGGGACAGAAGTATTCTAGGTTAATTAATAAGCAGTTCACTGATCTGAATTTGGACATGCAGTGCAATAAATCCATTCCAGGGGAAGCAGGAACTACAGTATTTTTCGCTTTATAAGACTCACTTTTTCCCTCCTAAAAAGTAAGGGGAAATGTGTGTGCGTCTTATGGAGTGAATGCAGGCTGCGCAGCTATCCCAGAAGCCGGAACAGCAAGAGGGATCGCTGTGCAGCGATAGCAGTGCGAAGCCTCTTCAACAACATTTGATTCAGAATCTTTTTTTTTCTGGTTTTCCTCCCTGCTCCTGTTTCCACAGGCTGAACTGCCCTTCTCTCTGTTTCTCTATCTAGAACAAAATAAAACCAAACTCAAGAGCAGGGGTCAGCAAGGTTTACCTCGCCTGGGCCGGTTCACTCCAGTAGAGATCCTTCCGTGGGCCAGAGCACGCACCCCCACGATTTCCGGTGTCTGTGTCTGCGCAGACGCAATTTCCGGCACCGCAGAAGCGAGTGCCAGCACCGCGCTGCGCTGATTTAGTGCAGGGCATGGGGACGCGTTGAGCGGGCGGCTTGGTTCAGGGGTGGCTCATGGACTGGTTAAATGACCCCTGTGGGCCGCTTGTGACCCATGGGCCTTAGGTTGCCGACCCCTGTTCAAGAGATAGCAGCAAGCAAGGCAAAAGGAGGCAGCCAAAATGTTGAACTGTCAAATTTGCTGTTTCTGCCCTTCAATGGAAATCTTAGATGCTCTGGGCTATTTAGTAAATCAGCCACTATACTGAATGATCCTTACCTTCTTATTCTGTGGGCTGCAGCTGAGAACACATTGGCTGTCAAGCTCAAAGCCATTTGTGCAGTTGTATATTCCCTCAAAGACGGGTGGGGGTGGCTTACACAGCACTGGAACACAGCTACCTTCTTCCCAGAAGCCACTTTCGAGACACTGAATATTCAGGAACTTTCTAGGAGGGGAATTAAAAAAACAGGAAAAAGCTGGTTATGTCATTGCATAGTGTAGCACTTTTTGGAGGGGGGTGTCTTTGTTTTAACCTTTGCAATAGAGAGTGGTGATCAACTGGCCAGCTGCTTAAAAACTGATTGCAAAGTACTTTACTTGGGGGGAGGGAACTGAATCTGCCATTATATTTATAACTGTTTGACTACAGAACAGGAAGCATGAAGTGTGAGCTAAGGGAGAATAAAGCCAGAATATGTTTGAAAAGGGAGAAGCAAGTGTTGCTTTTAAGCAAATGGGAACAAAAGGACGAGTCAACAGAACAGAGGGGCAAAGCAACGGCACATATCTAAAGCACATGACTCCCCCCAAAGAAACCTAGGAGCTGTAGTTTCTTCCTCACAGAGCTACAATTCCCAGCAGCCTTAAAGAACTACAGTTCCCACTATTCTTTAGGAGAAGTTGTATGCTCATTTCCTCAGGCTCCCTTCCCGTGGTAGCTTGTCCAGAAACATGAATTTGCCCTGTATCTTCCCCTGTGAAGACAGGTGCAAATAACTCGTTCTGTGATCTCCTTAAGGATCCTTTGACTCCCTTTTCATCCAAAGGCACAACCACCTCCCTTGCTAATCTCTTGCTACTGAGGTATGTCAGTTTGTCTTTGTATTGCTAGTCTTCATGTTTTTAGCAACGTGTTCCTCAAATTTAGCCTCTCTTATTGTCCACTTGCATTCCTTATGCCAAAGTTTTCGTTTCTTTTTGTTCTCACTTGGACAAGACTTCCATTCTCCAAAGGAAGCCTTCTTGGCTTAAATCACTTACTTGATTGCTTTTTAAGCACACAGGCACCCTCTTGGCCTTGGTGGTACCTTCCTTGTTCGTGGCCTACATTCTAGCTGAGCTTCTAATATTGTGGTTTTCAACAACTCCCAAGCATTTTGGAGAGATTTGACCCTCTTGACCAGGGTTCAGCAAACGTTTTCAGCAGGGGGCCAGTTCACTGTCCCTCAGACCTTATGGGGGGGCCGGACTATATTTTTTGGGGGGAAATATGAACAAATTCCTACACCCCACAAATAACCCAGAGATGCATTTTAAATAAAAGTACACATTCTAGTCATGTAAAAACATGCTGATTCCCGGACCATCCGTGGGCCGGATTGAGAAGGTGATTGGGCCAGATCCGGCCCCCGGGCCTTAGTTTGCCTACCCCTGCTCTTGACTTTGCCTTTCAACTTTCCTTTTAACAATACCCTCATTTTACAGAAGTTTCTTCTTTTGAAGTCGAATGCAACTTTATTTATTTATTTTCCAGCTGTCGATCTGCACACATATTGAACTTGATTACACTATGTTCACTGTTCCAAATCAAATCAACAACACTTGCTTCAGGTCCCAAGTGCCACTTAAGATTATGTGGCATGTGATACAATGCCATCTGAAAATAGCAACAGTCTGAAAAAGCCCTGGGATTCCCATATCTCAACTCACATTCTTCGGAACTACAGTATTTTTCCATGAAGCCCCCATGCATAAGACGATCCCTGTTTTTTCTTTAACCCTAAATTAGGAAATCAATATTCCCTTGCTGCCACTGAGGGAGGAGGGCACGTTCTTGTTTGTTAACTGTATTCAGTCATAAAAACCACTGAAGGGAAGATGATATGCATCACATATTTTACTCAGAATATGGTAACATTTGAGGACATATGTGCCTTTTGGATATACAGTTTGAAGCTGAATTGTTTTCCTTTAACTTGCTTGTTTGGATTTTGGAAAATCTGGATAATTTGATTTTTATTTTAAATAAGCTGTCTGCAGTAAGTAATATATCAGAACAGGCTGAAAAAGTGCTGCTGAACATTTACAGATACAAGCTGCATAGCTCATCACCCCTTCCCAAGGCTCGGGATGAGCAGATCAGTTTATTTCCACTTCATGCCAATTCTACATGTGTTCATTCATTAAGTCCATTCTATATTGTTTCCACCATCTGTGATGTTTTAAAAATCCATTCAAAAAAGTATGTATTTTGCTCTAACATATTTCTCATATTTCTTTAACTCAACATATTTTATCCTAAAGTGCACATTTAAATGCATTCTGGCACGCTTTTTGAGCAGTGTATTACAAGATTCAGAGACATAAACAATCCAAAAGATAGCTATGTTCTGATCTGCACTTTAATCTGAGAAGTACAGATTAGGTTGGTTTACATAGAAATCCCCATAAATCAAATTTCCAAGACCAAAAAACCTCAGAATTAATGAAAAGTAGATATATATAAATTCAAGACACCTTGGCAAATCTGCTTGTCTTGCATAATTTATACTAGTCACAGAATTCAGCTTTTGTTATTCAGAATTTGAACTTCCACAGGTGCAGAATTCTTCAGTGTGGGGTGCATATTTATGTCCCTAGACATTCCAGTGGTGATGACTCCTTGCCTGCTTGAGCCTCATGCTTCCTGAGAATATCGCGTTCCCACAAAGAAGCTACTCCTCTTTGCATCCTTCCCTACAAGGCCCCCTCTCATATTTCTCTTCAAATCCTTTGAAATCATGCAGCCAGTTACTGTGTCCCTTTCCCTCCATCAACCTAAAACTCTACAGCTTTGAGTCTTACAACAGAGCCTCAATCAAGTCAGTCTCTCCAGGCCTTTTGTCATTTCTGTGGCTCATCTCTGAATTCTGTCCAGCTTGTCAAATATTTCTGGTAAAGAAAAGTGAAATACACCAAGGGCATCAAGCGGTAATAAAATAATGCTGTTTAAGTTTGAACACTTTTCAAGAAGAAATATCTGTTGATTTTATCCTTGACTAAAAGTAACACAAAAACTTTCTGACCAGTTGGTTATGTTGGCTATCATCACTGATGATCAGTGACAACCCATTGGAGAGAACCTAATAATAAAAGTATCCACTCACTGAGCCAATTAAAAAAACCTTCCTGCTTTCCTCTTAATTCTTAATAAGGCAGCTATTCCACCTCGTCTAGGCTGAGTAATTTATGAGCCACCAAGTCTAACACTGTCTATGAGTCATGTCTATGAGGAAGGAGATTCCTTGTGTCCCTTGTGGGTTGCCATACCTGGATGATAGGTCACAGGTTCAGAAGTCTGCTCCAGCCCCAGTCATTTCAGATGAGATGTAAATTGACTAGACCAGAAAACCAAACAGCTTCTGTTCTAGCCAATCAAGTGAAACCATACACATTTTCCACTTTGCAAAGGGGGAAAGGCTACTTCAGTCCACCCGGAGATGTGCAAAGATCCTTTCAAGTTCTACAGTTTTAAAAGAATTTTTTTCAGATATGATTCTTGTAGTCACAGGCACTATTCAACAGGCAGCCGCAACAGCAACTGCAACACATAGGGATGTGTCTTACAACGCTGTTGGTCATACGTATGAGACTTGGCTTTTTGTAAATTCTGACTGAAGCATTATAAATATTTACCAAACTCTTTTGGCGTAAGAGACTGAAAGAACACGAACAATGAGAATATGTACTGCAAGCAGTGGAAATTTGAAGGTACTTTCTCCAAGATTCAGTTCCTTTCTGTGGGACCAGACTAGCCCCTCCCCCCCCACTGCTTTTTTAAGAAAAAAAAGATGCCAGTACTCACCATGAAGTTGTTACAGTAAATGCCAGACTTCTGACATCTGGGGGGAAAGGTGCAGATACAGTGTACTCTTGAGTACCCCCAGAAAAAAGCACTGGCCCCAACAACTGGATCTAAGTTCGATCATTGGTACATGAAATATACTCGGAGTCGAGTGTGGATTTCATGCTCTTTATTCAGCTCATAGTAGTGAGAAATGAAAGTTCCCCCAAAATAATTGCTTTATATACATTATTTACACAATGGGTTGCATGTGATTGGCTAATTCTGGGATTCTCCTGTAGGCCAATCAGGTTGCGGATTCACTTCCACCTGGAGCTGGATTGGGTGGCTCCTGCAGACCAATCAGACTGCTGCATTCTGGCCCCTATTGTTCTAGGACCAGTCAGACTACTGCATTCTGAATCCTATTGTTCTAGGACCAATCAGACTGCTGCTTTCTGGATCCTATTCAACTCAGTACATAACAGTACATTTACCAGATAGCATCCTTTACATGCCCTCATAAACTTCAGGTATCTGAAGAAGTGTGCATGTACACGAAAGCGCATACCAATAACAAACTTAGTTGGTCTCTAAGGTGCTACTGGAAGGAATTTTTTTTTATTTTGTTTCTCATAAACTTAGAAACTAATAAGAACATATTCAAATACTTTCTTACATTGTGTTCTTATTCTCTACCCCCAACCCATCAAGCACATCAAGGGGCACGGGCATAGCCAATATTTATTTAATGGAGGCAAGCTTTATGTTGGGGTTATCTGAGTTATCTGAGATTACTTGATTTAGGGGGGGCAGCTTCTCCCTGCCCACCCCCCGCTATGCCCATGTCAAGGGGGGAGGAATCATTCTGAGTCAGGAAACTCAACTATGGCTTGAACCAGGGACTCTGGGAGTACTGGAGTGAAACCAGCTGCCACCTAAACTACCCAGTTGCAAGTATTGCGGACTCATCAGACTCAGAAAGTAGAGTTAGAGAAGTTCAAAATGTTCACTTTAAAACTTCTAAACCATGGGTCGCCAAACAAAGGTCTGGGGGCCAGATCCGGCCCAATCGCCTTCTAAATCTGGCCCGCAGACGATCTGGGAATCAGCGTGTTTTTACATGAGTAGAATGCATGCTTTTATTTAAAATGCATCTCTGGGTTATTTGTGGGACATAGCAATTCATTCATCCCCCCCCCCATATAGTCCGGCCCCCCCACAAGTTCTGATGGACAGTGGACCGGCCCCCTGCTGAAAAAGTTTGCTGACTCCTTTTCTAAACAGTCCCCCCCCACACACACACCACAGGAATCTGATGCAGCCACTGGTTGGCACTGTTGTTCTTTCCCAGAGCTGCTTCCATACGAATGGAAACACTCAACGAAAACCTAGCTCCCTAAGAAACTAGAAATGTGTTTCTACATTGGCAGATTTTATTGTACCATTGGATTTATTTTTGGTTTAAAATGTTTACAGCCTTACATTAATGCATCCTTATGCTTGTATTTTGTTTGCAGACTTGGTCCAGAAAATTAGAAATATTTCAACATAAATTAAAATAATATAAGGAACTCCATTATATCTGAGATCCTAGCTGAATGTTACAAACATCATTAGAAAAATAAAAGGTAAGTAAAGATGCACTCATTGGCCGATTTCCAGGATGTGTCACTTTCTAATGTGTTCGCTCTTTGTCCCATTAACAACCCCACCCCCCCCACACAGACAGAGACTACTATAATTAAGTGTTTATTCTGGAACATACTTTCTCTGAAAATAGGCATTGTAAATGCATTGTGATACTTATCTGTGCCAAGAACTGGATTACAACATTCAGAGAAAGGTGAATTCCAAAGGATAGCTGAATTCTGGTCTGCACATTAGTCTGAGCGGACAGATCAGGTAGTTTGCATTAGGATCGGATTCTTCAAGCATTCCTACATACCCTGCCACCGCCCCGTTTTAAATGGATCCCAGAATGTCTCATTTAAGGTTGGCACCCTGTCTTCTGGGATCACTTTGGCAATCGACAAAGGCTCACAGCAAAGCACCTCTCAGTGGCTGCAGAGAAGGAAGAGGCGGAGATCCTGCATACATGTGATGCTCATCATATGGAAAGTATCTACATATAAGGCAGGCTCTGACTCTCAAGTATTCTGAAGTTCTGGAGCCCTAGAGCTGGAAAAATCTGGAGGGAGTGGGGCGCACAACCAATCATATAGGGAGGAGAAGGGATTCTCCAGTTCAATCACACTTGTAGCCTTCTGAGTTCAATCTTCAGGTGCCTGCAAAATATACTTGTCCTTACCTAACCCTGAAACAGAGTGTCTGTGTCTGGGGAGAAGGGAGGGGAGTTAAGTACCTGTTCACATAGCCAGCTAAGCAGCCAGTTTACTGAGAGGTACTGGGAAAGGATGAAGCAAGGGGCGGGGGGAAGAGAGAGACTTTAAAAACTTGCTCTTAACCCTCCTTTGTAACAGAGCCACGACCACTTCTTCTGATCCTACAAAACTGACATTTATTTAGGATTAGCAGTGGAGCCAAAGCAAAAATAAAACAAAAAAAAATCAAGGGTTTTAGAAAAAATTCCAACATTTAAAGGGCAAAATTTGAAAGCCTCGGGAAGACATATGAGGCACTGCAAGAGGTGTGTTTGATGTGAAGGCCTCAACATCAATCTTGAAAACATCACAATCCATACAGCAGGGGGACTGGCCCTCCCCCAAGTGTGTATTAGCAGTAGCCAGGTTTAGGTGCCAAGGAAGATGGCAATAAATTAGTCCAAAAGCTTCACATTATCTGCCAATGGCAGGAGATTCAAGGATTCCAAGCAGCAGAGCAGGAAAGAGGAGAGGTATTTACTGGTAAACTGGATGGAAACAAAACTGTAGCCTTAAGGGTCAGTATCCTTGTCTCTCATGTTTTCTCAGTGAACAGCAAAAGCATCAAAACAGACACCTCTCGCTCTTCACTATGAGACAGATAAACACCTCTAGTCTACAGCAATATTCCCTTCCTTCATGGTAGACTACGGGCCGAACTAGATAATGTATGAAATGCATGCAGAGCTGACCCAAGACATTTTGGCACCTGAGGCCAAGCACAAAATGGTACCCTCATACCCACCAGGAAAGAAGGGGTGAATAAAGATCTACATCAGGAATAAGGGGTGAATCCCAGTGAATCCTGCCGCCTGAAGCAGTCACCTCACTTTGCTTGCTGGGTGGGCCAGCCCTGAATGCATGAATAAATTTCAGCATCTGTGGATCAGGATTGAGGTTGTGCTGTGAGGGTTTTAAAAAAAACAAAAAAACCCTTTCCTCTATGGAATAGTTCTGGGGTAAATCCCCCTCCCTTTTTATGTCAGGGCTGCAACACAGGGTGAGTTAAGTCATGTTAATACAGATTAGTTACCCTTAGAGTATATTTTTTAACCTCTATTTTGGTACTTTCAATGAAGGTAGCTAAGAGTATACAAATGCTAGACTTTTCTCAATGTTTGCTAATGACCAAATTATGATAGGGTATAATTGTGTGTGTGGGACGCGGGTGGCGCTGTGGGTTAAACCACAGAGCCTAGGACTTGCCGATCAGAAGGTCGGTGGTTCGAATCCCCGTGACGGGGTGAGCCCCTGTTGCTCGGTCCCTGCTCCTGCCAACCTAGCAGTTCGAAAGCACGTCAAAGTGCAAGTAGATAAATAGGTACCGCTCCAGCGGGAAGGTAAATGGCGTTTCCGTGCGCTGCTCTGGTTTTCCAGAAGCGGCTTAGTCATGCTGGCCAATAAAGCGAGATGAGCGCCGCAACCCCAGAGTTGGTCACAACTGGACCTAATGGTCAGGGATCCCTTTACCTTTAATTTTGTGTGTGTGTTTCTGAAGTAAACTGCTCCACATAAAAAAAATCTGACAAATTGTTTTGATGTCTGAATCTTAACTGGCAAACCATAGTTTTTGCTTCATTTTAGATTTCAGCATTACCCTTCTGTAGAGATGCTCCCAGGGCAGTTAACAGATGAGTAGAACCATGAAGAAGTTCTGGGTTTGTAAAATGGTTCAATTCTTCAGCAGGGTGGGAGTTCTGCCCACAAGCTTTGCTTACTATCTCTTCCTCCCTGAAGTTTTCTCTCGTTTTGGCTAGGAAGCAGGATATAAAAAGTTTTATACTGCTGCGTTTGTGGGAGTAGAGGGCCCAAACTCCGCTTAGTTTCAGACATTTTACATTTAGATTTCTCTTACTGTGGAGTAAAGCGGAGTCTCGCCTGCTGCAACAGGAGGAGGGCTGGGGCAAGAGGAGCAGTGGCTGAATCTTCTCTTACAGCCTTGTTCATTTTTAAAGGTTTTCTGGGTGGCGCAGGACCCACCAACCCTTTCATGTGTTCAAAATAAATCATGCAAACTGAGCAGGCTTACTCTGCAAGCGCAAACATACACGAAGAAGATGATTTTCATAATTTAGCTGGAGTGCAGCCTGTTGAGTTTACAGGGCAAAGAATTTGGGTTTAGTTGGCACAGACACTGGAATTATTTTGGTGCAAAAATATGAACAGGGCTGCATACATTTCCAGTTAATGTTAGGTGGCCTGCGGCCAAGCTACACTCTTGATCATCCTAGCTCTATCCTCGTTCACCCACAGTGGCCTTTCTGAAGAATTTCCAGGTCCCACCCTGCTGATTATTTCCATTTCCCTTCCCCACATCCACCTCTCTCTCTACACTTTTTATGATCTAACTTCAAATCAACTGCAATGTTTGGATAATGTGGGACCTACTGGCGGGAGAGGGATATACCAAGAAAGGAAAACAGAGGGTGAGGATAAGATCAGCCTTTGGTGCAAAGGCATGGGGGCCTGTAGCTTGCTCATGTTCTTGTTATTATTCAGCATGACCACTGCTCTGGGCTGGCATTTTGTTCACTAGAATAAGTTCACCAAATAACAGCTGGTATAAAGGATCCTCAAGTGACAATTTGTTTACCTACTTCCAGATTCTCCTGCCTCTGGCTCTGAAAGATGAATGAACCTTGAATAGGATGTGATCCTGCGAACAATATTTTTTTTATTTGGTACATCTGAGTAGGAATCAAGATGGGAGGGGGGAGGGGGATTATTGCTTTGTTTTTCTTCCTATTTTTATTACATAGTTTGTCTTTTTTATATTGTGATTTTATGTTGTGAGCCCATCAGGGTGCCATCTTCCTGGTTCATCCTCTCTTCTGGACAGAGGTCAGTCTAGCCAGTTCTCCATGCCCTGGCAACTTCCTGATTGGATTACTATGGTACGTTATACGTGAGGCTCTGTCTGAAGACGTTCCAAAAGCTTTAGTTGGTTAAGAACACAGCTGCCAGGATTTTGACAGGTGCAGCAAAATCAGATCATATCTTGTTAGTGTCAAAAGAGCTCCACTGGCTGGCCGCCTACTTCTGAATCTAATTCCAAATACTATTGACTTATTAAATCTCTCTAAACAACTTGGGACCCAGGTATATTCTACACATTAATGTGCATACAGAAAAATCACATCTGAAGTATTCATTTGCTATATAAGGTCACCATCTGGAAACATCCTTCCAGTGCAATCCAATGTCTACTAAGAAATAGGGTCAATTGAGTTTAATAGAGCTTATAAAGTAAGTATAGAATTGCAGACATAAAAGGCGGAGAGTGAAGCAGACTTACTGTGAACAGGAACTCAAATTTATGCCACAATGAAAGCCAAATTCTGCAAACTTGTCAAGATCGCAAGTAATGCAAATTTTACTCATGCACACACTATTTTGTAATTGTGAGCATTTTTTCTATCCAGAAACAATATTGTTAGGGGGGAAAATAAATGTTGTGTTTAGAGGGTAGAGTTCTACATTAAAAAAAGAAGCTGGAGAGGTACAGTTTTGACATTTAAAAATGATGAAGGTTAGCATAAATTCACTTATGTACTATTTTAACTGTTTTCTTACCAAAGGCAGATTTTTCATGTGGATTGGAAAAAGGGGGTGGAGAGGGAAGGACTGGATTTTCATAGCACTGGAGGATAACAGAGCTGATTCCATGAGGTAGGACAGAAGAATCAAGACTCGAGGGAAAGGAAGAGAGGATCTGTCTGTTTTGGCTTTCCATTGTGAGGCCCCGTGACCACCCTGTTCCCTAAGGCGCAAATAACTAGACAACACACAGCATATTTTAAAAACTTGATCATTCAGAAAACTGAAAACAATTAAATAATTGTGGAGTTGGAAGGGACCCTGAGGACCATCTAGTCCAACCCCCTGAAATGCAGGAATAGACAGCTGTCCCATGCAGGGATCGAACCTGCAACCTTGGCATTATCAGCACCACGCTCTAACTAACTGAGCTATCCAGGTTGACATGCCTCACTAGAGTTACAGATGTGAAGGTTTGGCCATAGGCACTGAGGTAAGCAACTGCACATTTCACTCCTGCCCGCCCGCTGGGAGCCAGCAAGTAGGGGCTGCCCTATGACCTAGGTCAAATCGGGGCATCCCCCAAGCGATCCCCATTGGTGGAGTGGCATGGCCCTAGCCCCCTAACCTTACCCGTGGAGGGGCAGGCAGAGGCTACAACCTCCCCTCCAACCAAGACTAGGCTTACCCAATGGCTATCCACCTTACAAAGTTACAAAAATACACCCTGTTTAATTTGTATACAGCCCTTCATCCGAAGAGCCCAGGGTGGTTCACAACAGAAAAACGCAAAATAAGAATACAAAATACACAATAAAACAAAAATTAAAGCAAACGAATAACGTGCGCCCCCTCACACAAACACATTTAAAAGGGAAGCCATGGAATGTTAATCAGCCAAACGCCTGATTGAAGAGAGACATTTTTGCCTGTCACCTAAAGATATGCAATGAAGGTAACAGGGGAGCCTCTCTGAGGAGGGCATTCCACAAATGGGGAGCCACTGCAGGAAAGGCCCGTTCTCTAGACCTCCCCTGGAGATTATGCCATAACGTTTTACTGGAAGTAAGTCTTGTTAATTAAAAGTCCTCTGCAACCTTAAAGCTGCAAAATACTATGGACAAGTCCAAGAACAGCAATTCATTCTCATATATATATATATATATATATATATATATATATATATATATATAAAATAGCCAACTCATATATATGTATATCTCACTTTCTTACCTTTTCTGGAAGACCAGAAGTGACCCTGGGTTGTGTCAGTGTTAGTCATACTCAAGAGTAAAACTGTTGAAGTTTATTTATTTCTTGTATTTATATCCCATCTTTCCTCCAAGGAGCTCACACGGAGCGTACACGGTTCTCTTCCTCCCCATCACAACATTGCTATGAGCTAAGTTAGACTGAGCCCACTGTGACTGGACCAAGAACATCCAGCAAGTTTCATGGCTGAACAGGGATTTGAACCCTGCCCACAGATCCTACTCCAACACTCTAACCACTACACCACAGTGGCTCGCTGGCTACCACCCATTAATTTGAATGCATCTACTCTGAGTAGAACTTAGTTGGCTATGCACTGACTCACGAGACATCATCCCATAACTCTGGCTCTAAAGGACAGCCTTTTGGAGTATATCAGTTTTTAACTCCAATCCCTTGCAAGTCAAACAGTGTTGTGACTTCAATTACCAGCCATTCTAAACCTTCTCCGGGCTAAGTCATGGCTTATATTACCTTCCACCTCACTCTCTAGAGAAGGTCAGAGGCTGACCTTACTTTCTCCTGCTTCCACTCCTCCACCTTGCCTTCTGCACCTGTTCTTGGACGCCAATGTTGATTGACCTTTTAGCTGACATTCACAACACACTAGTATGCTTGGGGAAAATGCCAGATCTCCCAGCAGGAGCGAGACTGGCCACCATCAAACCCACTGGCCAAGCGCAAATACTCCAGTGGCAACATCAAATCCAGCCAGCGCTCTAGTAAGACTGAAGTGCATATGCTAAGGTGGAAGAGGCAACAGGGAAAATAGCAAAGGGAGATAATATATTTCCTTTACTCACTTCTTGGGCTTCTCCTCTGTGGTTTCCGCCACGTGGTATCCAGGCTTACACTTGTAGCGGCAGACAGAGCCCACATCGTGATTCCCTTGCAAGCAGCGGGGCACCAGCAGCTTAGCATTGGGAACTGGGCGTGGAGTGTCACATTCCAGTTTGCAGTAAGCTTCCGGGAGTGACCAGAGGCCATCGTCCAGGCAGGTCAGCCACTGACTCATTCCTGACTCCAAGTAAGAGAGGGAGAGGGGGGGTGAAGAGAGCGAGAGAGAGAAGGAAAGGGAAGGGAGGGAGAAGAAGCACCCACTCAGAAAATTAGACAGAATTATTTGCAAAGACAAGAGCATAACTTTCTGAAGCTCCAGTGCATCATCAGAGCTGCCTAAGGGAGAAGGGTCATCAAGTAAAGCTCATCAGCATACCTTGCAGCTTTGCTGGCTTGATACAGGAGAAGAAGCATCGCTTCATGTAGGTGGTCCCTTTAGGGCAAGAGAACTCGGCATACAGGACATGTGACTGGTCTGGAAACTGGCAGTCGATGGGGTCGCAAGTCACAGACCTGTCCCAACGCCCATAGTTACAGGTCAAGAGAATTTCTTTCTGAAGGGGAAAGAGGGGAAAGGTTGCTGTGAATTTCTACTGATTGTCGCAAGACTGATACAGCAATCTAAGAGCTGTCCTTGGCTCAGGAATCAAGCCAGAGTCCAGATGGGAACCGCCAGGAGATTGGCCTCTGCCTCTGGGCTGGCAGGTGCCTGGTCTTGCTTTACAGCACTGACAATCGGCAGATCATGAGAACTGCTTCCCCAAACTGACTCACATCAGTCAAAACTCCAATGCAGTGCTGGTGGCAGGCGGAAGTGAGAATCATGCCCTGACCTCAGGCTTGCAAACGATGGGAAGTGAAAAAGTGGTTGTCAGCTAATGATGTGTTGTTGTTGTTGTTTTACAAAATGAGTTAAACTAGGATAATTTCCTCATTTCATACAACTGCAATTTTGTGCAATTCATGTCGATTTCGGTTGTGGAAAGCCCTGCCTCCTCAACTTACCCTCTGACTCCCAAGACATCAAAATGCTGTACACTCTCAGCATATTATCACGTTCAGGAGGTTCACATTAGAAACATTTTCTTGTTAAAATAGAATCATAACTGAAAGCTGAGATTTTACAAAGCCGACTCTTCTCCCCACTTGCTGCAATTCTGGTAATGATCAGGAGTCTCCCTGCACCAGGCATTTAATTGGGGGGGGTGAGACCTATGTCAAGAGTGCCAATCCCATTGTGCACTTCTGCCCTAACTTGCCTCACTTGTCATGCTAGCAGTGCCTCTTCCACAGCAAGGCACAAGAGCAGGAGGACTCACACAGTCTTTTCTGCCAAGATGTTTCCTGCTTGAGTGCCAAACATGGAAATGTTAAACGAGGCAGGTTTATTTTGCTGGTGTGTGTGTGTGTGTAAAATTAAAGCAAAAAGGATACTTTGTTTCACCCGAGAATGCAGTGTGTGCAAGAGAGGACCCAGGGCCCAATCCAAATTGCATCTGCCCACATCTGGATTAACTGGAGAGTCATATGATTAACCATTAGAGAAGATGGAAGAGAGACCAAGCCACCCAGATAGAACCATCTAACGCATGCATCTTTCCAAGCCGCTGACAGGCCTTCATAAATTTTGATCAAGTATCCCTTTTAATTCTTTTCAGACTGGCTTCCTTTCCCAGTGGTATCCGGACTGCCCTTTCAGTGGCAGGGACTAATTCAAAAGCCTTTAACAGCCTGAATAGCAACTATTTTGGTCAAAAGGCTATGCTAAAAGACAGCAGGGTTAGGCCACTGGTCAGCTGTATCTGTTACCCAAACCACACGCCATTTTTGCCTCTGGGTTGGAGATTTGGGGGTTAGTGACCCCCGCTTTCCAGGGGCTGCATGTATCACCCCAGGGGTCTCTCAGTTGCTGAAACCAACAACAGATTGTAAATAAAATGTTAAGTTTTTCACATTTGGGCAGGCCACTTTTCCTGATGATGAATGAATGGCATGTGATGGCACAATTCCCAGTTTAGATGCTTGGGACACAGAGTTGGATTTGTGCATCTATCGTTCTTGTGATTTGATCTGAATAAAAATCAGTCAAAGAAGAAGGCAGCCTCCATCCCTGGTCATTTCCTGCTGGACCATATTAATGATAGTAATACTTAGTATCTATCTAACCCTTTAAAAGTATTTCATATGTTTTATTTCTATAATCTGTTGACAGGTCATTTTATTATCACCATCCCATTAATGCAAATTGGATAGCACCGTGGATAACAGAAAGTAACTTGCCAAACCTATCTGGCAAGTTCACGAGAGAAGCAAAATATGAACCAGACACTTCCTACCTAGCTCACAGCAAGGTTTCTTAGCTTTTGTACTGTAATGGTTCTATTAAACTCCTCAGAAAGCCCACTAGCTGACTCAGTGTTACATCAGAGATCAATTTGGCCTAAAACACGACTAGATTATGTGGCAAAGGAACCCTAGTCTGGCACAAAGGAAACTGAAGTTTCTGCATTCAAAGTAAATTCTGCAAATAGTTATCATTTGCAGGAAGTTCTTTTCTTTCCACCCCAATATTTCGGTCTCGCCTTTTTTTTCGTTTCTTTTCTTTGCCAAACATTAAAATATTTTTGGCAGGGAGCAATGTGGTAACTGGAGAAAAAGAATGGGAAAGTGAGAGAGAATAGGGGTCACTCAAAGGCAGCAATCATAACTGGAGACCATTCGAAAAAGTACATGAAGCTATGATGATAAACTTCATACAGGTCTTCAAGCCTATCTTTACAACCATAAAGTCCACAAATTTTTGTTTCCTTCCTCACAGCCACCACCTGTGAATCATTGCCACAAGACCCCTTCGTCCTGTACAATGTATCTACTGAGTACACTGGGAAAGATAAATAACTGGTGGGACTGCAGTGGCTTGTCTGGAAGCCCCATCTACCCGCTTGCTGAAGCATGCGTGAAATAACATCACAACCCCATGTACCCACCTGTCCTGGGCGCAGCAGCTGCCCATGGCTGGCATGGAGGACAAAGCCCTTTTCACAGGTAACAGCACACTCCATATGCCCCTGGCTGCTGGGACTGCAGTTGACAGCAGCAGCATGATGGATAAATGGTTGCACACAGCTGCCATCCTCTCCACAGGTGTGTTGGGTGCAGCTGTGGAGAGAAAGGGAGGAGAATCAAAATGCAGCTTCTTGTATTGCAAGGTGGGACTGCATTCTCCTCTTAGCACTGTGACAAAACAAGCTTGACACAAGGGAATGCAGAGTGTCACCCATACACCCTACTGTCATCCATATTTTTAATCTAAACATCCAGAACCCCTTTGGCATCAAAGAAGGAGGAGAAGTGAGAACATGAGGCTTTTCTCCCCTTGGAGCAGAATGAATAGATCCGGGATCCTTAACTATGTTGTTCAGTCTTTTGGCAAGAAACAGCTGGAGATTCTGTTACACACAGGGAGGGGTTACTTGAGACAAAAGGCGATCGAGGCTCTGCCTCCCACTGGTAGGAAGTGATAATGGGATAAGGCTGATTCCAGAGGGCAGAAGCAGATGTTCAAGATGCGCACAGAAGTTTCTTATCGCAAGTTAGAGAGGGACGTCTTAGGAAATGTAGGTGAATATGCCATAGAACCATCACCACAGAGTATTTTAAGTCCATACCATATTTGCATAATAGATGAGTGGAGCCCCAGGTGAAGAGCAGGACATTATCCTGATGGAATGCAAAAGGCTATTGATTAAAGTTAGTGGCAGATGTGTAGGTTTGGCCAGCCAAGCAGAAGGAAGTTCCACGTCATCAAGTCTAATTAATGACAGGCTAGAGTTGTGTACTTGTGTCAGCAGCTGGCAAATGCCTTAGGTCCCAGATTAGGCATCAGTGTACAACTAAATTTATGGCCTCCCCTTTCACTGACAGTAGTCAGCCTGCACCAAAATACATTTTCTCTTTGTGCTTGCAAAGAGCCCACACTCATTGCAGTGTCACCTGTAGAGCAGAGCTAAGAGTCAATGAGTTCTGAAGCATGTGCTGAGTGCCAGCTGAACTGAGCACCTCAGTAAACACTAACTTCATTTCAGAATTTAATGAACCGCTGCTCAAGCGCCAATAATGTATGTCTCTCCCAGCTCCCTCAAACTCCACATTTCTTCCTAATGTTTAGTACAAGTTATATGTGACACAGGGCATTCTTTCTGTGATTTAGTTTTGGTTGGTGGGTTCACAGTGTGTGATTACTCCAACGCTTTTTTACATCAAATGTGCTGTTGTTCTGCCCTCCCTCCACCAATACCCCATGCCCTGCTTGCAAGTTATTCCCCAAGGGCGCTGGCCTTGAGAGACTATCATTACTAGTATCCTTTAACAATAAATCAATGTGTTTTAAAGAAATTTCATCTGCAAAGCTGATTTCTGAATGGAAAGCAAGAGAACAAATTATTCCCACTGTTGTTTTAGAAAACCTTCATTAATAACAGTTGTCAGGGGGCCAAGCTATGCACCACTGATTCTAAGAAAGAGTCATAACAAATTAGTGCTGCAAAATGCTTGCGCCTCAAAATTCAAAAGTAGGCCTTTATTCATTTATTTAGGACAGTTTTATACTGCTCTTCATTAAGAAAAATGCCAGGGCAGTTTACAGATAACATAATCAAATAAATACAAAGATCAGCACATTATAATATATATAATATCCACAGTAGCTAAAACAAACACTACAAGCTTGATATTAAAAACCAGCAAAATGTTTTAATACGCACTTAGAACCAGTCAAGGTTGGCAAGGGACTGTCTGGCGAGGGACAAGGGGCATTTTATTCCATATGCTGTGTTAAGTTGTGGGTGAACATATCAGACGACACAGTGATTCTTCAAACAGCTCTTGTTTATTCACAGGCCAGAACAGAACTGAACTGAAGGGTTCAGCCAGCCTGCTTATATAGAGCTCCACCAGAACGCAACAGTAACCATTTTCTGTAACTATCCAATCACTGAATGTCACTTTGAATCCCTTATTTGCATATGTGGACCTGAGTGAAAACTATCTACAGTATCCCCCTGCTGGCCCTGGGTGAGAACTTCAGTACATAACAGGCTGGGCTCACGCTGCACAACCAGGAGGGCCTGATCTCAATGAGTGAGCAAGTCCATACAGGCAAGTCTACACAGGTAACCTGGTCCTAAGTTGTTATAGGAAAGGACTTAAATTTTGATGGACCAAGCCTGTATTACTTTACGTTAAACCACTTATCATAACTTACTGATTTAAGCCAGAGATGCCAACTTCTAAATACCAGGGGGTCAGGTGGAAGGATGATTCTGTTCTTTCAAATCACGGAATTGTATTTTGCTACATAAATTTACAAGATGGTGGCGTGAAGCCCTTTCTCTAAGTCAGGGGTACTCAACCTTTTTAGACCTACCGCCCCCAGTGCACCTTTCTTGATGGTAAAATTTCCTTACCGCCCACCAGTACTCGGTGGAAGGAGGATTCAGCTTGTGCCGTAGAACCCCCTACCGCCCACCTAGAATCCTGAAACGCCCACTAGTGGGTGGTAGGGACCAGGTTGACAACCCCTGCTCTAAGTGATATTGAACATATACAATATATTCTATACCACTCAAAGTCAGTGTTCAGTCAGTATTCCCTGCAGAAATGGCTATATGAGAGGAACATGATCATGCTGGGGACAAAACACATAATGAAATATAAAAGTATGGAATATGTCACAGCTCAATTGAATTGTTATTTTGGAAGCTTAACTATAGTTTGGAGACAAACCATGGTTTGCAACTGGCCAGAATTGTAACTGCAGTTTGATGTGCATTTGCAAACGGTTGATTGTGCAGACTAGTTCTGAGTGATGACTCAATTAACAATTACCAAAATGGCCACCACTAAGATGAGAGGAAGTAGTTCTAAACTGTGGTGTGCCTGCTGTACACCCGATAACTGAAAGAACAGGTGTTTTGTTTTTTAAAAAAGTTAATTTTAATACAAATTATTATAAAAGTAAAGAACATGATCTCAGAAGCAATATTCTTTCTTCTCTGTCACACGGGAAGGAATACAGCTTCTAATATGCTAGTTATGATGTTTGCATAATCTAAAAGTAATTGGTCTTGACTTGCTGTCATGAGGGACGATGGAGAGCACCACCACCCGGAAAACAGAAGAAGAGGAAGTTCTGAAGGAGGGAAGCAGCCAGAGGACCTGCCCAACATCAGCTTAGCAATGGACAGCCACGATGGAGCCCCCCTGGATCCAAACCATATGTGTAGAAAGAGCATTGCCAAGACTAGTAGTCCAACACTGAAAAGGAACAGACTGTTTTGAAAGGGTTTCCTTTTGGGGGCAGGGGGAGAGGCAAGGACAAGTGAAAATGGCAAGAAAAGGGACCGCAAGACAAAATATTTCTTTTCTCCCTACACGCAGACATGTTTATGAAGTGAGAAATGGTTTTAGGGCAGCTGCTAAAAATTCTTTCACTAGCTTAGATTTCCATTTGCTTCTTTTTAATATATATTTTACAAGCACATGTGTTTGTCAAATCGTTGAGCTTCTGGGGACTTCAACAAGGATCAAATGCAATACAGATCTCCCCCTCCCACCCACACTTCCTCAAGACTCCATTACTGCAATGAGCTCTTCGTGAGGCTATGCTTGGGCCTAGTCTGGAGGCTGCAGCTGGACGGTGGATGGGGGACAGACTATTGCCAGCACAGAACTCCAGTGCTCAAAAGAATGCACTGGCTGCTCATATGCTACTGGGCCATGTTCAAGGTCTTGTATTAATTTACAAGGAGCCAGTGTGGTGTAGTGGTTAAGAGCGGTAGACTCGTAATCTGGTGAACCGGGTTCGAGTCTCCGCTCCTCCACATGCAGCTGCTGGGTGACCTTGGGCTAGTCCCACTTCTCTGAAGTCTCTCAGCCCCACTCACCTCACAGAGTGTTTGTTGTGGGGGAGGAAGGGAAAGGAGATTGTTAGCCACTTTGAGACTCCTTTGGGTAGTGATAAAGCAGGATATCAAATCCAAACTCCTCTTCTTCTTCTTCTTAACTAACCCCTACTCTCGCTGACCAATCCCTGATGTACTCAGGGGAGTCACTGTTGGTTCCATGGCTCGGATGCCCCAGCTTGTATCCACCAGGACCCATGCATTTAGGCCCAGCAAGAGAGGGGAGAATTGCATCTGGCAACCTGAAAAGCTTAAGCTGACAGACCAATGGCCATAGCACTACACTGACTTCCTCTCCAGGTGTGGGGAAGGAGAAAGATGTGGCTCCCTGCCAAAAGCAGGGTTTGAGGGCACTGCTAATCAGCTGAGCCTGCAAAGTCCTGTGCCTTTGCCTACATGGTTTAATTTCAAGGCCAAGGAAGTGGGGTTTGAAGGTGCTGCCAGAAAGTGGAACTTGCAGTGCCCTGTACCTTTGCCTGTGCCATTTGACTTCAAGCACAGGTGGCGCTGTGGTCTAAACCATTGAGCCTCTTGGGCTTGCTGATCAGAAGGTCGGCGGTTCGAATCCCCGTGACGGGGTGAGCTCCCGTTGCTCGGTCCCAGCTCCTGCCAACCTAGCAGTTTGAAAGCACGTCAAAGTGCAAGTAGATAAATAGGTACCACTCCGGCAGGAAGGTAGACGGTGTTTCCGTGCACTCTGGCACTTGTCATGGTGACGCGTTGTGCCAGAAGTGGTTTAGTCATGCTGGCCATGTGACCTGGATGTTTGTCTGTGGATAAATGCCGGCTTGCTTGGCCTCAAAAGCGAAATGAACACTACACCACATAGTCACCTTTGACTGGACTTTACCATCCAGGGGTCCTTTACCTTTACCTAGATTTCAGGGTAGTTCACAACATAAAATCACAATATAAAAAACAGAAAATACAGAATAAAAAGAAAAACAAAGCAAACCCCCTCTTTCACAATACATTTTAAAAGCGCATAGGATGTCAACCAGTCAAAGGCCTGGTTAAAGAGGAATGCTTTTGCCTAAAGGTGTATAATGAAGGTGCCAGCCAAACCTTCTTGAGGAGAGCATTCTACAAATGTAGTGCACACTTTTTTTTACCATACCTGCTCTGATTATATGTGTCTGGAATTTTGAATACCCCATTAACACTGGGGTTCTTTTATATGGGACATATACATGTTGTGGCAGTGACAAAGAGGTTTTCTTTCAAGTAAGTGCTGGTCTCCACAGCTCCACTTTTTTTTTTACTTTTTTTTTTAAAAAAAGCTTTTAAACTCCCATTGAGCATGTCCAAGCACTGGACACTCCCAAAGTGGCTCTATAGTTCCCCTTGTTTACATTTTTGGTTTACTTACAGCATCTTAGGCATGTGCCTGAAATACATAACGACCAAAGAGTCTCCAAATTCTGTTTTGCAAGCTAAGTGAGTTCTTTTATACAAATTTTAAAGTGTAAGCTGCATGAGCGCCCGCTGTTCTCTGAGTGAAACTGAACCTAGTTGGGCTTCATGGAATTTCAGGGAAGAGGGGACACAAAGGCTATTTATTTTTCATTCCAAGCATCTGTTCCCACTTCTGCTTTGGGAGCATGGGCTTCTAATCCCCCATTCCAGAGTGACTTCCTCTGCAACAAGCTTTACACAAAGGGTTTTGTGGTACGTAGAAGCCATGAATGGGTAAAGGGGAATAAGCACTGACCAAGACAGCAGGTAGTAAAAAGAAATCCCCCTTTACTCCAGTTGCAGAGCAGCCTGCAACTGAACCACAATCCATGTGATCTCACCCCAAATGGATGCGATCTTGCCCAAAAATAGCACCAATGGCAGTGCTGCTTCTCTGCAGAGGGGGTGGGGCAGGTGGGGCACCTGTGGAAGCGCTACCCAAGGGGTTTCTGCCGTTCCCTCCCTCATCGTTTACATGGTGCAGTTTTCCTGTTGTCTTCTGTATCCAGCACAAACTCTAAAGCTCTTGATGGCCTGATTGCACCATGCTTTCTGATATTGTATTCCAATATGCTCCTGGTGGTTCCCCTCACACCTTTATCAACTCAGGTTGCCCCAAAGTTTCCTGCTCTCTTAAAAAACACTCTGCTGTTGTCTCTTATGCCTTCTGGAACATGAAGTTAATACTTCTCCCTCACCTCTGACTTAATCCCTCAGCCCCTTCTTACACACTTACTCTGGATTTGCCCACAGGACAGAGCAGCTCCTGACAGTTACTCTCCACTTTCTCAGCAAGGGAATAAAATAGCAGACTTAACAGTGCAATCCTAACCATGTCTACTTGGAAGAAAGTCTTACTGAATTCAGAGGGGCTTGCTTCTTGCCAATCCAAGGCAAGGAGAGTCAGGATAACAGCCTTAAGCAACTGTCTCTTTGCAGGGGTTTGAAGTGACAATACCAAATCCTGAGGAGTTACCTGAGTCTCTGGCGGCCATGCCCCTCGTGCTCTGGGAGGCAGTTGCTCGGGTTGGGAGGGTCTGGTGGCGAACGTGTCCTCAAGGCCACTGCAGAGATGCCCACGGAGAGGGAGGAGAAGTTGAGCAGGGCGGATGTGATTTGGCGGAAGGAAACGTTGTCACTTAAGTTGATGACCAGTGGATTCTGCTGGCACGACAGCTCGTACGTTGCTAAAGGTGATTAAGGAACAAAGTAACTTTGGGTCCCTCTAAATTAGAGAAGATAAGCCCTCTGAGTCTCTCCTCCGACTGGATTGAGATTTGTCTGTATTTCCCAGGGAAAAAAGGTGAAACCTGGAAACACCTCAAAGCCAAGCCAAGGGCTCAGAGTGATGCCACACACCCTGCCATTCTCTTTGGCCAACTTCCACTGCCTCACAGCGGCCAAACACTTCCCCCCTCCCCTTCCCTTCATTCAGTGGTGAAGGGAACAGTGATAAAAGCACACGAGGAGGAAAGAGAAGGAAGCAGCATGCAGAGAGGTCCCTAAAGAAATCCAGCACAGTACCAATCTTTCTCCACAACATGTAGCTGCAAGGAAGTTCAGTATGTTTTGTGTCACACATGGGCAACAGTAAGGCCCAAAGGCCACGCCAGCGCCCCGCAAGAGACTAGTGTGTGTTTTTAGAAAGCACACCAGGATCTTCTGCTGTGAAACAGGGCTTGGGCAGTAAAGCTTCACAGCTTCCTCAGTCGACACGCAACTGTGGAAAGAGTTCCAAGGCAAGTAGGAAGTCTGAAAACCACTGTTCTGAAGGAATGCAATGCCCTGTCAACAGAGTAGCAAGTAATATAGCGCATTTGTGAAAACCCTTCTGCTCTATGAAGCAATTTAAACAGGCAGGGGCACAGTGAGGGCTATGCACAGGTAGGGCTCCAATGTTTCAATGCTCCCCTCCCTACACACATTTTTAAAACTCCATAACTCTACAAAGCTATCAAGAAAAGGGTTCTAGGCGAGACTCTTCCCAGGCAAGCTAGTTGTTTATGTGCAAGGAGTCTCGGTGGGAAGCAGCCAGACGTTCAAGCCACCACAGGTGGTCTGAAAGGAGCCAGCACAGCAACAGACACATCTGACTCGTGGTTTTGCTTTCCACTGAATTGTACACACATATTTCTTTCTTCCCAGCTCCATTGTGGTCTCTGGTCAAACAGGTTTTGCAGGTCTTATAAAAAACACTTTAAAAACTATTTAACAGAGGCAAAAACAGAATTAACGTATACATCATAAGCAATGATTCTGCTGCCAAACCAACTACAGCTCCCAGGGAGTGAGAAAAGGGTGGAAAGAAACAACACTCCTGTCTGTCTGAAGTCCACTAAAATAGCCTTGCTCTTTACAAGAAGCAAATGGTAAAAACGGCAAATAAATGTTAGAACCTAATGACACACAAGAACCTGGATAAAAACCAAACTCACTGATTGCACACTCACCAAGGAAGTGGCTGTGCCCACTGATGTCACCCAGCTGAACTGTCACAGTAGACTTAGGCTGGTCATCCACGGAAGTGCCATCGGACACCAGGAAAACAAAGAGTGAGGTAGCTATGCTGGGTCTGTTGAAGCACACCTGGGCTCCAGGATACCGCAAAGGAGGAGTGCGTTATGGAGTGTGAAAAAGAAACAGGTACGTTACATAGATAGGTAGACAAGCAGAAACCCTCCCCTACTGTATTCCTCACCCCAATTGGCACTGGCCAGCAACCCTGAAGTTCTTCTTTGTTCCACTTGGCTCATTTGCTCTCTGGGTTGTCTTCTGAAAGATCCCTTAAGCAGGGCTGGTACTCTTCTATGGGGAACTTGGCACATACTCTGCTACTACATGGCAACCCCCGCTCTTCCTCAAGAAAGCCCAACTAATAAAGGACCGCATACAGTACAGTGATATGTAGTCAATTAGATTTTAAGGTAAGTGATGCATCGTTTCAGGCAACTGAAACTTATTACAGGGCAATACTTCCTGTATTGGTAAATGGACAAGCCCAGCTGGTCACAGATCATTCTAAGAATCCCCTAAATTTTAAACATCAACAAGCTGTAGTGTCTTCATCTGATGCTCACAAAGCTGTTTGCCAAAATCCATCTTTTCCAGTTTAACTCTGCAGTAGTATCAGTGAACACTTCAGGGTTATCAAGACCCCCATCTCTGAACCAAAGAGGAAAGGAAATGGGCCTCGTGTCCACAGAATCACCTTCACCTTTTTTTGGGGGGGGGGGAGGAACTGAATCCCTATTTTATCTCATGCAGGTGGTTGAGCACTTGTGCTCTTCTTGCCATCTCTTGGTCATTTTTTAAAAGAAATGCACAATTGTTGCTGCTGTTGTTGTTGTTTAGTTCAACAACAAATTCCCCAATCCAGAAATTCTGCCGGTTCTCAGTAAACTAGGTAACGAGGGCATTCACACCAGTTAGTGTAACTTAGCTATTCTCTTAATAAATTTATCCGACTGCTTTATTAGATTTTAAGCATAAACATCATCAACAGAACTGGTAACAGTTATTTGATACTTCGCTACACAATGGTAACGATTCTGTATTCACTGCGGAATAGTTCAATGGTAGAACAGGAAATGATCTATTGACTTATTGCAAGACAGAGGGCAGAAGAAGAGACATGGAAACTTTGAGAAGTTCTGTTCCATGAGCCTTGCCATGTCCTGCCTGATTCACCCCTTCCATCCTTAGGGCACTTACTGCCTTCACTTGTTTCAACTTACTGTCCCAACAGAGAAAAATGGTACAAATCTGCGGAACACTTCCTCCCTACGAGGCCACAATGACCAACCATTCTGAATAATTTGGGGGTCTCCGGAACCTCAACTATATCCAAGCTCTAGCATTCGTGAGGGTTCAGCAGGAACCCTTGCGAAGGTCCAGCCTCTTTCTAGGCAAGCAACAGGATGGCCATGAACCCTAGTCGGAACCTGCCAAGATCCCGTAAGAGGTTGCTCAAATGAGTAGGTTCACGGCACTCTAAGCTTCCTCAGATGCAACAGCAAACCATAGTTTTGTCAAATTAGGAAATAATTAATTATTATGCTGTTTATGTCAGAGGGAGAGGGAGAATGCAAGCACATTCCTGATCCTGTAAATAGCCTTTCCCAACCTTGGGTTTCCAGATGTGGTTGAACTACCACACCCATCATCCACAGCCAACAGGAGAAGCAGTCAGGGATGGTGGAAGTGGTAGTCCAATAACATCTGGGAACCCAAGGCAAGGAGAGGCTGCCTGTTGTCAAAATGCAGCCCGCCTCTGTCTTCTCTACCAAATCTAGTTCCCCCACTTCTCAAAATTCAGCATCACAGCCCAAAGCAATTTTCTTTTAGATTTACCTAGGCATTTCAATAGATTTTACTGATTCACAGCACAGTCCTATCCACATGCCCAATGAATGTTCTACCGGCTTCAACACAGACTAAGTTGTAAGCCCTGCTGAGCTCAACAGAACCTACTTCCAGTTAAATATCTGCAGGGTTCTGCTGTTAACGGAACAAGTTTTAATCCATTTGAAGAGTTTTATCTGCTGTTTCCTTGTTTCAGTTTGCATTTGTTTTATGTTGCAGCACCCTGAAATCTAATATGACGGAAGGGTGATATAAAGTGTTTTAACATAAAATAAAGGGAGGTGAGGCGAGGGGGAGAAACAGACATTTTTATTGCTTGGCCATAAATTTATGGATGGAAAATAATAAAGTATGCAAGCAGTGCCAAAAGTGAGAGTTTTTAATATAAACATCCACGGATGAAGGGAACCGACCATGAAATGTAATAAAACTAGAACGTGCTTTAATCTCTGGGGAAGAGTGGAACGCAAACCTCCCGCAAGTGAGCAGAAAGGGAGCATTCTCCTTTGTTTCTGCCCCCAAGGAGCGAATGCCGGGAAGCTGCTCCATCACGTTCTCTGCTGAGACGAGCAGGAGAGTTTGGGGTGTGGGTGGGCAGGTCATGACATAAGGAAAGAGAAACAAGCAAAGAGGCAAGATGTGTTGCGGTCAGCAACTTTGACCATTTGGGCCTCATTTGAATATTTTTAAATATTTTGGTGGCATAATCATAATGCTGGCTTTTTTGCTTTTAATACCATTATGATATAGTTTTGCTGCTTTGTAAGGGTTAAACCACTGAGCCTAGGACTTGCTGATCAGAAGGTCAGCGGTTCAAATCCCCGCGACGGGGTAAGGTCCCATTGCTCGGTCCCTGCTCCTGCCAACCTAGAAGTTCGAAAGCACGTCAAAGTGCAAGTAGATAAATAGGTACCACTCCGGCAGGAAGGTAAACGGCATTTCCGTGCACTGCTCTGGTTCGCCAGAAGCGGCTCTGTCATGCTGGCCACATGACCCAGAAGCTGTACGCCGGCTCCATCGGCCAATAAAGCGAGGTGAGCGCCGCAACCCCAGAGTCGGCCACGACTGGACCTAATGGTCAGGGGTCCCTTTACCTTTACCTTTAAGGGTTTTTTAACAAGTTTATTTTATTGTATGCTGTGGTTGCAAATTGCTTTAGGAAGACTTGTCCTGAAAAGCAGTACACAAATGTATTAAATAAATTAGAAGGGAAAAAAACAGATATCACTCTTTTTAATGGTTTGGACACATTTACAGAAGGGTGGATTTATTAATGGCCATTAGATATGACAGCTGACTAGAAAGACAGCTTGCCTATCTATACCAAATGTGCTTCCCGTGGTCATATATTTGGGTACTGCACTGTGAAGTCCATAAAACTCAGGTGTAAATATGTGCAAATAAACCACATTTCTTAAAGACACTACAGTCTCTGTCATGCCTCATTCCAAAGGAAGACAAATGCTGCTTAGGTACCAGACTCCTGGAATCTTCCTACTGCTCAGCAGAGACTGGGGTGTCTGGTAACAGCACCTTCCCATCTCCAAAACTTTTTAGAGCTCCTCACTTTGTGTAAAGGGACAGCTAGTCTCGCTTGCATGTGGCCTAGGGGAGAGGGGAGACTGCCTTCCCACCCAGTGCCTTCTGCCTAATGGGAAAAGGCCCACAAGGTGGCCTCCCAAGAAATAAAGAAAACAATAAAAACTGAAACCAAGTGAAAACAGCAGTGCCTGGTGAAGTCAGTAATGAAGGCACCCGAAGAACATGTCTAGGTAGGGCATTCTACAGTAGGGGAATCAGATCCTCCACTGGTTGTCTTACCACGTGGGCAAGTTTTTACAGGAAAAGCTGGCCCTCCCAAGATCTTGATCTCAGACTCTTATAGGTCAAAAAATGGTGCCTGACCATGAACTAGAAGCAAGAAGATCTTTTGTGACTGGTACAATATGTTCACCATAGTGAAGCCCAGTGAATGACCTGGTTACCATGTTCTGAATCAGCTGAAGTTTCTGAATGGATTTCATAACCTGAATGTTACTAGAGCATGGATAACTGTGACATGATTGTGTTTATGCAGAGAAGGTCCCAGTCGGTGGGCTACTGAGAAGACGTTAGATGTTATTTAGCAAAGATAGGTGTGTGTCAAGCCTTCAGGACGTCAACACCACGCTGCAACAACTGAAACTCATATAAGAAAAAAGAACAGGTCTAGTACATCCTGTACTTTATCCAAAGTTACATCCAAGTTGGAGCAGATTTGAGTGGTTTTATCCCTGGAGCTCCCACTGCATGGCATTTGTGCAGACAGAACTGTAGTGGTGAAGTAAGCTTTCTTTACCGCCATTGTCAATACAAGACTAGGCCCCAAAGCAGACTCGAGTATGCATTTGACAGACTCATCCTGGTTCTTTCCCCACTTGTGTTCCAGCCACTGTCCCTGTTCTGTCCATCATGCCACAGAGAACATAACTGTGGGAAAGAGTGCCTAGAGGTAACTTTGTTTACTGCATGGGTCATCAGTCAGAACTTTGGCAAACTTCTAGCCATGCCAGCAGGAAAATCCCCTAGGGCTATCTGGAAATTTCAAGCTTCCTCAGCCACATGGCAAGCCACATGAGAGAGGTTCTTGCTTCAAACACCACAGGGCCTGATACCAGTGTGTGAAAATTGGGGTCTGAAGGCACTAAGTCTAACCTCCAAGATTCACTTCTGGGAACTGCTGCGGAAAGGAAAATCTCAAGTAAATCTGGAAGGTCCTGCTCAGACCAAACATCTGTAGGATTTTTGAGTTTCTGTGAGACTGGCAAAATGTGCAGAGCACTAGAATAAAACCTTGTGAGGGTTCAGCAAATCCCTACTTTTGGAAAACTGTACATATTATCTGCCACATCCTCTCAATGTACCCTTCATACTCTGAGCACTTACTTTCAGCCAAACTCTATCGTCCAAGAGCATTTTCTCCCTGTCTGCACCTTGAAGGTCACCATGACTGGTACAAGGGAACCAAGCCGCATGGAGGTGATGCTCCAGTGTGTCCTGGGGATGAGGCTTGCACACCTGGAAAGGAGGGGTTTTCAGAGTCGGGAGAGAGGGGTTGGGAAAGGAAAAGAAATGTCAGTCACATTAGAAGCAGGGAAATCAGAAACACACAAGTGAAGCTCAGCACAAAACAGTCCCTTAATTGTACCACCAAGTTTGTCAGCAGTGAAAAGAGGTGAGGGCATAAAATTCTCCCGTAGTTTCAGTTCTCTTACCACCATTTTTGATAGTAGCTGTCACTTTCCCCACATGGTCTCTTGGAACAATGCATCGTGTGAGATGGCAGCTGGACTACCAGCACAGAACCTGTGCTAAGCTGTCACGTGGCTGAAGCTTCAGCAGTGAAAGTTACAACGTACAGAATAAAAAAAAATTAAGACGGGGGAAAGCCTATTAAGAGAAATCCTGCTTAGCCCACATCCAGCTTCCCAGAATTCCCTTTGAATGTTTTCATTTTCTGATGGCCATGGCTGCAACTAACTGGGGTCCAGAGACTTTCTACTTGAGTGTACGAAGCCATATTTTATTCAATCAAACGTCAGTTCCTTTAGCCCAGGACTATCAGCCTGGTGGTAGGTTTCTGTGGCTCAGCCCTCACTGAGATGGTAAACCCACACCTGGGCTATACCACTTTGGATTGCTAAAAAAAGGGGGGGGCTCACATCATTGAATGTTCCACCATGCAAAAACCTTCACAGAGGACATAAGCCTATCAGGAAGAAAATGAGAGTAGAAAATGAGAAATCTAGTTTTCCAGGTGGCAGGAATGTTGTTGTTTTTTATGGCATGCAAGTCTCCACCTGGTCTCTGAAGCAATAATGGCAAGACACAGGTTGCCCAGGACAAAGTTCATTGCCAGCATTTTGACCTTTCTGAGATCCTTTAACTGGGGATGCCTACAAATTGTGTGCTCTGCCACTGGCTCTATAAGTCTTGCCCTCACTTCTAAGAGAGAAACGAAGAAGTTCTTCATGACTGCCAAGAAACAGACACAGAGGTAGAAGTTCAGGAATGGCTGAAGGTAGGCCTCCCCATAGACCTCAGTATCAATGGAGAAGTACTCTATAGTTGAAAGGTATGCATGAGGGGTTGGAACTTATCCACTGATGTTGCCAGTAAAGTTCAGTTCATCCCAGTTCAGAGCAGAATCAATAGCTGGCAGACTTGGGAAGATCACAGAGGTTTGGGACATGTTCTTCTTCCAGGAATAACATAAGGGCTTGAATATGAAATAAAAATTCCCCTCACCCTCACAAGAGGTTCTCCTGTCACCAGGGAAACTGGGCATGCCTTCTGGTCCTGGTGGGAGGCATAAGCCTCTGATGCCCACTGATCCACGTACTCTTTGGGGGTGTAGAGACCACAATCCACAATGCTGCTGCTTTTCTCAAACGGCTCACAAATGCCATCGCCATCAGATACATAGCACAGGCTTGGCTCTCCTGCAGATTTAAAAGAACAGCTAAGATGGTGCATTTGTAAATTTATTTTGTGTTATAAAAACACTCGTGATACTTTTGGATTCAACATAAGGACAATTCACTAACATATATGCATTTGCCTGCTCTCTTTCACTTTTCCCTATAACAGAAATTAGTATCTCCTGGTTTATAAAACCAATTCACTCTTTCTTCCTTTTAAAAGATAATTCAGAGCATGATAATTAAGTTATGTTATATTAGGCTTAGTATATGTTGGATATTTGATTGTTGCCTTTTCCATTTACCTCCCCCCGCCCTGCTGCCATTTTTAGTATTTCCTCTGAATGATTCTATGAATGTTTGTGTCACACCCCCTTCAGTCTTCCTCTATTACTCTCTAAGGCCTGGGTGGCCAATTTGGGGCACTCGGGCTGATGTTGACTTCAGCTTCCATCATCCCTGACAGTTGGACATGCTGATGGGAGTTGTTACCCACACTGGCTATCCATACTCTAAGACCCATGGGCAGCTAGACCCATGTGTGTTCTCCAAATCAAGTGTCCGTGAGGTACACTGATGAAGGCCTATAGTCCATGAGGCAGAAGATACTGATTTTCTGATATGGAACAAGACAAGGACAAGGTTCTGAGTATTTATACCATGCCTGGCCAATCCAGAAGCTTGATACTGCTTTGTCAATTACAGGGACCGATTTTGCGCCCTTGTTACAGGAAGAGAGGTACGAGACCAAAACACAGGTAGCCCATGTGACTAGACCCGTCTCAGGCTATGCAATTTGTGATTGATGTCCCTGGCACAATTTTCCTTATTTCCTCTCCTTCCATAACTTTGTTATTCCATTATAATGCATTTCTACATACTTATGGGCAGTTGCAAACTAGGCTTAGGAATAAAGTGGGCATTTTTAAAAAGAAGGAAGCTCTGTTGGGATACCAGACTTTCAAGTATTTCTGTACATTTTTCTATAAAACAATTAAAAAAACTTGTTTTTATATAAAAACAGAGAACAAAAACTAGAAGTGGATATTCTGTAAACATGCTGTCTGGAGAGAAGAAAGTCAGCCTGCTGTTTCTCAGATGCTATTATATATGTGCTAAGCAGTCCTGAATCCCTGACTTTTCAGTGTCTAAAGTGATGTTTAAGTCTGCCAACTGCAACCGTGTGAGGTAGGACCTGAACAGAGGCTGAGAGAAACTACCTTCTCAAGGCCACCAAGAGAGTTCATGGCATCTGTACAGCATCTGAAGCCAAGGAGACCCTGGTCCAAGTCCAACACACTCTCGACTACTTCATACACTGGTCAATGGGAATGTTGCCACTGATTTTAATGGAATGTGGCTTTTACCCAAAATGCTTTACAGACCCATGCCAAACGCTTGACAAATGCTCCAATGGTTCCAATATTTTGAAAATTGCTTCTTTTTTAGAAGAAGGAGGAGGAGGAGGAGGAGGAGGAGGAGGAGAAATAGCATACACACCCCTTCCTCCAACATTTCCTGATCTATAAAGGTAAAGGTAAGGTAAAGGACCCCTGGATGGTTAAGTCCAGTCAAAGGTGACTATGGGGTGCTGGCCACATGACCCAGAATGTTGTCTGTGGACGAACGTTGGCTCCCTTGGCCTGATATATAAAATGCAACACCTGCTTTAAGGAAAAGGTTTGCAACACCTTAATCAACTGGCTTCTGAGCTAGAATCTTTGTCAGAACCTGAAGTACCTGCAATGACTTAGAATCTGACAGGGAGGTGGGGACTACCCACAGAAAGCACCACCACCTGCAGAAGTATGAGCTCTGGGCCCTGAAACTGAACCCAAATTTAAAAAACTGGGGGCTACTGGAATTCAAGACTCCCAACAACTGAGGTAGAACCCCCCGAGACTGTAGCCCCTAATTCAGGCCACACTGAGAAAGCAATATCATTGTCCCCAATAGACTAGCATACCAAAACAGTATTTTTATGTGATGAGTGACCCTGAGATCTGTGGATGAAGGGCGGTATACAAATGAATGAAGAATGGATGGATGGATGAACGAATGAAATAAAAACTGCCCACCAATGCCCACAGTGTGCTCAGCAAGAAATGATAGAGAGATAATGGAGTGCAAAGATCCAAGCCAGAGTCCTGTCCCTGTAGGGGTCTAAATTTTTCACAAAGGGGAAGAGCCTGGGAAGATATGAAAGTACTAAAAAAACAAGGCAGGTATGTAAACCAGTCAACCAAAACACCAATACTGGCATTAAATTCCACTAAAGCCTGGTTTTCAGCTAGGTGCTGAAATAAAGAACAATAAAAGCCACCCACATCATAATTGGGAAAAGAATTCCAAACTGGGGTGCCACCACCAAGACAGCTCTCTGAAAGGGCCTCTGCTAAAGATTGTACAGTAGGAGAATGCTCCCAGCAGATCATAACAAAATGGAAATCCATTTTTTACATCTCTCCATTAGAACTGTCTGTCCATTTTCATGACATTTCTCTAACTGTTAATTTCCACATTTTATTTGAGCTTTCACACAATGTAAGAGCCACTTCCAGAACTATAGTGGAACTACAGCAGAATACAACACAAGTTTAGCACTCATTTCTGTATTATTTGCTAACAGATTGTACCTAGAAGCAAATAACATGGAAATGAAATCAAGGAGGCATCTGAATGTGGAAATTAATTTCATAATTTTATTTGTGGTTTACAATAAAATAAAACCAAAAAACCAGGAATTTTTTGTATTAAAACATACAAGAAGTTAAAATAGTGCTATGGTAATTTCAGTTACCCTTACATCGGCTGGGTACATGCATGTTCCAGTCATGACAAAAAGGCAAGCTTTTTAGGTACCCTAAATGACTGTGTCTTAGAAGAGTTGGTCATGGAACCAAGCAGAGAGGCTGCGACCCTGGACTTCATATTAATGGGGCCCTGGACCTGGTATGATATTTAAGTGCTGAACCATTTGGAAGAAGTTACCATAGTGCTATCAAATTCAACGTACACACAAGTCGATAATTGCCAAGAATATCCAGTGCAATCACATTTGACTTCAAAAGAGGAATGTGGTGCTCATTCTCTATTTCCTTAGCTGATTACTTTTCAGTCAGTAAATTCTGAAACAAATATGTAATCTTCTGTAAAAACAACATCTTTATAACGGAGATGTGGCCCAGCCAAACGAGACTAAGGATCCTCTACAGGCAAATATCCCTCTTTAATTTAGCAAGGGGTTTATATAATTATGCTTCCTGAACCAGCAAAATTTCTCTTGAGAGTAGGCTCCCTAAGCACTTAAAGCATGCATATGGCAATCACAGGTTAGTTTTTGTAATGCTCTTTGGTTTTCTCATGTTACATTAAAACGTATCATGTGGGCTTTGGCATAGTTAATCTCTGCTTTATCCCCCTTGCCAGTTCAAACAAGAGCAAGTCCATTGCATTAACTCTGGTGCTTGCTCTTAATCTGGAGTATAACTGATCAAAGTCAGAAACCATTGCCTGAACTGCAGTTTAGTAAGTACTTTCAGCAAAAAAGAAAGAAAGAAAGGCCATTCAAGACTGTCAAATGCCTTTCAAGTATCAAAACAGAGGACCATTTCTGTATTTGCCCATGATGTAGAACCTTTAAGTCCCTTTACAACTTGGTTTACCTGGGAAATCTGCTGATACCAGCTAAGATCTGTTGGATCCTTGCCTAGCTTGTCTCCTTGAGGCTGATATGCCTCCCACATCAAGAATGTTGTTAAGCAATAATTTTAGATGTGGGACTAAGATGTAGAATGGACTTTAGAAAAGTCCCCTGTGAATCTGTCCATCTCTAGAGCATCCTCTTGTTCAGTCTGTCAGTTACAGACCACATTCCTTACCAATTATGAATTGGTTCAGAAACACCCTGTTGTTTTCAGATAAAGCTAAAATGGAAAGGTCCTGCAAGTATTTGTTTATAGTAGTCAGATATCGATCATAGGATATTTATAACTTCTCATAAGAAGTGAATAAACTGTTAATTGTTTTAGTGCCACATTTCATCTATCCCCCCTTAATTCTAATTCCTAACAAATATTCCTCTCTGCTTTTTTTCTTAAATGCCTCAGTTAGGTTTCAAACTCTTGTTGTGAAATTCATAGTAATATCTATTTACAGACCATCTTTACATTTTTATTTCCATCTCTAATATCTTCCATTCATTACATCTGCTATTCTTTAAACAAATGAGTTTTCCTGAGAATCTTTTTTCTCTCTCTTTGTGTTCATTTATGCATGGTACTCAATTCATAAATGCACTGACCACTCCACCCCCCCCCCGAGTACTGTCTTCATGGAGTCTTACAAAGAGCCCTCCATAATAATACTGGCACAATACAGTCATACCTCGGGATAAATATGCTTCAGGATAAGTATTTTCGGGTTGCGCTCCACGGCGACCTGGAAGTAACGGAGCACGTTACTTCCAGGTTTTGCCGCTCATGCATGCGCAGACGGTCAAAATGATGTCACGCGCATGCACAGAAGCGGCGAAACACAACCCGCGCACACGCAGACGCGCTGTCGTGTCTTACGTTCTGTTCAGGATGCGAACGGGGCTCCGGAACAGATCCCGTTCGCATCCCAAGATACCACTGTATTGTTATGTATTGGTATGCGTTTTTGCATTTTTATAGTGCAAGCTGCCCTGTGATCGCCAGGTGATGGGCGATATAGAAAGTTAATTAATTAATTGTTTGAACTCACACTTCTGGCCTGCCATTATGTTTGAGTAATGCTTTGACCCCCTCAACTGAGTCCATCCACCCTCTCTTACTTGTTCTTATACTGTCAAACACAGTCACCAGGTGCAATTATACTGGTGACTGTTGCTAAATATTATGTCACCAGTTACTGGAGCGTCCTCAGATATCTCCGATGTCTAAATCCCTGGCTATTTCCACCAACTGTTTAGGAATCAAGATCTTTCCTAGGTTTCTCAGCACAAAAAATGTAATGTCCTCTAGCATCTGCAAGAGCCTGTAAACCAATAAACTGACATTTGCACAGCAAATTGGCTGCCACTCTCTAGGAGTCTGTGCCCCATGCTGCTCTCTAAGCATGGATTCCTAAGACGTTCTTGCACCCTTAAAATAGATTGGTAAATCTCAATTTCTCCTCCAGTTCTACAGTCCTACTGATAGAGATCCAGCCTCAATCATACGGATTCAGAGGTACAAATAGCTAGCAGGGCCTTGTCACAGTCCCTGGGACAAATGAAGCCCTGCCCCACAGTTCCCAAGCTTCTTCACCTGCAGCAATAAATTTCCAGGTTCTGTCAAACCTCAAATACTGGATTCGGAAGAGTGCAGACAAATAAGGCAAAGATACGACAATATGATTCTGCGTTTTAATTTTTAGTCCTCTCCCTCCCCCCGCCCCACATAGAAATTGAACAAAATGAACAGTCATTTTTTTAAAAAAAACAACAACAAAGAACAGACTAGCATTTCTAAACTCACCGACACAGTGGAATCCCTTTTCTTTTTTGCAGGTTCGAGAGCAACCATCTCCTTCTATTAGATCTCCATCATCACATTCCTCTGCAAGACTTCTAAGAAAATAGTAATACTTTGCACTTATAAAGCATTTTAACATGGACCAAGAGCTTCATATACTTTAACGTTTTCTAATCCTTTACAACAGCTTCTCCATTATGAGTTCCCACATGTTGTGCAGCCACTGATGAAATCTTATCAGCTTGCATTATATTTTTGCTGCCACGAGAAGGAATGTAAAAAAATAAAATAACGGTGCAACTTTTTTACTTCTGCTTATTTGTTTTACGGTTAGGATCTTTTTATTTAAAAAAATCTGTTAAAATTCGTTTTTTCTCTTATTTTTATCTAGGCATTAATTTTGTTAGGCCTTTCTGGTTGGTCTTTCTTTATTCCAAAATGGGTGTCTATTTTTCACTCCACAGATCATCTTTCTTGTTAATATATAGGACCATGTTCCTTCTCATCTGCTCTCTTTGAACTGGCTAGCATTCCCTTATCACGTTCAATTTAAAATTCTACTGCATACTTTTATATGCTTGCACTTCATTATTCCTGTTTATCTCTCTCCTTTCCATTTGTGCTCCTTCCAGAGCTTTACATTCTCCTGACCCCTATCTCTTGGTGTCTCGCTCCCTCCAAGGTAATATGAAACTAGGTCTTTTGGTGGGACAAAAACACTCACAATAGAAAAATGGGATATAAATGCTAGTGAATTGATTGATTGATTGAAAGGGGTCAGCCCACAAACCTGAAAGCTGCAGGACAAGTACATAAATGAACAAAACTATTATTAATTTGAAATATTAAAGGGGAAGGAAAGTGAGCTCATCCCTACAAGGGGACCCCTGAGATAAGACTATTCTTGAGGGGTTTGAGATTTTAGGTTTCACACACCCTCCCATTCCCCGCCCCAGGAAGGTCCTTCAGAGCAGCACCACAAAGAAGTTATTCTCCACTGATGCAGACAATTTCATAGACTCCACTTCCACAGAAACGATTTAGGTTCAATCTAATCTAATTTCTCTGGCTATGCAAACTCTTCCACAGGCTATCTAGGCATATAAGAATGAGGATGAAAGTAAAAAGTGACAGGTGGCAGCAGTATCCCTAAAAGCAACTAACGGCATCTTCGTTTGGAGATGCATTCAGGTGTGCATCAGAACGCTCATCCACCTCCTGTCTGCAATTCCTAAAAGCAAGGCTATCCAAGACAAAACCATGAGTTGCTGTGGGTGTCTAGGAAAATGGAATATGAAAGCAGAAAGCTTTGTGGAATTAAGAGAAGAGGTTCAGCATATCACTTAACAATACAGATCCCCCCACCCGCCTATACAGTGGTGCCCCGCAAGACGAATGCCTCGCAAGACGACAAACTCGCTAGATGAAAGGGTTTTACGGTTTTTGAGCTGCTTCGCAAGACGAATTTCCCTATGGGCTTGCTTCGCAAGACGAAAACGTCTTGCAAGTTTGTTTCCTTTTTCTTAACACCGTTAATACAGTTGCGACTTGACTTCGAGGAGCAACTCATAGAACGCGGTGTGGTAGCCTTTTTTGAGGTTTTTGGTGATTTTTGAAGCTTTTCCAAAACTTTTCCGACACCGTGCTTCGCAAGACGAAAAATTCGCTAGACGAAAAAACTCGCGGAACGAATTAATTTCGTCTTGCGAGGCACCACTGTACTCACATGAATGAATGGAAAGCAGGAACACTTTGATATATGAGACTGCAATTGCTGGCTCAGTTAAAATGGGGTGAGTAAAAGAAAGAAAGCTCAGCATTTTCAGATCTCAGGGCTCCTCACCTGCTTACTTTACCATCCCCGCAATAGGGAGAGCCATGGATGTGGAACAGAGGAGGGGAGGCTTCACCTACAGCAGCTCCAGCCACAGCCTGCACTTGGTAGCGATACAGCTGGCCTGCCATCACTTCCCTGCAGAAGCAAACAGAAGTCAAAACTTAAGACAGAATACTTTCCTGCCTCCTCCTAAGCTGAATTTCCCATGTATGCTAAGGACAGGCAGCTAACGCAGCACCAGATTCCAGGGACTTCCCTCATTATCTGACAGGGGCTCTTTAATTTACAGCAGTGGTTCCCAAAGGGTATAGCACACCAAACCGGTGTGGCAGGAGCGGGCGGCAAGAGTGGGGGGAAAGTTCAAGGACAATTAAAGAAACATTTAAACATTTCAGTGTAGCGTAGTATAGTATCTTCTTCTTTTTTGCAGAATACTGATAAATATATTTTCAAAATCAAGCACTGCTATGAGTTGTTGTTTTTAGTTTGCCAATGTATTTCTTTACAATGTAAAATTTGGTGTGGTGCCAGCAAATTGTTCCTCTCAAAGTGTGGCCCAGAGAAGAAAGCTTGAGAACCACTTCTTAACAGGGTGAACACTAGCATACGGCTATTTTGGAAACACCACTTGCTTGTCAATCATCCCATTGCTTTTGTATTCACTGGCTAAGACACCAAAACCAGCAAGTGGCTTCAGCTTAGCAACCGGGCAGAATACTTCCCGCATGTTTCCCCTCATAGCGGAAAAAGCTAGTCTAATTTAAGCTTTTAAAAGGGAAAGGGGCCTGGGATGTCCCTGAGGAACCAGCAGCTAAGAGAGTGTTCCTGAACACTAATGCTGTCACTCACATGTCAGTAAACTTTCGTCCCGGCTGCGTCACCATCGCTGGGGATCCATCCAGAAACGGGGGGTCCCGGAGAACCCTGTACCTTACAGGTTTGCAGTTGGCACAAAGCGGGCTCTGTGGCATGGATATCAGAAGCGCAGCATCTATCTCCATCTGCTCATCAAACGTGTAGATCTTTACGCCAGACACCTTCTTGTTCAGGTTGAGTTTAACCGTGAGGGGGATGTCACAAAAAGTGTCCATGGGCCCCAGGTGTACAGAGTCCCCATGCTCTGTCAGGATCTCAATGTCCGACAGAGCCTTGGGGGAGTCCGTAGAGAAGTAGGTTGTCCATACCATTAGAGACTCCGGGTAAACAGGATGCAGAAAGTGCAGCTCCAAGATGCAACCGAGAGGCTGAGGGCAAGGGGTGGTCATGCTCACGTTGAACAGATTGAACTCAGGGCTCCAAGCCTGCAAGCTGGGCTCACAGGGCTGGTCCACATCTGGAGGCCCTTAAAGAAAAACAGAACAGCGGAGAATTGGGTGAGCTGGGCAGCTCACAACCTTAGGGGTAGGACTGCATACAAGAACCAGGGCTGGACCAAAATGAGGAGGCAAAAACCAAATATCTGTGCCAGCATTAGAGGGTGTGAGCATCTGTCCATGATTACAGAAGCAGATACAAACATTAATAGGCTTCTGCCTATATGAAGAGGCGAGATTTATGTTTGTGTGTATTTAGGGCTGCAAAACTATCCGAAATGAATGTCTGAAATACGGAGGATAGACCTTTTTTTAAAGAAAAGGAAAATGAAACAGACAAGGTTATCTCTAGCTCCCATCTGACAATCCTTCTGTTACAGGAAGAAGGGCTGGGAACTTTACCTACTGCTTCTTCTGGAGTCCAGTAGCCAGAAGAATCACAGATCCGAGGCGAGGAGGCCTCATGTACGTATTGGCTGAATGTCCCATCTTCAGCACAATCTCCACAGAGGTTCCCTGTCTCTCTAAAAGACAGACAGAGAGAGAGAGAGAGAGAGAGAGAGAGAGAAGGGGTGGGAAGGGGAGAGAAAAACATACTCTGTTCAATCTCTTCTAAGTTAGACTTTGAGCGACAAGCTACACAGTTACAATGGCAAATTTTTTCAGGATGTAAAGCAGAGGTCTTCTGCTGTAAGTACAACAAAATGGCAACTGCACAGACCTCCCCTCACCCACTTTATTGGAGTGTGTGATGTTTTTACTGGATCCAGGACCTTTAGGGTGCAAGGCGAGAGGGAGGTGAAAAGGCCCTCATCTTCTGCCCCAGAAGCACCTGCAGTTCCAGATCCTGAACAGGTTCACATCTTATTCTTCCAGTTTGGCCCCAGCCTGGTGGAATGCTCTACCGCAGGAGACCAGGGCCCTGCAGGACTTGACATCCTTCCACAGGGCCCGCAAGATGGAGCTGTTCTGCCTAGCCTTTGGTCTGGGCCCAGTTTGACCTCCCCCCCATGGGACCCTGTTAGTTACCTCTTTGGCCCTTTTATCGGCTCATGTGGGACCAACATGGATAGCTGGCCCTGGTGAATACTTGAGGTTCCTGACCCGTATGGTTGCAATTCATGGGCAGTCATTTAATTTTATCCTGATTCTAATTTTTAAACTGTATTTTAATCAATTGTTTGATTGTGTATTTGATATTTGATGTTAGCCTCCCTGAGCCTGGTGTTGGCCAGGGAGGGTGGGGTATAAATAAAAATTTACTTACTACCTTGTACTGAAGAATGGATCTGGGGAGACACTACATACAAATTGGGGGGGGTGTTCCTATCTCTCTCAACCAACAAGAACCAGAATGGTAAACATGGATAGAAAAATAAGGTCAGCCCAGGTCACTAAAAAGCTTTAAGACAAGAAATGTGCACAGGAAGGGATAGGGATCCAGCACAGAGACTCGAGGAAACCAGATGTAGCAATGACCACCAACTTGGATGTCTTTGAAAGGGTTTGGGGCAAATTCATGGAGGATGGATACCAGCCACGATGGCTGTGTGCTCCCTCCAGTCTTGGAGGTGGTTTTGCCTCTGAAGAGCAGAGGGCTGCCCTGCTTTGTGGGCTTCCCAGAAGCACCTGGTTGGCCCCAGTGAAAGCAGGATGCTGGACTAGGTGGGTTAAGGCAGGAGGGCTCTTCTTATCCTCTTAGACAGACAGGCATCCCATGGTCCTAGAGAGACGGGACACGCGGATGGTTTTTGTTGTTGTTGTTTAGTCGTTTAGTCGTGTCCGACTCTTCGTGACCTCATGGACCAGAGCACGCCAGGCACTTCTGTCTTCCACTGCCTCCCGCAGTTTGGTCAGACTCATGTTTGTAGCTTCGAGAACACCGTCCAACCATCTTGTCCTCTGTCGTCCCCTTCTCCTTGTGCCCTTTCTCCTTTTGTCCCCTTTCCCAACATCAGGGTCTTCTCTTCTCATGAGGTGGCCAAAGTATTGGAGCCTCAGCTTCACGATCTGTCCTTCCAGTGAGCACTCAGGGCTGATTTCCTGAAGAATGGATACGTTTGATCTTTTTGCAGTCCATGGGACTCTCAAGAGTCTCCTCCAGCACCATAATTCCAAAGCATCAATTCTTCGGCAATCAGCCTTCTTTATGGTCCAGCTCTCACTTCCATACATCACTACTGGAAAGACCATGACTTTAACTATACGGACCTTTATTGGCAAGGTGATGTCTCTGCTTTTTAAGATACTGTCTAAGTTTGCCATCGCCTTTCTCCCAAGGAGCAGGCGTCTTTTAATTTCGTGACTGCTGTCACCATCTGCAGTAATCGTGGAGCCCAAGAAAGTAAAATCTCTCACTGCCTCCATTTCTTCCCCTTCTATTTGCCAGGAGGTGATGGGACCAGTGGCCATGAGCTTCGTTTTCTTGATGTTGAGCTTCAGACCATATTTTGCGCTCTCCTCTTTCACTCTCATTAAAAGGTTCTTTAATTCCTCCTCACTTTCTGCCATCAAGGTTGTGTCATCTGCATATCTGAGGTTGTTGATATTTCTTCCGGCAATCTTAATTCCAGCTTGGGATTCATCCAGCCCAGCCTTTCGCATGATGAATTCTGCATATAAGTTAAATAAGCAGGGAGACAATATACAGCCTTGCCGTACTCCTTTCCCAATTTTGAACCAAATGGTTTTGGTAGTATCATTCTAGATAAATGTCGGAGTGTGTTGAGGAAAAGGCAAAAAAGGAGGAGGTTGCTACAGAAGTAAATAAGTGGATTTTTTTTTTAAAAAAAAATGCTGTTTACTTTTCAGTGCTTAAAATATGGTGACTCTCCTTCTTCGAATGGGCCTTTCAGTTATCTTAAGTGAGGAATTTTCACCCAGCAAAAAATTTCAAATTCCTACCGATGGCACTAGTCACTTGCCTCTGGACACCTAAGGACCTAAATGTTCCATGACTCTCAAGTCAGCTGTCGCAGGGGGGAAAGAGACCTTCAAAGAACAAAAATAAAGCAAGCAAGTGCATGCATATATGTTTAACTTAATTGAGTTGCCCTACCGGAGGAGAAGGACATGTGTTGTCCTGGCCATGAAGTTAAAGCAGGGAGGGAAGTTAAAGGGAAGTTAAAGGGAAGGCAAGAGTTCCAAAGTACACAAGCACACTTATCACTAAGGCTGCCTATATCTTCTGCTGGTTACGGCAGAAGGATCAAGATCAGGTTTTCTGTTGTACTGATACGTTCCTTCTCTCCCCCCCCCCCAACTTGACTCAAACATAAAGCCTCAGAGAAGGTTTTGCCAACTGGCAAACAAGTGAAAAGAATTGCCAGCTCATCTTTATCACCTTCTTTGCATTCTGGAATTCCTACGCTGGAGGCCAAGTTCAGCTTTCCCTGAGGTACACAAGCTCAAATAAACACTTTCCCATCAAAACAAGTACGTGCGGGTAGTATGGGAAGGAACACCATACACAGAGAGGGTGGGGCAAGGTCAAAAGGAAGATCTGCAAACTGTATCTGCCATGGCAGGCTGTTCCAAGCAAGAGCATTTGCCTACACAGGTATTTTCACATAGGAAAGCCACGTGTATTTCACAACATTTGAAAAACATACATGCAGAGCCACAGTCCTACCATGGCACATAGTGAGGAACCTGCCTCACCCTCTGACTACAGATTTTGGGCTTCATTAAGGATCAGAAAAATGATTATTTATTCCACCCACAAAGCATTTTTTAAAAAAATGAAAGTAGACGAAGTGATACTGTTCATATACCCTCACACTGGCACAAGGAGATCAGATGTTTTGGCTTCCAATTCTAAATAACCACCATTTAGCATTCTTCGCCATCTTCACTGCCACTGGGTAGACTCGATGGTGAGCCCTTGCCATTGTTCGGTTGCATTCAGACGGATCTTTCCTCCACTTGCGTTCAAGCCGTCTCCCAGCTTGTTTCATCGTCCTAAGCTCTGGAGTATACCAAGGAGCCAAACAGGCTCCACAAAGTGAAAGAGGGCGCACAGAAGTGATCGTATCACTGCCCCGAGCCATTCGGTTGTTCCAGAGGGTCAACCAGAGTTTCAACAGGAGCACCAGTCCTATCAGGTGGGAAACCCCCCAGAGCTGTCTGGAAGCCCATTGACTCTTATTAGTCTCTGAGGGCAGACCATCCTAATAGGTCCGCTGCCTCTGCAGAGGGGAAAAGGTGCTGAAAGCCTAAAGGTCATCAGGAAGTGATCTCACCATGATAAGAGACTGATGTCAATATCCCTCAGATCACCCTCTTCCTGCCCAGTTGAGAAAATAAGGTCCAGAGTGTGGCTTGCCACGTGTGTTGGGCCGTTGACATATTGGGACAGCCCCATGGTCATCATGGCAGCCATGAAGTCCTGAGCCACCCCAGAGCCAGTTGCCTCAGCATGGATGTTGAAGCCCCCCAGAACCAACAGTCTGGGAGTCTTCAGCACTGCCTCCGGGACCAGCTCTGTCAGCTTAGGCAGGGAGACTGCTGGGCAGCAAGGCGGGTGGTAAACCAGCAGAATCCCTAATCTGTCCCGATTGCTCAATGCCAGGAACACACACTCTAGATTTCCACCCAACTGGACAGAGAGTCAAGAGAGAGGGAGAACAAATTTCAGCAGAAACAAGGAAAGGGAAGAGGCACCTGTTTAAATAAGCAAATATGTAAATAACATATCTGCAAAGGAATTTACATACCTAGTTACCTATAGTGTATGTAAAACACACACACAACAACAGCAACAACAATAATAATGTAGAGAATTTAAAGTAAATAGTTTTCACACCAAGAGTCTGTGGTGCAATGGCAGTTGAATAGGTGGAGGAAAGGATAGTCAATTCTGACTGCTTCCTTTGATATCCCAAGCTAAAAGTTGTGTAAATTCTGGGAACGAATTTAGACCAAAAGGGAGAGGTTTTATTTGTATTTAATTTTTATTTACATTTCATTTATATTCTGCCTCATGGCTTTAAAAGGCAGCTACACTTTGCTGCTGGCGTCCTATGTGGCATGAGGGCATCTCCCCACACTTCCTTCAGACACAGGAGAGGGGCAAGCAAAGACAAAGGGATGCCAGCAGTTGGGGAAGGGAAATAATAAAGGCAGAGGTTGCAAAGCTGCATGGTATTGGGGAGTGTTCACAGCTGCAACAAAGGAAGAACAGAAAAATATGACTCATGGAAACCAAGAATAACAGGTGGGGAGCAGGGGGACCAGCAGCCCTTGAAACCTCTGCAAGACTAATTCACAGAGATGTTCTTTTCCCCTTGAGTACACACTCAGCTACGACTGCCTTCCTCCCCTTCCGCAAAGATTCCTCTCTTACCTTTCATAAAGCACCCCACTAAGAGGGGGTGGCCAGTGTATGGTGAGGGTTTCCTGGCTCTGCCCAATGACCACCGCTGGCATGGGGATAGGGGTGGGCCTCCTGCCCTGACTCCACTGCTGGTAGACCAAATCTAGATAGCAGTGCATCCGAGCCACTTGGTTTGGGGTGAAACTGTCTGTGCAGTTGTCATCTGTGGGAGAAAGAGAGGCAGCTGGTGAAGCAACTGAAACGTAGCGCTAGATGGCAGGGAGGCGAGGGTGGGGGAGCCTGGGCAAGAGATCCCTTGGTGCAAGGGGGTCAGGTAGGATTTGTGTGCCTCCCACAGTGGCCTGGTCTTCCACCCCTGCGCTCCTCCCAGAATACTCTGTGCATCACAGAAGATTCTGGGGCAGCACAGTCCTTCACATCACAGGTGCTTAGGAAGACTGGAAGCAGCATGACCCTCTGGCTTAGCTCACACTGAGGCCCCATCCGCAGTTTCCATTTAAAGCAGTATCATACTACGTGAAAAGGGACGTGGGTGGCGCTGTGGTCTAAACCACTGAGCCTAGGGCTTGCTGATTGGAAGTCCAGATTTTGTTCATGCAAAGCAGATAGAAAGCTGCTCCTCATACTGTTTTAAAAAGTGAAAATTATGTAGGTTTGCCTATAAATGCTAGCTGAATGGAATTCCTCCCTCATCCCTAGCAAATGTAGAGTTTCCACATCTGAAAGTGACACAGACCAGAAATGGAATGAACCCTCCATCCCTCTCCTAACATAAACATATCTATGTCCACTCTGGAAAGTACAAATTCTCCGAACATGTTATGCCATCCATTTGCCAACAGATGGCAGTCCTTCAGCAACTGCTTAATCTCATCACAGGTGCTAAGTAAACTCAAGACTTCTTCTTCATGAATAGCCAGGAATGTTGCCCTCAACATCAAGGAACACTAAAGACGCAGGGCAGGCATTTCGAAGAAGAAGGCTCAAAAGCTCAGCGATGAATGCATGACTCTTGAAAACAAATAGTTGTTATCAGCCAGGATGAGAGAAGAGTCAACCCAGCGCCAAAGCTCAGAGCCAGGGGAGACCACCAGCTTTGGGCAGCAGAGCTAAGACAGCCAGGCTTGTTGGGCAGGGAGAAACTCAAATACATACTTTTGACATTGCACTTATGAAAACATAATCCATAGTTCCTGGCACTAACTATACATAGGATCTGCTCTCTAGCTTCCATCAGGTCACTCCTACAGATTAATCTTCTCCATTAAGTTTAAGCCCATAATCCTCATACGCTTCTCTGCTTATTCCTACAGATCAAGCTGCCCAAAACAGCATAGAAGTAAGACAGGTCATCTTTTTTTTTTCCCTTGGCAGTCCTACCAACTATAACGAAGCCAAACTATGTGTAATTGCATTCATGTCCATACTACCCTTTTCTGTCCTCTCCCTCCCTCCCTCCCTCCCTTCCTTGTCTTCCACACGACTGAATGAGGATTGTTAGCTCATTGCATCCATAGACCGGCTGTCTGTCTTTGCTTTGCTTTTTTGGTTCCTTTAAAGAGCTTGCCAAAGAGGAATGCACATTTCCCGAGAAATAATACCCACTCTGTGGAGCTTGCTTCCACATAGAATTGTGTCCTCAAAAGTGTGGATGCCTTGGGATGTAATACTTTACACACTTACCTGGGAGTAAGGAATCCAAAGGGGCTTTCTTCTTAGCAGACATGCATGGGCTGGTGCTGTTGGTTTTGTAGCAGGGTGTCTGCCATGGTCACTTGAGGCCAACCACAACAGAGGGGTCAGGTCAAAAGGACAGCAGATGCAGGACGCCTGCTTTTAGTATCTCCAGGCCAGAGCAAAGGTCACCAAATGGAAGCAAGCAATTCACAAGAAAACATGGGCTCTTCTCACAAAGACAGTAGCACCCTCTAGGTGCAGAAACACATCCCGGATTTGAGTGTTGACTATGTCTACAGCATATAGAGGGATTGTCTGTCTCTAATGCTGTAGAGATTGTCTTACACACAAATGTTCACACTGCGTATTTTTGAGAGAGTAAACCTTGCCTTTAAATGAATTTCGCTCATTGCAAAACAGAAAATAGTTTCCATAAGGGTTCCCCTCAGAACAGTGCTGATCAAGATTTCCAACTCCTGAGAATGAGGCATAAAGACAGAAGACACTTTTGGAAGGGAAGAGCTCTTCTGAGAAAATGTTGCTACTACAAATGTACTTTCATATAAAAGTACTGAAGAAACTGTATTCTCCTATACCCCTTAGGGTAAGGGACATTTTAGGGGACCCTTCTTAAATGAATTTATCTACTTACACATTATTTACAATAGATTTGAGGTAGGTATAGGTAGCCTTCCCAACCACCGTTTATTGCCTACCCATCCCCTCATCCCCTGCAAGCAAAGTGAACCAGGAAAAGACTAACAGAGCAGTAGTCAGTCTTGCAGAGCCCCTCAAGGGGCTGGAGCTAACATATAAATGGCCTACGACCCAGAACGTTAAGAACTGCCTTTTTCCCATATGAACAGGCTCAGGCCTTAAGATCTGCCTCAGACTGTTCCCCATATTCTGTAACCGGTGGAGATCTGGCAAGTAGGCACAAAACAGAGGTCGCCCTTGACTAGGGCTCGTCTTCACTGGGTTAGTCTACCAGGTCCCTCTGCTTTTAAATGTGCAGCCAAAACACATTGGTTCCGGCAGACTTTTACTTATAGTTCTGACATCCATTCATAATTGTAGCTGGTCACTGTGTTGTTATGTCATTACTCTGGAGTAGATACAGGACAGCCAAATTTATTTTTTACTGCCAACTATGGGATCCAGTCATTGGGCCATGCTGAAAATACTGTATTTTTCGCTCTATAAGACACACCAGACCACAAGACGCACCTAGTTTTTGGAGGAGGAAAACAAGAAAAAAAATATTCTGAATCTCAGAAGCCAGAACAGCAAGAGGGATCGCTGCAATCCCTCTTGCTGTTCTGGCTTCTGGGATAGCTGCGCAGCCTGCATTCGCTCCATGACGCACACACATTTCCCCTTACTTTTTAGGAGGGAAAAAGTGAGTCTTATAGAGCAAAAAATATGGTACATTGAAATATTGGAACTGCAAAGCAAGTTGCACGTGAGTGGTGGTGGGCAAGCTGTATTTCTCTAGCTGAGCCTTTCTGCCAGGCACAGTGAACAAGATCCCTCTCACTAGTAGTTCCTAGGTGATGAGAAGCTTTAAAAAACCTTTGAAAGGGTGTGGTGATTTAGAATTCATGAGATCTGGAAACAAAATGCATGTGATTCTTGTATGATTTGCCTTTTGATTACTGAGATTTTCAAAAACACAGCCCTCTTTTCTTCACCTAATGCTTATCTGTGAAATCATGAGACCTTCCAACTTACTATTCTGAAAATGAATGCAGAGGTTCTGAGCATCTCACTGGATTCAAAGGCTGACATGCCATTCATCTGAAGCCCCTCTCTGAACCTCATGAAGCAAAAGTTCTCCCCCTCCCCTTCCTTACCTGTGTAGCTCATATAATTGTTGAAGGGAGTTCCAGAGAAGTGGGTCTGGCCACAGGTGTCATTGGTCGGATCCGGATCCCGACAGCGTTTGCTTTTGGGAGTAGGTGCTGTATCGGCGCAAAGATCTCCAGTCTCCATGGATGGTGTCGTCTCCCTGCACAGGTCATCACAGGATTCCCTTTCATTTACTCCCTTAAAGACATGGTAGAGTCCCAGGATGTGTCCCACTTCATGGATCATGGTATTTGTATGACCCGGCATACCATAATAGGCCGGATTGAGGACCACACCACCTGAAACAGCAAATGCATTCAATGTCACTCAGAGAGAGGAGTGGAATCCTGAGCTAAGGTAAATGCCAACTTTTCCAATGAGAAGTTCCAAACAGTGTTCCTCATCGTGAGAAGACTGGCTCTGCTGCTGCTGCTGGGAATGGCCTCTGTAGAGCTAACCATCTTTAGCTCCAAGCCTAGGTGAGCACCCTATGACAGATCAACAGATGGGAGAGGAAGCCCACTCAGCTGCCTTAAATAGTATCCATGCAGCGGACTAGAGTCCTTCCTGCCAGCAGAACTACTTATGAGTAAGTATACCAATCTGCGTGCCAGCTCATAAGGAAGAAGGGATTCAGGTTGAAGTCGTTCCCGGTCTGCTGCTTTGCTCCTGAGGATGAGCTTCAGCAACAAGAAGCATTCTTTCACGAGTAGACATGTTTGAAGCAGCAGGCTGGACAGAAAGGTGATTCTACTGCTGCCTTTCAAGGCGTACACACCCAAAAAGTGTGAGTGACAGCAGAACTTATTTTGGGGAGGGGGGCAGAAGTCTGCTTCTCCTCTCAAAAGGAAGTGGCTGCAGCCGAAAATTAACTGCCACTAATGTGTGTGTTACAGACATTTCCACAGGCGTTCTTCCCTCTTTTATTCATGATTATTCTGTCCTGTAAGAATACTTGTCAATTAAGCAGCCAAACATTCTCAAAGTGAACACCAATTATTTGAACATTATCGAAGACTGTCAGATATGGGAGAGGGGGCTGAATCTGATGCCCCCTTCTTTTCATTATTCCATCCTTGTTTCTAATATCTAAGGCCATGGGATACAGGCCAGGAACTGTTCTGTCTTTTAAATATCATACATGCGTATCGAAACACTGTTGCCTATAAATAATAATTCTTTTTTGTTATAAAAAGTGAACTTGGGTTGCTTTTTTTTCATATTGACTAAGTCACACTATTTAGAATTCTGAAAAATCAATGTGTTAATATTTTGCCATAAAGATTTCTGGTGACGTGGGCTCTCCTCCCCAAAGTTTTGGTCACAATAAATGCCTTAGCTGTTAGGGTTCTCTTTGTTACAAAAGGCTAACACAGTTCTCCCCTTGGCAAATCAACCTTATCTGACAGTATTTGACCCTGCTTAAAGAAATACTTTTCGACAGATCAAATGGCCAGGCCACCTTTCTCTGCCATTTTTGCGTGGCAAGACGGCATGCAGGAGAGCTCCATTCACTGAACGGGGAGCTCCTTAGCTAACGAGCAAAAATTAAACCAGGAAAAGAAAACTGCGGCTGATTTCCCAGCCAAACCCCAGTCTGAGACAGGAGGCTCCCTTGCTGAAAGCAAAGGAGAGGAATGTGAGTGAGTGAAGAAAGAAAACCTTGCTAATAGCTAAGTTAATGGGATGTTAGAGCCCAGCCATAATCCCGCTGTGTCAACCGCTAACAGCAAACAGCAAAGTGAGTCTGATTGCTGAGGGCACGAGGGGCCTCAAAACCTACTCTTCCCACCTTCAAGTAGAAACTTGAAACCCGTTCCACTGGAGAAAATATGAGCGGGAGAGAGCCAGCTACTGCTGAGAAGTGTCTTGGCAACCATGTGCTCAGTCCCCCCTTTCTCCAAGACTGCGAGCTTGTTTTCAAACTGGGTGAACACAAAAAAATCCATTTAATGGGGGAAAGGTTGCCCGTTCTCTGTGATCCCTCTCCTGTGTGAACATTTCTGCATATTGCAAGGGCCAAATTGGCTGCCCAAGGTCTCTGGGAAAGTGGGGGTGGAATAGTTTTTAAAGCTTCTGCTGCCCTAGGATATCATCTATAGCAGTCACACCTCCCCTTTCCAGATACCATGCTGGCCAGCTCATTTAGTTTTACTTGTGGACTTGTTAGGAATCAGCTTTGATTTTAAAAACAAAAAACTTCTAAGGGGTCAGCAAGTGACTGCACAAAGGCCAGGGCCACCCATCAACCATGGAAGTTAAGAGGTGTGGACTGAGTTCATGATGGCCTTTGCTTAGAGATCAAAACCTCAGCAAGCCAATAATCCTAGTTTGTCAAAGGCCAATGCTTTGGCTTCTCTTCAGGAACAGAGAATTTACCACATAGGAGCTTAGGCCTTCATAAAAAATCCCAGCAGGCTACAAGTACTTAAGCAAGCACTTCGCCACACAAGTCAACACCCCTGAACTTTTGGATCTAACCAAGTAAGCTGAAAGGTCAGTTCTGATGGCTGCAACAAGACCTGATGTTATGGCCCTCAAGTATCTGGGTCAGTAGAATGTGCTATAGGACAACCAACCCCTGCATTTTCAGGATTCACACTTTTCTCCAGCCTGGGAGTCTAAAGTATATTGCGCCAAACAAAACTGATTTCTCTTCCGAAGACAAGGCTCTGTAGTAAAGTGTGTGGCATCTAGCAGTAAGTGGTAAATATGGGAGAATTTCTTCCTCCCCCTCTCTCTCTCTGAAGAGACAACCTGAAGTCACCCAATGAAATGGTTGAGCAACAGATTCAGTTAAAAGAAATATATTGCTTAATAAGTAATATACGGCATTCACTGCCTCAAGTTGTGTTGATGGCCATTGGATTGGATGACAGAGATTATAGGAAGGAGTATTCAAATTAACGGCATAAAGCTCTATCAAAGCCCATGGGAAACAAAAAAAAATTGTCTCAGATTTTAATGTGTTATTTCTCAAAATTGTTAGTGTTAATGTGAGGCTTGAGACACTGAGTGTTTTGTTATTATTCAGATGATATTTACTGATGTACAGAAGGGCTAGGGTTTTTTTAGATCTTTTAACAGCTGCCAATGATGTTTTGGCTCAGCAATGGAAAACAGCCACACCTACTTAAGGAATGGCTAATTAAAAGTACTGGAAATGACCAAAATGGAAAATGGCTTCTCCCGTCTGCCCCCAATTAAAGTGGGAGAAAAATGAGTTCCATTTCTCTTTACTCCACTGCGATACTAAAAAGAGTATTTTTGCAATATTTAATTTTTGAATTTAAAACAAGATGAAAGAAAAATCGGTGACTGTTTAGTCAGACTTGTTACTGTATTTGCTATAATTATTATGAGGGCATGCAGGAGCCAGAAAAATGATTTTGGCCCACAGACCATCAGGTGGACATTCCTGCCCTAAGTAGGAAGAAAAGGAGATAAAGGGTCTCCAGGGGCTTTGAACCTTGGAAAGTTGTCACTGAGGTGAAGTGTGGTGTGCTGGAGAAAAAGAATGAGATTCAAGAATGGGAAGCTTGCTCAGCACCCCAGCTCAGGCAGCTAAAGGAAATGGTTTGGTGAACATTTTTGTGCAGCTGTCTAGTGTTCAACTTTGTGAGCAGGTATCTTGAAAAGATCTACAAGATTCCTGAGAAATCCAAGCCACGTGCATTGGAAAATGCCTCCTAAAAGGGAATGAGGAACTCTTGAAGTCTCTGAACTAGATCTCTCCTGCAAAAATTTCCACATCACAAATCTGCTTTTGAATCAAAGGCAAAGCACTATGAGTGGAACCAAACGTATTACGTGCATTTTTTTAAAAAATGCAAATCCTGTGCCAAGAATTATATACAACATGCACATTACTGGAGAAATAAATCCAATACATTTCCGTTGGATTTTCTTCTAGGTAAGCATGTTTACGATTGCAACCCTGCCAGTGGTAACACGCAAAGAAATGAGGGAAAGGGGGGGGGGCGGTGGCATGAAGCAAGTTAAGGCAGCAGGTTAAGGGTACCACAAGGAACAGCAAAGGTTCACAGTCAGCTCTGGAGGATGACCAGGTGGAGAAGCAATTGGAACCCACCGAGAAAGGTGCAAAACATCTTCTAACAAAGATGGGCTGTCCCCAGGGGGAAGGTCAAGTAGGGGAAACTGTGCTTTGGGGGATCCCACATTTGGAACCAGCAGCCATGGACACCAGCCCCACTGCCTGGCTCACCCTGTCGCCATCCACCCACCCAAAGTTCTCCACCCCATCCTTACCAAGAGCAAGGCAGCAAGGGAGAAGGTGCAGGCCCCAGTGGCATTTACCTGATAGGACAGGATAGCACACATGCTGTCTGCAAGTCTGCATGGAACCTTCTTTGCAAAGGTCAGTGACAGAGGGCAACCCCCAATCCAGGTACACCCAAGAGCGAGGCTTACCCAGGTGGCTGAGGGCATCCTTGTCCCAGGGCCAGGTGGCAGCACCTGCCAGCTCCTCTCGCACAGAGCTAGCAAAGTAGACATTCAGGAAGTGAGTGCTGTTCAGCTGAAGCATCTCCTTCAGCTCCTTCACACTCATATATGCCCTGCAGAGAGAAGGAGAGAGGTAACACAAAACAGTACAAATTAATTACCGTAGTAACAACACCTTGCATTCATGCAGTCCTTTCCCTGGGTGCCCATCTCAGTGGTAGGCCATGTGGCCTAATGCCAAATCCCTAAAACCTCTTCTCCTTTGAAGTGAGTCTTGGGAAGCACATGAGCACAGCCCAGTATCTTCATCAGCGTCTCTACTAGGGACAGCTTCACACCAGCATGATGACGCACTTTTAGGCAGACTGTATATTTGGAAAGAGTGGCAGAGAGAAAAGGTTTTAAGAAGCTGTTCAAGAAAAGCCCTGCCTGTGCTCACCCTGGCCAATGGCTCTTTGCACACAGGCTCCCAGTACTTCCTGGAATGACCATGGGAAGTTTTGCGGTGGTGACGTGCTCATTTCAGGAAGCGCTGCTGTGCCAGACGCCTTCCACGGCTGCAAGTGGGCTTTAAAAGAAAAATGACCTGCAGAGAAGACCCCCTCAGCCGCCTTGTTCACTTAAATAAAGGTAAGCACTACTCTTGCCGCAAACCAACAAATTCTGAACAAAGTTTTTCTGCTTCCTGTGAAAGAAGCAGAGAGAAAAAATACCTCTTTCACAGGGAGCAAAGACTTTCACAAAAATAGGAGGCGAGGTCTGACCCAGCATTATTTCACACAACCCCTGAATCAACTTGGATTTCCCTATTCTAGATCACTGTACCCTGGATTAACTGACTCCACTGAGAAGAACTGGATTTTTAGTTTATGCCAAACTTCCATCTGTGTGGTGAGATCTGTGATGGCCACTGCTGGATGCCTCCAAGTGATTAGCACACACGCACACATAAATAATCCCTAAATAAGAGAACAAGGAATGAAAGTTCCTATTATGGCACAATTCTAAACAGACAAGCAAAATGTAATTTCCTCAGGGGGACTCAGAAACGCCGCTCAGTAGCCTCAAGTCTTAAAATAAATCTTGTTTCCCAACCTGTGTGCATCTAGGAAAAACCACTCCAAAAAAACCACTCCAAAGGCTTGCAAGCCATCCAAATTCCATGGACTGAGGTCAGTCATGTTTGAAGGGATATTCCTGCCACTCTCCAGGGGAGACATTTTTCTCACTGCCGCCTGCAGGTCCCTTGACACTAGTAAAATGTTTCCCGCCTCCCCATTCGCTTTGACTTCATTATCAATCACCCCAGGGTTGTTGGCTTTTTCCATGAAGTTGGGCCAAGCAGATTTGATCTGATCCAAAAAGAAAAAGGAAAAAAAGCAGCTAGATGTGAGGAAGGGGGAAAACAGACCTTCAATTACAGTGTGAGAGGAACTGCAGACATCCAGTGATGAGCGGCCCAGCGAAAGACCAAACAACAGAGACCAAATCAAATTTGGAATGACCGACTCCCTTGGGCTTCTTCTTTTGCTGGTGTCTCCACTGGAGCTTTCATCCGTCATAAACAAGTGTTAGTGCCAATGTTACTCTATTCCACAGTTATTCATTCGTATCCCTTAGGCCTTCTGCATAGCCTTCTCCCCCACCCACCCTATCCCCACAATGGCTCCTAACCCGAGGATTCTGTGACACATTGTCTGCACATTAATGGGAAGCTGGAAACGACTCTGTATTCTATTTCTGATCTTCTAGGAAGAGTGTCTGTGCTTAAATAGACAAATGACAGCACCCACTCACAAGAGAGGTTTTGGCAGGCTCAAGGAAACTCCAAGGTTTGCAGAAGTACAAAAATATCTTCAGGGGAAATCCTAAAAGGGGGAGACCCACAAAATTAGACAAATAAGGACTGAGTATCTTCAGTGGACATAAAATGCTTACTGACCATCGTGACGAAACAAATAACCTGTTGGAATGGAGAGGCAAGAAAATGGTGTGGCTGGAAAATGAGCCTGGAAGAAGAGGGTAGAGACAACCATCTTATTTCCTGGATAGGTCGTGTCTTGGCTCACACTATTTTTAAATATCTCCAAGGACAGAGGTGAGAGCGGCCCATAAAAATCAATGGAGAAATCCATTTTTTTAACACAGCTGGGATTAAACACCAGTGTGTGTACCCCATGCCCAAAAAGTAGAAGGCAAAGACGATAGTTCCTGCTCTTTCTTATTTGGTCTCTTATTTAGGGCAAAACATTTTTAAAGAGCAAGGCCAATCCATCTCACTGTCCCAATATTGCAGGTTGAAAGGGCTTGCATCAGGTGCCCAACAGGGGCTGGGATGAAGATGAGAGCGTGGCTTACAACATCCCTGCAATAATATGCATTGCTCCTATCTTTGCATTGGGCTGACCACCGTGAGAACAGGATGCTGAATTGGTGGACCACTGATCACTGACCCAGCAGGCTCCTCCTATGTTTACATTGCAGGCTGGGCTGAGAGAGTGATGTTCATTCTTATTTACTTAATACAATTAGCTGTATCTTGCATTTTAGGGTGCCAAGTCTTTTAAGGCGTCTTATAAGTAACACCAGAGCACAACAGAATATTGACAAAATAACAATAACTATCAAAAATATAAATGGGTTATTTCACAACCACTTATTCTCATCCTTACACTAGTGCAACAGCCCTTGCGTTGACATCCAGTGACAACCAAAATGGTTTGCTTTGAGAGCATTTGTTGCAACCCGCATTTATTTATTTTATTATTTATTTATTGCATTTATAGCCCAACCTTTTTCTCCAAGGAGCTCAAGGTCATGTTCAAGGTGGTTCTTCCCCTGTTCATTTAATCCCCTAGGGTAGGCTGAGAGGCATTGACTGGCCCAAGCTCACCAGTGAGCTTCATGTGCTCTAACCACTGCACAACACTGCCTCTGTTTCATCACACACTTTCCTAAAAGCAAAGGGTTTTACATTTCTCTCACATGGATCCATTTCACTGTGCTTGAGACATCAATGGGGGGATTATCATCTTTGCACCTCCCCACAATTGTCTGAAACTAAACTCATTAGCAGGGGAAGCGTATGTCTCAATGTCAACTTTAAACCTCCGTTTGAGTGCTGCTCTTCTGCTCACAGATTCCTAACATGCATGAACCTTGGATGCTGAGAGGGAGCCTGTTGCTCATTCTGATGAACGCAGCAACAACACAGCGTTGCAGTTGGGGCAGCAGAGTCTCACAGCAAGCATGAAGTACGTGAATCAGTTTGAGAGGAAAAAGTCAGAGACAAATGACTTGTGGGAGAGAGTCGGATTCAGCCACCCCATTCTGCTGGAAGAAGCCACCACAAGGACTCCCACTAGCATAACAGGGTTTCCCTCCCCTCTTCTCCCCCCGTGTCTCCCCCAAATCCACTCTGGAGGGCCGGGGGAAATCTCGGAACAGTGTGTGGGGTGAGGAGAGATAATTATGTTGGGCAAGCTTGTGCTAAGAGAACAAATGGCATTGAATTTCACCCTTAGTTAAGAATCCAGTCCTGGGCATGTTAAGTGGAGCTTACTCCTATACAACCACACACATAGGATCACAGCCTGCACCAATCCTGTGTCCTTCAAGACACATTGCGGTCTTTCTGCAGGAGTAAAAAGGGGGAAAGCTGCCACTGAGCACCCCTTCCCCCAAATCCATCTTTCTGGTCCTTGGCAGTTACAACTACCAACTCTTTCAACAGCTACTGATCTCAAGATTTTTTATTTTTTTTAAATGATATTTATTGAGAATTTAAAATTACAGAGAAAAAAAGAAAAAGAAAAAAGAAAAAAAGAAATTAAACAATACAAGTCAATAAAAAGAAAAAAGAGAGCAAAACACACAATACATTCAGAGCCAAAAACAAAGGCAAACAAAAAATTAAAAACAAATCCAATATTCCCAAATCTTTATCTTTCGTTATCTTGTTTCATCGACCTCCTCACACCTCCCTTTTTTGTATTCTAGTTATTAATTATCTCAGCAAATCCTTTCCATCTTTCACTATGTTCTGTCATTAAATCATCTTAATTTATTTTAACCTTATCTTGCCATAAAAAGCCCTAAAGCTTAAAACTTATTTGTACATATCTCCTTATAGCATTTCTACTAAAGCCAAATAGTTTCATTCCAACATTTTTTCTAACACTCATTAATTTTACAATATTTCTCTAAATGAATTTTTAAACTTTCTTCCAATCTTCATCCACCGTCTCTTCTTCCTGGTCTCGGGTTCTGTCAGTCCTTTCTATCCATTCCATTTAGTCCATCAACCTGGTGATCTTCTATCCGAGGCTCTTAACTCTTTTCCATGTCCCTTCTGCAGGTCTTCTTCATATTTATACCTGCACCTTACTTTGTCTTCTGCTGATCTTGTTCTTAGTTTCCTTCCTTTATCGCTGAGGAGTAGATCTCGGGGAGACTCCAACCTAACAATGTCTTTATCCCTTCTCGACAGGTCGGCCCATTCTCCATAGTCAGCACTAAAATCCAAAAGATATTTCAAGACATGTTTCAAAGTCCCTCCAAAGTTAAAGGCCCCCACAACTCCAGACTCCCCCTGGTGCAAAACCAGATCCCAGAAGCCAGAACAGCCCTGCATAGGGGGATCTATCCAATTTCCCATCTCCAATCCAAACGAGACTCCATCTCTCCAAATCTGACTTTCTCCAGGTTCGGTCATCAAAAACAACAGCTTATGTTCCTGCAAAGCCTCGGCTCTCTCCACATGTATTTCTTGAGGTTCAACAGCAACCTCCTCCTTTGTCTTCTGCACAACTTGCCCTGTCAAAGCAGATTCCTGGGTCGGTTCCTGAGTGGTTTCTATATAGGTATTCACTGTTTGTCCAAAATTATTAACTGCAACAGTCATCAAATCCATCTTCTCATGTAGCTGTTCCAATAAAGCGCTTGTCTTGCAAAAAGCAATCACTAAGGCTTCTTCTGGGCACATTCTTGTTCAAGGTCAATGTCTGGTTCTCACGATCTTTAATCTCTACAGCTGGAGAATTCCCCAGATCGACTCCAACAACAGTTTTCAAAGCTCCCTCTAGGGGATACAATTTCTGTTTGTATCCGTCCTTTTAAAAGCAGATCCAGCAACAAAATTACTTTCGTTTTTCAAATATTTTGTTCCTTTTAAATGCAAAAGGAAACATTGGAATCAATATGTTTCTCTTTTTTAACTATCTATCAGCAAACGTTTTATTCACAGTCAATGGACTTTCCCAAAACGTCTGTCTTCCTAGCAACCCGTTCCCAGGTTCAAGGCGGTGGAAATTTATCTTTCTTTACTCTCTCTCCTGCAGGCTTGAACAATCTAAGATTTCCCCCCTCTTCTCCTGCTTCCAAGGGGGGGTTAGTAGTTTCAGCCGATGGAGATTTAGTTCTTTACAAAAGTCTTTCCAGACTTTAGCTTGCAATGTCTTTGCTTCAATCTATTTACAAAAGCGGAAGGCGGACTTCCTGTTTAGAGCCTTCCCGCTTCGGTGCCAAATTAAGATATTTCATAGTCCAATTTTCCATTCTACTCACGGGTAGTTGTTTAAAGTCCAATTGTCCACAGGAAAAAGTCAGCGCTCTCCGGCAACAGCAATGCGGCTTCACTCCGTGAAAAGAGCAATCGATTCGAAGCACCGCACCACTCACCCCACGTCGGTCCGGATCCCCGAAACTGGGTTCCCTGTGAGTAGGGGAGGCGCAAAAGGTGCCTGCCGAATCCCACGTCCATAGGCTTCTCCCGCCTGTGGTTTTTGATGGGTGTCCGCCTCGCCGTGGCGGTCCAGACCCTAATTTCCACGAAGCGGATTCCTCCCGATCAGAGGAAATCCGCCATTGCCGGAGGCGCTAACCCAGAAGTCCCAGCTACTGATCTCAAGATAGTTGCTGTCAGAGAAATTGGTCAACATGTTTCCAAAGACAGCCACAACACCTGAAGACTAACTGGAGCTCCAACACCAGCTTCTCCTCCTTTTCCCTCCTAAGAACAATATGAGATGGGTGAAGATGAGCTAAACTTGCTTCTCACAGTAGGGCTGGTAAAATTATTACCTACCATTTTTTAGCACAAAATGCAATCTCTGTAACTATGGGAAATGGACACAATTTCAGGTTGCCCACCCCATAGGCAGCCAATCCGGCTATGCAACAGGGTGACTCTCTGTCAGGGCTGTGCTGTGGAGGCGGGCAATGAGTCTGCTTCAGCACAACGTGGGATAGCTAAGTTGGTAGAGCATGAGAGACTTAATCTCAGTGTTGTGGGTTCAAGCCCCATGTCGGGCAAAAGATTCCTGCATTGCTGGGGGTGGCACTAGATGACCCTGGGGTCCCTACAATTCTACAATTCTATATATGATCTAGTTAAACTAGATTCAGAGTGTGTTTTGTTGTTGCTGCTGCTCATCTTCTTCAAAAACAAAACTGCAGCAAAACATGAGCGAGATGAGCAGGACGGGACGGACAGGAGTCTGAATCAGGTTGTGAAGACTTTGCATCCCAGAGAGATCAGTCATGCTGGTCACTTAAGTCTCTGGACAAAGGGGTCAGCAGCTTCAGAAGATCAGTCTGCTTCTTCTGGCACCCACCATCAAAATGCCATCCAGTTCATCATTTTTTAAAAAAACTAAAAAGAGGTTTCAATGTTATACAACACAGTCACGGCAAAGAAAAGAGCATTGCGTTGATTATGGTGTCATTTCACATGCTGTTAAAACCCGGACAGTCCATGCAGGTCCTACACAGACAGGTTTGTGAGGCTGGTAGAAGAGCTTTACTTGCTTTTTTCCCTTACGTATGGAAAAAAGGGAGACCAGGTTTGAACCCGGCATCCTTTTATGCAAGCGGGGCTATAAAGGAAAATACCTTTGATGAAACCTGGTCTCCCAGTTCATCATTCATCTAGTTCATGTCCTCCAGGGACAGCTAAAAGCTATTCTCTCAGATGTTCCCAGAAGCTACATGGTGGATAGCAAGCGCCCAGATGATGACCTGGGTGGTGAGGTTCTTTCTGACCCAGATTCTTCTCTACGGCTGAAGTCATACATAATACTGAAAGGGCGCTGAAAACACATTCTTCAGATGTGCTGCCAGTCCATTCTCACAGATGTAGACAGTGAGGCCCCTCCCCGATTTCTGCCTCTTCTTCCTCTTGCTCCATCTGGGGGAAATTAACAAGGCAGCCAGATGCAAGAGGCGGGCAGGGCTCCCATACCTTTATTAGTTGCTTAAAAGGAGGATTACAGAATAGGAAGCTCCTTCCAGGGGTGCTGTGTTTATCTGACAATTATTCACACATGCAAGACAGTAGAATGTGGCAAGATTTTCACTAATTTGAAACACTAATTTAGCAACTTGGTAACCCAGAGAAGAGGATAAAGACACAACAATTGTTTTTAATTGAGCTTAGAACAAAAAAAAGCAAAATTGACAATAATTCTTCTGCTTGTTGCCAGCCTGGGGCGCCTCCCCAGATGGAAGACAGCAATTTCCAGATGCACCGTGCAAAGCTGGGAAGAGCCTCCTAGCCGTGGAAACATCTGTGCAAGGGAATAAGGGAGTGAACAGCTGGAGCCAATTATCATATTGTGCCTTCTTGGGTTCTCTTTCAAATTTCACTTCTGCACTACAATATAACTTTGTAACGAAGTGCACAAACATACGTGCATGAACAGGCACACATGCACACCAGAGACAGATGTTTTGCTCTAAAGTCCATGGCTGGCAGCAGTGGGCACCGTGAGATAAAACCTTTCCTTTGCTATGCCTGGTATGTTGTACACACATTGAGTCTCTCCCTGAGTTCCAGCTCTTATTCTGGCTCTTGGCTTTAAGCAGAAGGAGGAGGGTAAGGTGGTCCGATACAGAGAATCTCAGGGCTTCTTTACTTTCAACAACTGTATTGAAGAGGAAGTCTCAGCAGGTGCACCTTCTTGCATGCCTGCACGACAAGCTCCCCCGGTCAAAAAGAGAGAGAGAGAAATCCTCCCTCCACTAGGAGGAAGGAATCTTAAAGGTCCAAGAGTTCTGTGCTCCCTTGCATCTCACCATTGCCTCAAGGCAGAATTAAGATTACACAAAGGCATTCTGCTCAGGTGTAAAAGAATAGAGAGAACATTATGCCCACCAGCACCAGTCACACACCACAGGTTGGAAGGTGTACTTGTGGTGACACCCTGGAAGATCACAGGTGTGCTGCTTTTACATGTGAGTAGAACACTTGAAGAGCACTCTCAAAGAGACTACCAACTCAGCGCACCCAATTCAGAGTTAAGGGTCACTACTTCACTCCCCTGCTGGAGCGGTCATCCCTTTAAACAAGGGTTTCAAACTTTCTGTCTTCCGACATCAATGTTATCTACTGAGGAATCCCTTGCAAGTCCACCCAAGGACCCTGAGTGCTGCAGAGGATCCAGGGCCTTTAACCAGGGCCAGCCCACTCATGAGGCGGACTGAGGCAGCTGCCTTGGGTGGCAGAAACCTGCAGGGTGGTCGCCCACCCCTGTTGCCGCTGCTAGAGAAGCAGAGGTAGGGGCTGCTTCTGGTGAGATCTCACGAGAGCACCAAGCTGCTGCCCTGTGACCCAGTAAGCAAGCCTTTAGCAGAGAGGTAGGGGCGGTGCCTTCCTGTTTTGCCTGTAACTCTCCTAGGTTGTGCATTGCAGAAGAAGCTCAGTAATAATGGGAAATAGTTTTCCCCCCGAAAAGCATGTCTGCCTTTACTTATCTGCTCACTGAGAATCCCCAACCAGCTTCTGAGGAACTTCCTGGGGCAAGTGTCCGAAAACTGCTGTCCTAAAGTGAAGGAGAAGCAGGACTTCTGATTCAGTCAAAGCTCTTCTAACCCTTTAGTGGTTCATCTGCAGTAGGGGGCACAGGACTTCCGCCTCCCCTCACAAACATTTACCCTCCTTATTTCCCCACCGCTATGGACCGCCATGAAAGAGAGCCAGCAACAAGATCTTCACCACTCTGGTGCATCTCTGGTGCTATCAGTGCCTTTGGAAGGGCCATCTGGATCAGGACCACAATGGGGTGGGGTGGGGGAGACACAAATACATATGAGGCTACATTTTGGAAATACAGAAAACTTTGGGAAGGCTGATCATGGATCTGACCATGTAACATGCAGTTTTTCCCTAGGTCCAGCACCTAGAACACCCATGTCTTCTACAAGCAAGCCATCTGCAAGGGACATTCCACCTCTGGTTGTGCCCACATTATGATTTGCAAAGCCTTTTGTTCTCTGCCCCTTGCTGCTCCTCACAACTCGGTGCACATCTTGCCACACTCTCCTCTTACTTGCCCTTCTGTGTGCCAGGACTTACGATCACTTTACGAGCAACAGATGGAGTAGACATTCATCATGTGCTTAGATCTCTGGACAACATTATTATTAAGTCTGACTTAATTTCTACCCACCCTCCTATAAAACCGAATTGATAACAGCTTCTAGGCTGTCCCCTTTCCGTTGCTTTCCCAGACTCCTCAAACATAGGAGTCTCCAACTGTCAGGATCCCGGCCAGTATATGGCAGTGCGCACATGGGCATGAGTCAGAGACTGGGCTTGGGTGCAAGAGATCCATCTGGCTGTCAGCAGTTCACAGATCATGGTGGTGTCATAATCAATGTCGAGAGAGATTTTGTAACCAAATCAGGGCAGGAAAGCAGGTGCAAGGAAGGAAGGAATGCAGACAAAGGCACAGGAACAAGAGTGAAGAACAGGCAGGAGGGGGAAAATACAAAACTGAAGAAAAAGACAACAGGGACCTGTCACAATCCTTATTGGCCACATTCTGTTTTGGTTTTTTTTAAAATGATATTTATTGGAATTTCACATGAAAAAACATCTTAATAAAAAAGAAATTTAAAAAGAAAAAGAAAAAGAAAACACCATACAAAATACAAAAAGAAAAAAGAAAAAACAGTTAAAAGCAATTTCGTCTTTTCATCACAACTTTTACATTTACTTATTTCCCGGACCTCCTCATACCTCCCTCTTTTGTATTCCGATTTAATTTGTTTGTCCAGCAATTCCTTTTCCTCCTTTTTAATCCCATCCTTAATCTTAATATAATATAACATTGAATTTTAATCTATTAAAAACCAATTTTCCATTTCTTTTGACTTTTTTAGTCCTAATCCTTAATCTTAATCTATCTTTAACTTTAAAGCCTGTACAGCTAGAAGCCACTTAATTTCAATCCAACATCACTCTAACATTCTTTAATTTTGCAATATTTCTGTAAATAGTCTTTGAATTTCTTCCAATCTTCTTCCACCGACTCTTCTCCCTGGTCACGGATTCTGCCAGTCATTTCCGCCAATTCCATATAGTCCATCAATTTCATCTGCCATTCCTCCAGTGTGGGTAGTTCTTGTGTCTTCCAATACTTTGCGATGAGTATTCTTGCTGCTGTTGTGGCATACATAAAGAAAGTTCTATCCTTTTTTAACACCGATTGGCCGACTATGCCCAGGAGAAAGGCCTCTGGTTTCTTCAAGAAGGTATATTTAAATACCCTTTTTAATTCATTATATATCATCTCCCAGAAAGCCTTCCTTATTGGCCACATTCTGGAGCTTTGTTCCTACTTTGTCATTTCTGAGCACCCTTTCATACTCACCATTTGCATGGTGGGAAAATGGTGGCATTTTGCCAGTAATCCAAATCATGGTCAGTACCGGTTGAATACAAAGGAAGCACATCTCTTCTCATGGCAAAAGAGGGTCTCCCAGAGCTCCTGCAAGTTTGGGATTCCTTTTGAGAGCAGAGGGTCTGGTCTCAGGACCACCCCACCGAGCCCTATCATGTTGCAGCATGAGCTGCAGAGAGGCCCATCTTCTCTATTTTTATTTATTTATTTATTTATTTATATTTACATTTTCAAAAACACGAGCAGAGAACATATTTAACCCCCCTTCCTTTCCCCTGTCCCACTTACAACTTTGTACCAAATACAGCATATATACATATACCATATGACGTCCCTTCCACACTTTTCTTGGTTCCTTTGCTTTTCTGCTACTCCACGTAAGCCACATCTTTTTCATCACCCAACTTGTTATCTATTAAATTATCTATTTCAACTCTGCTGGATTCGCTGGAGACCTGCAAAGCTATGTATCTGTCTATACCGGTTCTTAAAATATTCACTATTTCACTAAATGTGAAAATATTCACATTTTCTATTCCTCCTTATATTCCTTATCTTCATTTTCTCTTATCCTGTTCGCAAGACCAGCCAGTTCAGCACATTTGAACAATTTACACTGTCATTCTTCCT